GATTTATACACGAGAATTTCGGAATACGCGAAATGGATCGATGTCAGCACCACGTCGTTGTAACTCGTGAGCACCGTACAATGTGATTTACCGGCGGCGGCGGGCGTGTGTAACTTTTCGCGTTAAAACGTTATTAGCGAACACACTTAGGCGTATACCTTTGTCCCTCGCTTTCTCCTCTCCCCGCTCCCCCCTCACCCTTCACCCCCACCCCCTTATTCCCCCACGCCCCGGAGCAATTTATTACTTAAATAATTTAAATACCCGACGCCGCGGAGGAGATCTTTAATCATATACCCCGGGCGTCGTCCTGCAATTCCGTGTCACTTACGTTACAAAGCCGACGGATATTATTATTATTGTTATTATTTGCGCTCGCCTATCCTGCTACGTACAAATCTGGCCGGTTGACTTTGCGGCCGTTTCAGATACTGCAGTGACCCGCGGTATTCGGCCCCTGAGTTAATACTGTTTTTTTCTTAAACTTTTCGTCCATGAAAATACGTGTCTCGGCTCCTTCCCCCCCTCCACAAAAAAACGGCATTATTCTAAAATTTAACGCCGTCGCCGGCGTACCATTATTATTATTTTTTTTTTTTGCATTACCTATGTACTCGTCTGTTATACTATTATCACGCGCCCGCCTCTGATCGTTACACGACTATTTAAACCGTTATCGAGAATCGTTACGCTCAATTCTATTTCGTTAATATGCATGATAGACGTATAATTGTAAGATTCTAACTTTAAGGATCCAAATCCAAATATTTATTGTACGCGTATTATGATAATAAAATAAACGAATTCGTTATTGATTTAAACGCGTAGAGTATGAGAGTAATTAATAATATATGATTAAAATTTTTCTGCGCGGTATTATCACGCAGTGGTTTAGGTGTCCGCGTGTTTAGCGTGGTGCGCGAACGTCTGTTTAGTTTTTGTGTTGTCGTTAACTTATAATCATTTATTGTTTATACGTGAACCGGTCGTAACGAATCGGACGGTTGATAAGTGCACTTGCCCGTTACATTACGACGTTTAAATTTAATTAGGAACGCGCGCGGTGTTTTTGTAGAAAATGACCATTGTTGTTGTATCCGCGTCGTTGAACCGCTGCTCTGCGGATACCGCGCACGGTCATATAGTAAACGCACGTGAATTCGATAACCGTTATCGTTGTACTTTAGGCGTTATTCAAACGCGACGCGGCCATCGGGATTGCGCGGTTCCGGCGCGCTTTACGACAAGTCTCGGATGCGTTGTAATTACGGTTTCCCGGCGTAGGCAAGTGCCGGTACACCCCCGCTCGTACGCGTTCGTACACGGCCAGCCGTTATATTTCCGCCCGGTCCCGCCCGTCCGCCGTCCGTTTCCGGGGGTCCGATGCGCAAGTGCGAACGCACCCCTAGCCATATGGGCCAACCCTATGCAGGTGCCGAGATACCTGCCGTGAGCCGTAATCTGTTGATAAACGCAAAAAAAAAAAAAAAAACCCGGCGACATTCGGACGACGAGTGTAATATTACTCGTTTCGACTGCGTTTTTGTCAACCATCACCTCCGCAATTTCAATTCGTCAAAACCGCCTGTGCTTAAACACAAGACGTTATTTCGAATTAAAATTACATTGCGCGTCTGCGTACAAGACCAAGCGATTTAATACATTATGAAATCGAACCGTTTGGTCCGCACTTCACATCGCATCTATAACCAAATCATTTTGCTAGTTATTTTGCCGATGCGATTTGTAATGTACTTGCATACATGGAGCTAGTGTATGAAAATTTCGCGAAGCATACGGCCCCGTGACAATTCGGTAAAATTGTTTGTTTTTTTTTTTTTTATTATTATTTTTATTTTTACGTTCCTTTAATATTACACAAAGATATCAAAATTTGTTTGTATTGACAAAAAACACGCACGCAAATGTATAAATGATACAATAGCGTACAAAGTACACGTGCATCACAATAGCGTTGCATTATATTTATATAGTTTAAAAATAGGTTCATAATATAATTTATATGTATATAAATATGCTGCCCCGAACAACATAAACTATGTACTGTTTATTGTCAATACGTTCAATGCAATAACAAAAGAGGCCTCTAGATTCGTCGGTTCTCACAATGCTGTTTAACAATGCGAACAAGAATCGTTTTATACGAAAAATAAATACATAAAACGACGGTGACTTGGCGGCTGAAAACGAGATGCAGACGAAGCGTCCGGCCCTTGATACATAGTAGACAATATACCGATCGCCCGCGGCACTCGATAAATAAATAATAATCGTACTTGCAGTTATATTGTGCGTTCAATGATTATACTTGTTTTTATGAAATATTTTTGACTTCGACCATTACATACGAGCAAAAGAACACTCCCTCTAGGGGGGCGGTCTATTTCTATCCGTTTTCGGCCAGTACGGTTTTCTAAAAAAATTATAATAATAAAATATATCCTCTCGGATGTGTCGAAAGCTCATCGAAACAATTAAAATACAATGCAGACACTTTAGATATCAAAAAACGACTTTCTCTGTCGGTGATTATGTGTTTAAAGAAAAAAAAAAAAAAAAAAATCTATCACTTGTCGTTTTTCGATTGGAGTAATATTTCCGATAGAAAACACGAGTTGAATACATATAAAAACAATTAAACCGGGACGCTACGTTTCCGTAAATATTAATCGATTTTAATTTGTTGGTTTTGCCCAATTGCCAGGGAAACGCTTACGGATATCTCAAAAAGACGTTCTCAGTGCACCAACGAGGGGAAATCACCTTTTTAGAAAAAGTGGTATAGTCTATACATCGAAGCAAATTTTCTGGTAAAAATGTTGTTCACTGACATAATTAATAGAATTGTGAATGTAATTTTTAATTTTACGGAAATGAAATAAAAATTGTTTGACCAACAAACTTATACTTTTAAGCGATCTAATAAAGATCCCATAAAGCCGATAAAATCATTAATTTGATTGTGTTACATCAAACCCGGGGGGAACGCTAGCTATAATAACTGTTATAAGTGGGTACTAAACTCTTTTGCCATCTTCGTCGTTCACTATATGAACCTTTCCTTGCATTTATATAAGCTCATTTGGTTTTATTGCAGGTTTTCTTCCAATCGTTTTATGTTATACAAACAATTTGATTGTTATCCAATCAAACAATTTACAGCGATCTTTTTCGTTGCATTTTGTATCTGGTTGCTGATTAAGAAAGTTATTTTTTGATTTTCTAAGCGATTTTTGTAATATTTTGGACAAATCGGAATAACGGAAAATTTACGGCAACAACAAATGTTTACTTACCTAACAAAGCTTAATATGGCCTATACAATTCCCTTTCTCCTCTTATTATGTACACGATCGCACAAATTTACACTAATTACGCATTGAATTTTAGTAAAAAAAAAATGCGAAAATCGAAAAAGGAACGGGTCGGTGAAATGCATATACATAATATTAATATCCGGTGATTCGCAACTCCAGTTTATCTTTATTTTTGAAAAAACCAACTATAAACGAAATGAAGCTTTCTTTACTTTGAAGACTATAACAATGTTGAAATAAATCGTTAATCGTTACACATTTGTCAAATAAATATCATACTAGATAGATACATTTCCATGTCATTTTTTTTTTTTTTTTTTCTATTGATCTTCCCAATTTATTCTGCATGACCTAGCAATTCGTATCTCGGACAAATCAAGAAAGACGCCGGTGCCGGAAACTGTACGGTGGAGAATAAAATTACGAGTGACCGTTTAGAACGGAGAAGAGGAACTGCAAACTAACCTACGTGTTGAGAAAACAATCACGTTCTGTACCGTCCTCACTGGTCCTGCTCAATCATTTATTAGTTCACTCTGTCCGCTACAAGTATGGCCCGCATCCATTGTTATCTTATCCTCGTCAGATTACTATAATCTACATACTCGTACTAATAAAAATAAGAAAAACCTTTGATCTAATGCAATTACACGAATCGCGTTTGAATCAAATAACATTGTGCTGTGGTATATCTGAACCTTTACACTTTTCAGAAGAAAAATAAACGGTACACGGATTTTAACGGTGACCGATAATTTATTATCCCAGTATGAGCACATAAGTGGTCGAAATTTTAACGGTTTTATCGGCTATACTACACGCGACTGAAAATTTCTCGAGTAAGAAGTGTTGACACGGGCTTTAGCGCGTTATAAATACTGGCAATACAGGCGAAAGGGATAATAATTTACAAAGGGCCTACATACACTTGAATAGATTCCACGGATTTCTTGTTAATAACTCCCGCAATATTTGTTCAATATACGACATTTCCCGATCCTTTTCATTCTCGATTCGATCGAAGAAATTGTTCGCAGCAACGCGCGTTTCAAAAGAAAAATTAACATTAAAATAATTTTTTTTTTTTTTTGTTAAACTGTATATAATTTTCAATACGCGAAATAAATAAATCGTTTGAATGTAGCTACATGCGAATCCCGTCTATGTACACTATTTTAACTGGTTAATTCGTCTGGCATCACCGGGCAACAGGAAACATGGACATTATACGCGTCGATATAAAGATTGTGTTTTACACTGATTGTAAACAATCAGTTTTTTTCATAGTATTCGCTCGAATATATCGATTTTTGGAGACTTTAAAATAGTTGCCGGGGTCAAACGAACGGCAGTCCGCACCCCGCTACAGGCCGTCACACAGAAAAATCAAAGTTATTTTTTTTTTATCGTCGACCTTGTTATTTTTAAACATCGAACGGACCTAATAATAACAATAATAAAAAAAAACCATTCGGTTACCAAATGTTTTATTTTCGATGGCGAGTTTTGCGGACAATACTACGTTGAATATTTGAATGATTCCGTGGTTCGACTTTTCGAATAGGTACCTATCGTACCTATCACGCGTATGATGGATTTTAAAACCGTGAGAATTCCGTTGTATGTTTCGCTATTATTATTGTCTAAAATGTTGTGCTTGCGGTTTTTTTTTCCATTTCATAAGATCAATAAACGCACTGCTCATATACCGTACACGAAGTTCACACCAGAAATACTGTTTTTCGGGCCGCCGTTCCGTTTCCTCGCTTCGTTAAACGGGTACCCACGGGACCGCATCAGACATTTTTAGAAATTGCAGAAATGCGCCTCGCAGTAGCGATCGTCTTGCGTGTTACAACGGAATACCTGTAGGGGAGGAGAGGGGACAACGGGAACATGCTCTTCCCTAAATAGAACTTTTAGATTCTGACCGGGCCGAGGGGGTTTTATTGGTTTACTATACGGCCTTTTGCTTTCCGATAACACGATTTACACCAGAAAAATATTGTTCCGATCGAAAAACATCAAAAGGCTGGGTATCTGTAGGTGACGTTTTCGATTCAGTCTCGGTATATTCGAGTGGTCGCAAGGTTTGAAATTCCTGGCATCTACTGTTTTTGTATTATACATAAATAAATAATATATAACAATAGAGCAAACCATAAATTATTATGTCCAACATAATATACAGGCGAACGATCAGACTTTTAAATCTTGACTTTTATACGAAGCCCAAACTTATATTTTGTTTTTTATTGAGAGGATATTTTTTCTATATTTTAAAGTTTTAATATTTTATGTTCGTCCGTATTATATAAATGGGCAGGGCCCGGCTCGGTTGTACTGTATTGTTAGAAACGACATTTACCGTAGGGAAAATCTCGACGGGCCGATCTTATTCAGCGGTGGATCGGGGGTAAATAAATAATAAATAAACGCTCCGCGAGAAAACCGCAATTCGGTCTCGTCAAAATTCGTCTTCGGCCATCGTTTTTGTTTTCCCGTGATAACGACAGTTTTACTTTTATACGACCGGAACGGGACTTGTTCATATTTTATAAACGGTATGTTCAAGACATCCCCCGGTGAGAATTTCGTTGGCTGAATTAAAATACGTTGATGGGAACACTATTGGTTTTTCGATAATCAATTATTTGAACACATTATAATTTGTTCTGTTTTGCGACTTTTACGTTTTCCTCGAATTTATCTTCAATGACAAGATCCTGAATCTTACAACAATATAAAATAATAGTTTTCGTGCGGCTGTCTAGTGTCTGATTCCGGCAAGTTCGCGTCGTTTCGCAACAGCCGGGTTTTCGCTAAACACTAACATATTTCAAATACCTATAAAATAACTAAATAAATAAAATAAAAGACGTTATTCGTGTTAAATCATTTTTTTGTATCATTACTTACTTACTTACTAATATACCGCGAATTATAATACTACTCGTGTTTTGAATCGGATAAGCGAAATTCAGTTTAAAATGTTGCGACCGTACGTTTAAATGTTTTTCAATAGATATCTATCGTATCTTTGACATTGTAATATATACATATATACATGCATGGAGCTATTGAAAAGGACGGTTTACAGTGGATTTCTCTATCGCTATTAAGAAAATGGCCGTGAAAAAAACTATGCATAAACACCGTCAAAAAGTGAAATTTTTAACGGAGGCCCCTTTTAAAAAAAATTAATTAAGTTATTTGTTGTTCCGTACATTATTGAGAAAACAATAATGTTCTAAAATCATTTAGACTTGAAATTGCTACTGTTCTACAGCACATATAGTTGACCGGTGGCTTTATAGAGCCAACACAATGACTTATTTATAAACCATTTTTATTTTTTAAGCATTTGGCAAAGATGTACAGAAGAACAAAATTACTATTTCTTTTCACGTCAACGTCATTTTAGAACAATATCAAACGATATACTTACACACGATATAATGCCAGGTTGATATACCCTTCGGTAGTAATTTTGATGATTAATGAAAAAATGTAGTTGTTAATAGACCGACACCGTATTTGAAAAGGGGGTGGATTCTAGTAATCGGAACCACCCAATTTTTTTCCAAAAATAGAAATTGCCCAACGAAATTCTAAAAACTTAATGAAACGGTCGGAACAACAGGTCGGAATTTCGCGAATACTCCTGCATTCTGTCACTGGTAACACAGTGAGACAGTAAATAACCGTGTTGCGAAATATATTGTTTTATAATTGTTTATTGTTTTTTTTTTTTTTAATTTTAATTCGCGCAAAAAACGGTGACGAACTGCAGAGACGAAAGTAAAAAAAAAAAAAAATACGCACATACTTCGCACGATGGGTAGACTACTCTTGTAGACATGGGAAATTGGGAAGATAGTGGGGAAATTTAATATATATTTATATCTGCAATGGTTAACATTTACTAACGAAAAATGATCTGAGCGGAGTTCGGTTATGCATGTCATGAAAGGTCGTGATATTTACGATTTGAAAATAACAATACATTATTTCGTAGTTTTCACGTTTATCCTCCGTTTTAATCCGGTAAAGAAAAGTTGTCCACAGAAAAAAAAAAAATAAACATCATTGTAAAACTAATAAATTCCTCGTTCCGTTCAAAATCTAAAAAAATCGAGAAGTCACTTCGCCTACCGAAGCAATATTGTTATTGAATATAGGAGGTCTATATACGTTTACAGGACCCCGGTCTTTGTTAAAACCCGTTGTTAACGCATTTGCCGGATTTCTGGCGATACACTGAAGTAATGGTTTACCTTTATGTTTGTTTGAATTTCCATTGCTGTTATTATTGTTTTAATTTTATACTGACAAAAAACGACGGTGAATATAGAGGAACGTACGTACATATAGGTAACGTTGTGTTATGCGAAAAATGTTTTTGGATGTTATGACATTGTATATAAAAAAAAAAAAAAAAACTATCGCCAAATAATTGCGTGCGAAACGCGGTCGTTCGAATATCGAACGGCGAACGATTCGCCGGGGTCGTAGAGACGCGTCGTGAAATACTGTAAAAATCGAAAACGCTGTACCAATACAGGCGTCTTTTAATCAACAAAATGATAACAGAATAATAATGCGATTTTACAATTCCCGGCGAGTTGTTTTATAAGGTATGATAACATGACGTCGATATCGTAATATTCCGTCCGTGTTCACTGAAATTGTGCGACAAAATGACAATATAATAATAAATAAAAAAAAAAAAAAAAAGCCGAAAATTATGATGATAATAATAATAATAATTCAACTACGAAACGTTAAACGTGATAAAATTAACTTCGAACGGTACGTTCCGTATGGCAATACGAGCGCAAAATTCGATCGGTTTAATTTGAATACTGCACTGCCGAGTTTCACTTGATAATAACGTTTCAATAAACGCGGGATGACCTTGGGCAAACGGTTTCAATAAAAACAAAATATTGGGTCGACCGGGTAAGACGACTGCAACGCGACTGGGGGGGGGGCGCGGTATAACTTTTTCACAAAACGATCGACGGCACTCGCGACCGAACCACCGGAATGCCGACAGACGTCGAACGTACAACACAGTTGAACGCTGAACGTACAGGCGCGGCGTTGTCGCAATTGTTTTTCAGCGCGTTTGCAGTACCCGCCTGCCGAAAACGAAAAACACTAATCCGCGGCTCTGGCCCACACGTGTACATTGCGTTGTGGGTACATCGAACTTGAGTCAATTCCGTGTAACGTGAAACAGATTAAAATGGGTAAAATTTAACAAATTCATACTCACGCCATTAAGACCGACAAAATTATAATAGAATTGCATAAGATAATGGTAATAAAAGAAAAAAAAAAAAAAATGACGAAAATTGACTTACGCCTTTTTTGTCCTCCTGGCACCGATGTTATTTACATCACATACGCGCTCGGACCTTCGTACCTTGGCCACAATAAAATACCGTGTAGGTTTTTCTTTGGGTCACGTTATTTTGATTGATTGATACACAATGAGAACGATTTGTACGTTGTTAAAGATTTCCGGTAACAAAATACACTTGTCAATAATTACAATGACTACTTATACCTATTGATACTCGCACGGTCACAAACAACTCCCGTCGGAGCACATCACAGCGGAATGCCTATAATATCGTTTAATGGGTTCGAAATCGTTACTATTTCTTACCAATTACAATAAAATTAATAAAAAAAAAAAAAAACACGAAGGACCCCCATAATCGATCATTTTTATTTGAACTACCGACTTGTTAATTATTTTTTTTTCGAAGCGATGTTTTTTTATTGATTTTTTTCAATGTCATTGTGGGCATAGAGAAACACACACATTCGCTCCGACCAAGCTATTGCACTGGTTTTAAGTCGACATTTTCGCCTTTGAATTCGACAATTTTCCCGAACGAGTAAATTGTGCAGCTCCAGTAGTGCACACTTTATTGATTAACTCGTGAAATGGGTATTGGCTACCCGCGAAATATGTGATAATATGAACATTTTGTGGATTTAATCACAAATTGTTTCCGTACACTGTCGCACTACAATTCACGGCGCAAACGAATACTCCACGGGTTAACCAATATGTTTTTCCCTGTCAGCATCAATATAGACATGACACTAAATCAGCTGATCGGGTGTTCGCGGTTTACCTGTGATCGAAATTCCGAACTTTCCAGAAACACGGAAACGAGTCCGCATACCAAACCTGATGTTATTTGATGATTGATGTTTTACCCGAGTTACCAAAACGTTTACTGTCGCGTTCGTTTACTAGGTGCTTCAGAGCTATTTTGTGCTATTTCAGAGCGCGTTCATTGAGTTTCGGGTGGCTTTAGAGCCCGAGGGTCTGAAGGCCATTTATTTACGGCAGGAAGATCTAGGGAATGGCGCAGGTCTGCTTTTAGTACAGCAATTAGATGCTAACTTTGCGTCTCATATACGCTACTCAATCATACCGCAGTAAAAGAAAAAGTAAAATATTGAAAAAGGATGTTTTCGGTGATAGGAATGAAATAATAAAAAACAATATTGTTTACCACAACAACACAATGCGTATTTTTTTTATTATTATTTCCGTACCAATTCCGTTAATAAATAATGCCGGACATAATATATAATATATTTTTCCCTTTAATAAAAACTTAATAAACATAAAACAATGATACAGTTTACACCTTAAATAATATTATATACTGATTAAAAGATCGTAATGGATTTTTTTTTTTTTTTTTTTACGTATAAATATAATATAGAAGAGTGTTTTTAGCTTGGAAATTATTCAGCAGCTACCTACTCGCCTATACATGTATTATTATTATCATTATTTTTTTTTTTTTTTTTCATCGTTTAGGATTATTACAATTTTGTATACAATAATAAAATTATACGGTTTATTACGGTATTAAATTTAAATATCACATTTTCTTTGTTTGAAACGCGTGAAAATGAGTTATGGAATGATACATAAATACATAATAATATATATATTAAAAATGATAAATAGTAATAATAATAAAAATAATGAACAAAAAAAAAAAAAAAAATCACAGAGTCTGTGAAAAATAGTTTATAAGTACAACATGCAATATTCATGTGCATCATCATCGTCATGTGTATACGTACAATATATATATATTCTAATATGGGTAATAATAATAAATTATGTAATTAATATTTATCTATAAGGCATGATATGTTCATTTAACAGTAAATTAATTTTTTTGGGGTTTTTTTTTTTTCTTTCCGTTATTGATTGCCGAAACACTGCGTTAAGAAAAACAAATAAAAAAAAAAAAAAAACACAAACTATACCGATTTGTTATTTTCATTCACTAAGTACATCGTAATGTTATTTTGAACGTTAGAACGTATTCATCTACACGTGGAGTTCCGCACTATTATACTATACGCAAGTATAAACACAAATGTTATGATATTAATACACGCTAATAAAAAGCCCTCGAAAAAATAATTTGTTATTTTTAAAATGTAATTTTCGAAACACCATCCTGTTATTATTGCATAGACGATTTGTGTAGGGGAAAAAAACAATCCCTATATTATATTATGTACGGTCACGTACAACCGGTATACGTACTCGAGTACTTATTTTGCCTGCGTTTTAATTTTATTACACACTATTTGATTAAAATCCCCACGATTTACCGTTAAAATTAAGTCTTGGAAAATGTGTAATAATAAATAAATACAACCGATAGTTATATTACGTTAGTTACGATACGACTACCGCCTTATTAATGCGCGCAGCATGGGCGCAGGTATAGATCGTTTAAGGGTGGAGGATTTGACTTTTAATTGTTCGCAATAGGGGTGGATTGAAAAAAAAAAAAAAGGAAAGACGAATACTGAGCATAGAGTAATCGGAGAGATTAATCGCTCTTTTTTATCCGTCCCTGCAGTGAAGTCACATATGCTGAAGTTGTATTTTAAAATTCTTATCGAATAAATTACACCTATGGAAAAAAATTATACACGAAAACCTAATAAAATAATATTAATGGTGACGGTACTTTTGTGCGTGATGTATTGAGATTCGATGAGATTCAGACGGAATTTCTGTACGTAACGTGGCGGTATTACCATATATCGATCGTACTGAGATTGGGTACTTTAATTCATATATTTTTTTTTTTTTTGTGTAAATTTTGGACAGTAACAAATATTTTTGAGTTCATCAATACAATTAATCGATTTAAAATAGTATTATTGTTGTTATCGTGTTTACAGTATTTTCAGGACGGATTATATTACATTACGCCTATAGACTATTATGACATTACAATTTAGATACGTTTTTAGATGGAAAAACGGTTTAAAATCGCTAGTCGCCGAAACCGGAAACTTGATAACACGGAAAAAAAAGTAGTTATTATTTTTAGATAGATACCTATTATTTTACGCGCGCGAAATTTGCTGAAATGAAATCGCACAATATATTATACCGTCCTATAAATATAATAATTATTAAAAAAAAAAAAAAAAACGCACAATGCGACCCGAAAATAAAACCGACCGTTATATTAAAAAATTACAATAATAATTGTCGAGTAAAAATACTAATTGCAAATCCGCAGACAATAATGTCACGCGAAACAACTAGATAGCCGCCGACTCTGCAGTGTGTACGTTCGAAGCTCGGTCGTCAAACGGGCCGAAACGGAAAAAATTTGATTATTTTACTCCGCGGATTTCGTACCAGTCTACGCCGCGGATTACGCGGTCATGCGACAGACATTCGAAACGGGTCGCGCGAACGTACACGGACATGCCCGCTGACGGCGCGCTCGCCATTCATCGTGGGCGCACGGCCGACACCTTCCGCGTCGTTCGCCCGCGTTGCGACGGCGAAACGGCCGAGTGTCCTCGCGCGGACTACCAACGCCATCTCCGGACCGCGGTCCGTGCGCGCGCGGCGTTACGATAAAAATCGTCGATAGCGCCACGGCGTTCGTTTTCGAATATATTTTAATGTTAAGCGGCCAGACGGCACCGACGGTCCCGGCGGAAACGCGGGACCGGCGGACCTCGCGACGCTGACGATCACCCGAAATACGCGCGCGGTCGGCGAACCGATTGTAGTGTAATACGGTATTTCTGTTTGGATACAAATATCCAAACGTAGCATTCGCATTGTCCCGTAATGTCGTGATAACTGAAATTGCACCCGGGGGGGGGGGGGGGGGTTTGATCGACGCGAATTGACGCGTTTCGGTTTACGCGGTTTACGGCCGCTGCGGACTTATCGCGCGCGCACGGTCGACTGTCCGGTACCAGTTGTATGCGTTGTACCGGTTTTAAATCTACGGGTAAACGGACTATAACCTCTGCCGCGATCGTCTCTAATGTTACAATATCGTATCAACGTGTAAGTATGCGATTTGTTGGGATTTATTGAGCAAATTATTTGTAAAAAATAATGATTTTTTTTTTTTTTGTCACCGTTAAGCCGAACTATCTCATTCCTTTTTCGCGTGTAACGTATATTTTATAACGAGACGAAAAATATTATTATCATGACAAATACACAAACTACATACTAATAATAATAATAATAATAATATGATAATGATGACGTGTAAATACGACGTTAAGTACATACACGTATTCATATTCGCGTTTTAGCGTATAATATATTGTACGAATGTGATTGATTGATTGACGGGGGTACCGCTGTCCTCCGTTCCACCCTCTTTCCTCCACACACACCGCCCCCCCCCCATCCGTTAATCCATCGATTGCCGGAGAAACGCATACCCGACTGCTCGCGAATTAATATACTACCCCGTTCCGAAACGGTGTAACTCGGTTTGCGCACATTTACGAATTTCTTCATTTTTTTTTTTTTTTTTCTTCTTTTTACCTTCATCACGCAGTAATTCGACGACCAGTTTCGTGCACAGAAAAAAATGTCGAGTATTTCTCGACGACAACACGCATACAATATAAAAGGCATATAGAATAAAGGTACTCAGCTATTATTGATATACGTATAGTTGTTGTCTAACTTTGCTGCTAAACGATTATACCGAAACGGAGATGTTGAATTATCTAATTTTATTCCCGAAACGCGTTATAGACAGGCGAACGCTGTACATTTAAACGTATAGCGACGCATAAACGGACGGCCCGAGAAAGACGTGGTGACGGCCGTGGAAGAAATTATTTAATATGTTTGTTAACATAATGAAATTACCGTTACTTATCGAAATACGATTTAAATTATATCGCGCCTATCTGTATATCGGCTCGAAACGACTAACCATAATACATTTCGTGGCATAATAAAAATACAGGAGTATTTCATCCACGAGATTATGAATTCGTATAACGCGTATCACGAATTAATAAGATACACGGGATACCGAACGTGCCTATGATGGGTGAACCCCGAACCTTGTCGCTTTTGGCAACGTCACTGACAGACAACAACTAGTGTGTACCCTTTACAAACAACGTCAATTGTATTGTTATAGAAAATAGTCTCGGGCCGTGACGGAATAGATACGCAATTTATTACACGCCCTGCTCCTTCAGTCCAAACTTTAAACTGGTTTTGGTCGGTTTGCACGGTGATTTTGTATCGAAGCGCCGGCCGCCATGCCAAAACAGTGAGAACCGGGCGGACTCGGAAAAATATCGACAAGACCTTTCTGCTCGGTATCCTGAATATCTAAATTATACAATAATATAATATTGCAATATCGCGTTGCCGGTGGGCTGACGGAGGGTAATCGGTCCTGTATTGTCCACTGAGACTTTGTTCGTGCGCGGGGATTTTATATGCGCATAATAAGGACGCACTGCGCGTTCACACCTGACAATGTGCGTGCGCAAAACGGTACAGCGGCCGTGGAAAACGGGTAAATGCGAGCGAACGATTTGTACACCGTTTCAAAAGAAGAAAAAAAAAACAACCCGGTTACGCTTAATATTATTGTTATCGGCCGGTTTCGGCATTCCGACGGCGGCGGGAGGATAGCGAAAATACGCGAAAAACGTACGGACAAAGCTGCAGCGCGCGTACAACACGGCGTAAAACAACTTAATAATATTAAAAGGTTTGTATTTTTGTTTTTGTTTTTTTTTTTTGTTTTTTTCGCGCTTTTTGTTTATTATTTAGTCGGTATTTTATTTATTATCGTTTATAATATTTGACTCAGTCTTATAGACAACGCGTTGCGACGACAAACGACGAGAAAACTCGCGAATATTATCGGAATATTATTACACTTTATGGATCGCGACGGGTTCACTCACTCTAATATAATACATAGGATATATTCGGATGAATGTTTTAATATATATATTTTATATATGTACGTATTCTTACGCATAATACACAATATTAATATTATATAATATATGGTAACGTTAATTTATATAGGTATTTAATTATTTTTTTTTTTTTTTTTTTTTACGGGGCTACTCGATATTTTATTCGAATAATAATAATAATAAATGAAATGTCGTTTAGTAATATTATTTACAATATAGCAATGAAATGTCATACGAAAACGTATTTATTTAAACACTTTTTTTTTAAAAAATATTATATAGAAAAGCAAAATAATATAATATAGTTTTTATTATAATATATTATAGAAACATCTATATTTATAAATAGTATTCATTTCAAAAAAAAATAATAATTTTTTTTATTATTATATATATATAAATATATATATATATATATGAAAATGCCATCCAACGATAACTAAAGATGATAAACAATAATAACATTTTAAAAAGAAAAAAAATGTTTCCCTAATGACCCTTTGCGCTTATTCCGGTCAGCTTAAATGTTACACCTATATTCCTTATGATGGCGGGGGTGCGCGGCGGGTGGAAGGTGAAGTGTATAAACATTAAACTTAAAAAATACGACCCCTACAAAACGCATAATTATAATATTACAAAAAATTGTTCAGACCCCTTTAAAAAAATTTAAAATAATAATAATACCATTATTCAACAATAATTTATCTCTATATAGTTTAATATTATATGGATAATGATCGTTATATTGTATTATATTATATGTGTGGCGAATGAAACAAACAAAAATCTTATAAATAAACGTTTAAACTTTCAAAAAAAAAACAAAACAAATCGTTCAACAAAGTATAAACTATACGTGTATACGCTTTGTTATTCCGATGGTCATTAAGTACTCAAGGAAAAAAAAAATTATATGGAATAATGCGTTTGAGAGACACACGAGTAATGAACGTAATATAATGCTTAAAAAAAAAATAATAATAATAATAATAATAATAATAAAAAAAAAACTTATGAACTTATGACTATCGCGTTTTGCCGTTTTCGATGTCCGTTATTACAACGTAATATTGATACACGTACCTACCTCGGATCGATGCGTACTTAAATTATATATGATATATTAATATATGTATGGAAAACAAAAATAAAAAGCCGAACAACAATATCGCGGACGACGGCTTTTTTCACGGGAAAGCGGTCAGAAGGAGATGGAGGAGGAGAAGGAGGACGATGACAAGTCTAAAGATGCAAAGGGCGAGATTTAATACCGCTCGGACTATAATATATTACGTGTACATTGTATACGGGGGAGACGCGAACGGGCGCTCTTCAAAAGGCCCTGGCCCTCTTCGTCTCCTCCTCGACGATCCTTTGCTGCATCAGGTAGTTGGCCATCGCTATACCGCTGGCCGAACCGCATATGGTCACCTTCCGGTTGGTGGTGCCGGGCGCGTACACGCCCTTCTTGGATATATGAATGGTGACGCCGCTCATCTGCTGGATCTCGACCAGCGACCGGCCGCCCGGGCCGATGATCGCGCCCACGATGGACTCGGGCACGTCCATCTCGCGCTTGACGGACTGCTGGTCATCGGTGGCGGTCATCTCGAACAGGGCGGCGGCGGCGGCCGCAGCAGCCGCGGCCGCGGCCGACGGTCCGATTGCCTTGGGCGCCGCGGCCGCGGCCGCCACGCCCAGCCCGTACGAGTTGGCGTTCGACAGCGTCGGACTGGCCGCGTTCTGCGACAGGATCGCGTTGATGGATATCGCGCCGCCGGCCAGTCCCAGGTCGAACAGGTCGTTGGTGACCGTGCTCAGCAGCCCAGTGCCGTTGTGATGCGCCACCGACGGCGGGGCGGGCTGCAGCTGCATGGGCGGTTGATTGGTCTGGTTGATCAGCCCTATTATACTGTTCGGGCTCAGAACGTTGTGCCTGCGCAGGACCGGGGAAAAAAAAAAAAATAAAAATAACACACGTGTCACACCACCGATATTATACTGATAACAATATTATTATCGTCCCTCCCCACTCCCCCCTCTCCCGATAGTAACACAATAATGGAAAATGAGCAACACAGCTCCGTCACTAGTGTCGAGTTTCCTTCGGCGCATTGCGATATTTTTTTATGTACACATAAACGCTATGGAACTGAGCGATCAAAAGCGGCGTTATCGAAACGGGTTAAGTCGCTGTCGGGATATCCGCTTACGTACACACGGACGTTGGGGTCGAGGGTCGGAAGCCTAAACCTTTTGAAGGTACGAGTACACCTTCTCGACAACAGTTCTATTTATATAACACATTTATTTTAACCAAATTACTCATTAAACCTGTAAGGGTGTTTAAAAACCCACTGTTTCCTGTGTAAGCTTGAGATCTGAGCGTAAAAAATGGTCGGGGAGGGGTTATGAGCCGCGACCGCCAAAAGGTACATCACTGATACTTACCGTAGTGAGTGTCTTGTATAGGTATATACGTTTCCCTCCCTTCCGACACCATTTGAAAGGTCGGTAGCGGTGCTCGAAAACAAAAGAAAAAGCCAACGGTGAAGTTTATATCGAAATTAAATCTTCAAACTTGAATCCGCCTCGAAAACCACTCCGATTTCCGAGTTTTAACTCTTTTTGATTCAGAGGGAGCCGTTAAAAGTGTGCAAACGTACCGGGGAAAAATAAATTTATATATGGCAAACACAATACGGCGCGCAATAGTTTCGACTTCCGGGGAAATTTTGGCGAAAAAAAAAAAAAAAACACTATACCGTCGCATGATAATAATGCGTCGCAACAGTGCGTATCGCTCAGCGTTTGTATAGTTTTAGAGAAATAAAAACACCGCACTTATCTCGATTCTATTGGCACGTGTCATCAACTAAGATACGCTATGTTGATACAATTGTACCAACGTAACACAAGGTTTCGATACAATATCGAGTAGGGTTATCGTTTTCGCGATTTACATTGTAACATCGGTGGCCTAACAACCCCGCAATGTTATCAAACGAAATATTTTCGGAAACGCTCGTTTTATTATTATTATTAAGAGGACGTCACATCCGCATCCACCGTCTCGGTTCAACTACCGAGTGACATGCGAAAACAATGCTTACGCAGAATAAGTAAAACTAGCTTAATTTCGATTTTAAAGAAACGTACCTATTATATGAAATTTATGGAGAACGATATTTCGGAGGGAATTCGATTGGTGAATTTCGTTGAATTGCCACCTGTTTAAAAAAACTACAGTTATTCAAATAACAAAAGTTTTTCATCTCTTATATTATCGAGCCGTCTGTGTACCGTCTTCGAACATAACGAAAACCTTGCGGTGAGTGCTGTGACACTCTCTCCGAAATAATGTCCTCTACACATTTTCATAATACTTGGGTGCTTTTATTTTAAAATCAAAGTCGAGCAATAGTTTTACTTATCTTGCGCGAGCATTATTTTCGCACGTTACCCGGTAGTTGGACCGGAACAGTAGATGCGGGTATAACGTCCTCTTAACGTCGACAATAATCTCGTTTCGTCAAACGCACGTGTTGTCGGCACCACGGCAGGTGCCGTAGCCGCTGTCGCCTTCTACACCGCGGACCGTGTACCGGCGGATTCTGAGCGATCCGCGAAGATTACGTTTCAAAATGGGAATCCGGGAACCGCCCGGAGGGAGACCGTAATGCCACTAATGTACGAGAACGTGTTTCCCGAAAATCCGTAGAATCCCTTATTAAACACTGCGCTTTCCCCGTTCGAAATAAAAGTCACCGCGTCACTATACGCGTATTGTTACAACGCACACGTCACGTTTGAAACATATTATTGTTTTGTCGTTCTCACGACTCGGTGTTTCGGACATAGACAATGATCACTAAATTTTTACTGAAATTACTAAAATTATAATAATAACCTTTTTTATTTTTTTTTCACCTATCTACGCTCTGCCAAGCCAATTAAATGTTTCGTTATTTAATTAATTATTAATTTACCCGTATTTAACGAGGGGCGAACAAAATTCTAGGGAGGTTATTGTCCTTCCTGTCGTATACCCGGACTCAACGGTGCCTGCGTATAACAACGGTTTCTAGTGACGGGGCGGGGGGGGGGGAAACCAACTAAATAATAATAATCTTTATTTCTATTTTCTGTCTATTATGCTTCCCCCGGGGTTTTTTTTTTTTCCAAGACGCAAAACAATATTTAAAACGAAACTGCATTTTTAATAACGGCCGGAGTGTACACGACGTCCTAATAGGGTTTTCTTGTTCCGGACGTTTTTTAAACAATGCAAATTATTCGGTTTGATAATATATAATAATATAATACTTGCAACTAAAAAGAAGTCAAACATTTATTACAGATAATATTTTCGCATTGATAAAACTTACTAACCGGGGAAGCGCATATATGGATATTTTATTTTTAACTTAAACTTTGTGCATTTTGTTTTTGGTTCGATATTGCTCGCCTAATGAACACAATAGTTGATTTTATTTAATATTTGCCGGAAACTCTAGCTGATTAATTTCGCTATTCTTCAACAATTGAAACAATGGAATTATAATTGTTTTTTTATTTGTTTTAAAAATATACGTTTCTACTAATTCTCCGAAGATTTAAAATATTATAAAATACAATACGCACGGTTTTTTAAAGTAGTTAATTAATTTATACAATACGTTTTTATATTCTTGTCGAAAAAAAAAATGTTTGATGATTGTTGAAAAACATTTAGCAAAAAAAAAAAAAAAAAAAGAAAAAAAGAAAAAACCGAAATACTAAAGCGAAACAATGGCCTAGAGTTGTATTTTACAAAATTAAAAGTGTACAATTGAAAACCATTGTACGAGTACTGCGTGTACTGAGACTTTTTTTTTTATTATTTTTCTTCTTTTAAGTATGAGTTATTTATTATTGCGCATGGTTCAACATACGATTCTATTCATTGTAGTGATCTGCTCAAAACCCTCGTGAATACAATATGCGTCTTTTCGGCGCGGTGTGTATACACACATCGGGGGTTGCAGGATGTTCAATTCCTGTTCTCCTCCCCCTCGTCCCGTCAACACCTATCTTTTTGTTTCCGTAAAAAACACGAAAGCGATAAAAAACGAACGTCCGTGAAAATCGTCTAAACCGATAGTCGAGACGACACTTCCGAAAATTAGAAATATTTAACCGGAATTATTTAAGGGGTTTCGTATAGGCAATTTTTAAAACTTTATTGAACGTTGTTTATTCAACGATAATTTTCAATGAACTATGATGTTTTAACCAATTATTATGTCCTCGAGTATCCATATCCTTATGATAACGCAAAACATTTTACCATAATTATTATATAAACGTTAACCTCTTTCTATCCTAGTGTTACCATAAATTATCTCGTTATTGGGTTAAAAAATTTAAAAAAATATTATACTAACGTTTTTCATTTAAAAGTGAATTTTAACCACAATTGTAAAAAAAAAAAAAAAATATATTGAAATAAAAGAGTGAATAAACTTCGGACTTTATAATGGGTTTATTTATTGGCAAATATTTCAGATCTATTTAACCGGCGGGTCTTTCGAATTTCGATTGGTCGGCTGCAGCTTTTCGCGTTTCTCTGGCTAAATTCAAATACTTCGACTCTCGAACTCACTAACTTTTCATTCCATTGTTTTAAAAATATTCATGGTCCATTATCGGTATTTCTCTTCCAATTTTATCTTTCTACGGAACATTCTATAATCGATTTCAACAAACAATCGTGGCGTGGTATAGTATATACGTGAGCTACACTATCCCTCCTATATTTTTATAATTTTCTAAAATTGCTTTTTCCCCTTTTTACTGTCTGCATTCGTTTTAGATTCGTGATAAAAAAAATAAAAAAAAATACGAACATTTATGACACGACGGGCGGGCCACTGTCATAGGCGAGAAGCCGGAAAGTTAGAATATTGAGGGGAATTTAATTTATAAATCGTACAATTTTGACTATCTGTTAATATTTGGAATTTGTACAACTGTAATGTAAATTTTCATCTGAATCGGTGTATGTACATTCGAAATTAAACTAGTTTATTAGTACTCGTATAATAATTGTATGTGCCTATAACATATACAAGACAATAAATATATGATTTTTCAAAATATAATTTGCTTGTATTGAAAACTACACAAAATTGACTTCTTTCCGTTATATGCAATATACGTTTATGACGATGTTGGTGGCTTTTAAATTCTGAGCGCAGTTCAATGTTGGATTTACTTTGATACATAGTTTTTACTATATGATCTATTTGGTGCGTTAAAAAGGTAATTTTCATTTCTCACAGTTTTCTTAATAATTCGGAAAAATCTGCTTAAAAATAATTTACCATTGCGTGTAGATGTAAATTAAATAACCCTGTGTATCCTAACTTCTCAGCTTCTCACCAACAACTGTGGCACATCCATCAGCAGTACACTCTTTTTTTTTTTTTTTTTTTTTTTTTTTTTTTTTTTTTTTTTTTTTTTGTATCGAGTCTTAGAGTGACTGATGGAAAAGGAGGTAAGTGGATTGATGAAAGTATTGGAATAGCTTTTCACGATTTTTCCCCAGAACAGCGATGTATCATGATATATTTTTTAATTTAAACATTTTAAATGAAAGAACTAATATATTATGTGAATCTCAAAATTGCATTAGTGCTCGTCATTATATTCACTTTATTTTTCTGGCACGCAGTTTTATTTAAACTGTTAATCGATATACAAAATAGTAATAAAAAAAAACCCCTTCTTTAGAGTACCACGTGTATTCAATTTCTATACTTAGATAAAAGGGAAAAAAACGAGGCACATGTCCGTTATTATTTAATGAACTAGAATGTAAAAAAAACATTGTAAAATTAATAGTTAGGTCTTGAGTCCGCTCAAAATCGTAAAATAAGAAATGCAATAAAAGTCAATATGCGACGAATTCAATTCCAAACAATTCTATTGGATATTAAAAATTCTCGAACCCTACAACGCGACAATACCGCGCCGTAGATTTGAGAAAAACAATATTTTTATAAAATGTCTCTAAATTATTGGTTATCCCGTAGGTAAAGACTTTTGATATAAAGTTATTTGTTTACAAATTATAATAAAGTACGTCAAGTTTTTAAAATTAAAATTAAAAGCTCCAGTGACATTCTAATAGTACTCGGAAGTACGCCTCGTCGGTCGTATAAACTTGATTTCGGTGCCAACTTAAACGCGAGAAGTTATTTTACTAAATGTTTTTATAAAACGGTATTTTTTATTATTACATAATTATAGTATATTGCCATATCTCGTCAACTCTATATAGAAAGGGGCTTTTTTTTTTTTTTTTTTTTGGTTGGTAAATCCTGCTGTCGACTTTTACACTTTACACCGAAAAGTGAGACTTTTGCGCTTATGGTCACTTTTAGCGGTTCCCACCAAACGACCAAACGAACTTAAACTCGCAAGTTAGGTAATATTGTTTTACAGGTAGACTCAAGTGATCAAATTTGAGATGAATTTCAATATGAATTACAGTATATTGTTGTGAAACATGATCGTTTGTTCGTTGTTATTTTTGATCACCTCAATACAGACTTTCCGTCTTTTGCGTTAGTGTCAAATACTTGTCTTTAGGGGCTAGACTTTCAATCCTAGTAATTTTTTTCATTTTTTTCGGTTCAAGTATGTAGCACGATTAAATTTATACTGCAATTACACAATGAGGCGCGATAACAAGACTCCCGAAATGTCTTTTACTTTTAAATTATAAAAAAATGTCTGACGGCGCGTTCTATGGTAATTGTAAAATTAACTGACGCTGTGACGGTAAATAAGTAGTGATGATCACGAACCCTAAGATATCTTAGTCAGTTATGAGCGCTAGTTGTCTTTCTTATCGACAGTTTATCGAAGACATTTTGGGAACCAAATTTTACGTTCATATCATAGCTCGCTGTGTAACCAGTATATTTTTATTAACCGTGGATCGTATTCGTTCGTACATATACTCGTAGTATTCGGTTATTGGTCGTTTTACAAAATAATATTACTTTCGTAATGCAAAACGAGCGGCGGAAAATTCGTCTCCGGCGACCCTAGACTGCAGCAGACTCTACGGTGTTGCCTCGCTCGCGGGCGTTTTTTTTTTTTTTTTATTCGATTAAATTTAATTGCCGTAAAGTCGTTCGGGTGTAAACAACGATCGAACACAATATAACAGCGGTACCACGGGCGATTTGACGAAGGAGTTTTCCGTTAAAGGGTTCACGAGGCTCGCCCACGGAATTCAATAGGCATCGCCTACTTGGCTACTTATATTTTATGCAAACACAATAAGTACTGAATACCGCCGATACCCTTTTTATTACGGTAATATATAATGCGCGTGTAATGTATGATGTGTTGGATGTGTATAATTAATGACGATACGTTTGCGATGACGAGGGGACATTGAATAATAATAATAATAATAATAATAATTGTAGTATCGCTGATATTTAAACCACCGTCGTCGTCCGTTCGGTTCGGCGAACGCGAACAAAATATACGTCGTAAAGCTCATTTTAAATATATTTTATTATAATTATTATTAATTATTTACCTAGTTGACCGCTAGGTTTAGGATAGACGGGGGGGGGGAGGAGAGATGAGGGGACACCGAGAATCCGAATAGAAAATCGATTTTATTAACGTATATACCCGGCATGTGTTTATTTATACACGGAGCGATCGACGGAACGTAAAACTCGTATCATTATTTCCGGAAATATTCCATTTTTTTTTTTTTTTCAGAATTTGTTTTTTAATTAAATAAGCATGTATCTCTAAAACAGTATATTGCTTTTTTTTTTCACCCTTATTTTTAGGAAGTGAAACCAATACCTACTTTGGATCTTTAAGCGGCGAACTATATTGAACAGATTTCTTAATTACAAGGAGTAGGTATATTAGTTTGAATCACTTTTGACGTTGAAACGTTCGACTTCCATCAACCCGTTGACGAGATATTCCACTTTTAAGTTTCGACAGAGGGGGAGTGATCATGCATCATTCATGTGCAGGTGGCATAACGCGCGGCGATTTAATAGTATCTCCCAACATTCATCCCCCCCCCACCGTCGAAACTCCAAAGTGGAATATCTTGTCAACGGGTTGTCGGAAATTAAACATTTCGACATTTAATTTAAACTAATACTATCAGGACCGTATCAAGAGGGTAGGGTCGAGCGGTACCTACGACACCCGCGCGATACTCGGCAGGGCACAAAAATATTATCTTAACAAATAAAAACCCATACGAATTACGTTAAATAGAGATTTAAAATTTAAAAAAAAAAAAAAAAACAAAAGTAATTAAGAGAGATAATTAAAACCACTAATTTGATTGTATAGTTGGTAATAATCTTTCTGCTTTGAGTTTTCAGTATAAATTTGAAATCACAAGGGCGTATATTAAAACTTCGCACCTTGGTCGCTACGTTCCTGCAGCTAATTCTCCATCTATTTATGGAGTTTTTAATATTGATTACCGTCGGAAAATAAAAGTTAATTAGTAGTTTAACCCGTTAAAATAAATGGCGAAAAAAAAATAACCATAACGGGAACATTTTAGAACTATACTTCTACTTCTCGAGATAACGAGTGCTTTTACGTTATGTTGATCACTCTGTATTATAGGCTGTGACCATAACTATATATGCTGAGCAATTAAAAGAAAAAACAAAAAGATAAAACCCAATTAAATTGATTTAATTATATCCCTTTATTTTAATTATACCCTTTGATACCGTATACGTAATTGGAACCGGGTGAATGTAATTTAAATACGAATAGCCGCCAATATCGTTAAGTTGAACAACGGGGTTTTGCCAATCTGCGGTGTATTTTGTATAGGAAAGAGAGGGAGAGAAGGAGAGTGAGAGAGAAAAAAATGTATAAAATATGCGTATTCGTTCTTACTTGGCCAATGTCAAAAAAGCGACGGCTATTTCGTTGACCGCGGATTCGGGATATCCGCTGGACCTCAAAAGCGGTTTTACGTTGTCTAAGAATTTATTACTGAATATCCCGTTGCTGACGTCCTGCGTGGATAACGGTGCGGGGTTCATGTTGTATCCGGTCTGATTGTTGGCTGAAACGTATTCACAATGATAATAAAATAGATAACAGATTATTATTTAGCCGACTGCCTGGCAACAGTGATCGACATTTCCGAATAATAAAAAAAGAATGTTTTTTTTTCGGCAACAAATTGAAAAATTTTAAGTGAAAATAAAATTTTCTAAAAAATCCCGAGAAAAACGCGTTTCTCCGAAATATTTACATTTGTATCTTTCGTTTTTTCCTCACCTCAGACTGCCGGGAAAATAACAAAATACGTCGTGATCGTTTTGCCGATCACCCGCCAACAGGGATCTAAATTTCGAAATGAAAAAAAGTTTTATTTTTCAAGAAAATTGAGACATTTTTGGTGAAAGTAAAATTTCCTAAAATAAAAATAGGGCCGAGAAAAAAATTAAATTTTCATTTTTCCCTTTTCCCTCCGGGAATCTAGGACAAGGAAAAAACGGTTTCGCCACGAAAATCGATCACTAAACGTCGACGACATCGCCATGTCAAACTTACAGCAATTATTCGGGGCCAGCGCGTACGGTGATCCCGTGGGGTTGAAATTCGCCACGGGACCGTTCACGTCCGCGTAGCTTAAATTTGGACAGGACGCGCTCAGCGGGTCTTCGATTATCTTGTTCAGTATGCACGAGCACACCTTTTTGTTTCCTTCCGTATCGCCTGCGAACAAACAACGTATAATATATTATGCAGTTATCGTGGAAAACCAACCAAAAACTGCACGAGCGGTTGACGATGGTCATTTGAACGAGTGTATAATATTATTGTTTTTACCCGCTTGGACGTCGCGGACTGATTGCATCTAATCATCATCATAATATATTTTACTTGCAGCGCACAAAAAGAGATTAGGTATATAAATAAAATGTCCACGTGTCTCACGTACAAAATATTTATTTAAACTTCCCTCCCTCCCCCCCCCAGTAGTTATTTTCGTTTCGCAGGGGACAGCGAGCACACCGAAACCCGAATAATTGAGCAAGAAAAAAATAACAGTTCTAGGACAATGGGTACGGGTGCAGCCGCTGTTGTGAGTGGGAAGTCGGAAAGGTAGGATATATAGACGGGAATTTAATGTACATCTGTAAGAACGATTAACCATTGCTAACGAAAAAACGTTTCTGAGCGGAGTTCAGTTGATAGTGTTACTTTCTCAACAATATGTATGTCATATAGTAAAATAATTATACATGCATTACATATTTTCTTTAATAATATTTGTTTGATATTGTACTTATTTTACGGTTTTCTCGGTTTCCCGTGTTTTCTCCTGGTTTTCCCATTTATTGGGAAAATCAAAAAATGAATCTCCTTAAAGTACCTCCCCAATCTGATTTTCTTTTAGCAAAACTGCTTTTAATGGAAATCTGAGCAAAATTGCTGGTAAAAAAGCTGTCTACAGAATAAAAAAAATAAACATCATTGTACAACCATAAATTTCTTCGCTCCACTCAGAATCCAAAAGTTTCCAAAAATTTCTCCCGTAAACTAGATTTTCCGTTCCGTTCTTCTATATATTATACAAAAGAAAAGCTAAGGCAAATACACACGAAAAACGCTTGAATATACCACAAACTTGTACCTCGACAAATGCGAAAACTATCTTAAATTATTGTTTTCTAGCACCCGGGCGTTCTTTTTTTCGGTATAATAAACACTCGCCCGAAATGGTCTGCGTCCGAGTAAAATAATTTACCTGAAACCGTAATGCACCGTTCCTGTAGTGTCGTGTCCTTTGCTTTTTGCGATATCTGTACGAAACATCCGCTGTCCTCTTTCAGCTGTTTAATGTACGCTCCGGCTTTTCCGATGATCATGCCCGCCGTCGAGTTGGGTATCAGAATTTTCACCTTTTAATAATATTTTTGTAAATCATTATCGTATAGTGATGACCTCTACGGGTAAATATCTATCGGGTTCGCACATTATCAATACATATTATATACGATAGTTGTGATGACGTATTGTATAATTTAATTTGTTCCGCGTTCAAAGTACCGTGTCTACGTTGTGCGATTCATGAAATTTACTAGTTAATTTTTACAACCTGTAATTTTATTATTCTTTCGGGTAAACAATTGTTTATTCATATCGCAATAATTTATCGTGGTATTCAATTATTTCTTATGATTCTTTCGGAATAATAAAATGTGTTAAAACTACACAAAACAACAATACATTTTTTACGAGTCGATTCGTTAACTATTCGTATATATATAATTGGACGGCATTCGTGAAAAGAGTATAATAATAACTCAGTTATTAATAAGTACCATTTTATCAAATTGTTTATTTTCTATACACCAATTTGGGGAAAATTTCATGACGGATCGATTGGTGGCGGGCACTGAAATATGTCTATTTTCTTTTAAATATCGTGTAATTACCAAGCGCGTTTGGGCATAAATCAAAATAGGAAAATCTGTTGGTGCAAAAGGGTACAAGGTTATCTAGTAGGTACGGTACATACATTATTCAATATTTTTTTCGGTTCGCTAAAAAGTTACAAATTTACACCCTTTGTCACGAACTCCGTCCAATTACTAATGCTACCGGCTAACGAAAACGACTGCATCCAAATAACAGTCCCCATACCAAAAAATTGTCATCCCGACAATAATATTGTTTCCACGATTATTGGTCCGCGATAAAGATTTTCGAAAAAAACGAAACGCAATCGGATAACGTTTAGTTAATATTAATGTAACATATTTCCCATCATTACACGTACACGCGTACATAATTTAATAAATTGTCGCCGGGTAGGTTATATACTCGTTATCGCATTCGGTAATCTACCAATGTCAATGGATCGTACATATTAAATAGTGTTTGCGTAATACCATTGAAAACTGTATCGCGTTGATGGCATTTAGATTTATAATCAATGGCAATACTAAGACAGTCCTGAGTCTGTATAAAATGGGACGGGAAACTGAAATTGCCTTTCACAACAACCCGCGATAATCAATTTATGGACTTTTCGGAACCAATTCCGGTTACACCGGCTGTAACGTAATACGATTTCATTGTTACCTGCTTCTCTCGGTCTGCAATCGCATCTCCGGAATTTTGAACTCTGTTCGCGGCCTCCGGTTTTTCGCGAATCCGTTCCATGATGAACGTTAACGCGGCCATTATGTGCTCGGAACTCGATCCAGATATAATGCAAACTCTTTCGGTCGTTCCTATTGGAAAACAAGAAAACAATTATTATAGCACATATATAATTGTTAGTAAACACAACCTATTACATTGTATACGATCAATCGCTATAAAACAATTAATACAAATTATGACGGTCGTGGCTGAATCCTTTTCATTTCGTACAAAAATATTATTTTACTCGGTTAGGTCGAATTATAAAAAATGTTTCGAGTTTTAGATTTTTAGCAGAACAAGGAAACTATTCGGCTTACAACGATTACGACATCGGGTTTTTTCTTGTCTCGGAAATCATTTTTGTAAGTGGTAAAAATACTTTAAAAGTTTCTTCCTTGACTTTATATATATATATGTAGGCTAAATAAAGTACCTTAGAAAATGTATTTCAGAGTAGTTATTTTTTGAATTCTTGTACGTTTTCCAAAAAACTATAAAAACCAAAAGAAAAGAGAAAAACGAAACGATGAAGCACAAGAAGGAATTTTCTTTTTTATTTATTTAAATTCAATGGATTATTGTTGCACTTTGCTAAAAAAAAAAAAAAAGATTTACATACGACCCTTTTGCAAAATGTACATTTTCCAGTTTTCGTCTCAACGTACAAAAAGTATGTATTTGTAATTTTTGGTAACATTGCCTATAAGTAATATGTTTAAAACTTTGCAGTATTGGTACTTTTTTTTCTTTCTAAAAAGCGTAAATAAAGTTCCAATTTTTAAATTCCGTTCATATTGCACCTAACTTGAATATGGGCAATGGGCACTTTATAAAACTCTAAATGAATTACATTTTTTTCTTCTGAAAATACGCAATTCTAAAATTAGCTCAACAGCTTGAGACGTAATCCTTTGCATAAGCTAGTAAAATTAAAAATTAAAAAAAAAAAACTCTTTTTTTTTAATTTTATTTCGTTAGTAATTCTCTATACTAGTTTCCACTCTGTGATCGCTATATCATTTCTCGGTGACTAAAAAATTATAGCATACCTACCAAAACTTTTTTAAACCGATAAACATATTGTTGAATTATAATTCAATAGCATATTTTTATAAAACTACATCAACGTATGGTCGTGAGGTGCACTAACCGAATTGTCGAACGGAGAACAAAACACTGATAATTTGTGACCGGGTATACGTGTAACAAACCGGAACGCTGGATTAACAGGAAAAAAAAGCAATAGATCCGGAAGATATTACGGGAGTGCTGAAAATAACATAATATGGAGTCCGTGAAGGTCCGGAGAAGCGAACGGTTTGGACGTGTGACGCGTTACGAGATCGGAAACGTCGAACCTAAAGTGCGACGGTCGAATGATCTGGAGATCTAGAGGACGTCCGAGGGAACAATGGATGGATGTGGCGAAACGGGACCCGGAGAAATTATTAGGTGTGCGTAGTGAGTCGACAAAGGACAAAGAACACACACGATCGCGGGGGAGTGGGAAAACAGCGTTAGCGGCGGCAACGGTTTTCAAAGAATTGCGAAGTTATAAGGGAAGAAGAAAAAAAAAAAAATAAATAAATAAATAAATAAAAATTTGTAGATAAACGCGTTCGTTCCGCTTAAACATATTAGACATGGTATGGGAACGTTAGAGATTTCTCAGTTCGTGGGGTTATTACGCAACGTACCTGTACGACGACGCGACGTCGCCGAACAAAACACTACATAAAATATGTTTATTTCGCAGATAAATAAGTGGCGAATTGAATTACGCGTCTCGCTCCTTCCATCATGTCTATACTCTACTCTCGAAGGGCGGTTTTTTTTTTTTTTTCATTTAAATACATTTGATCCATTGAATAATAGATTTTTAAAACGTTGTTTCCGAGATAATATTGTTTTTCGGCGAACAATGCGAGCGGCGAACATGTATCAGATATTTCCGAGTGAATAGAGTAATATACACTTTTAGGGTTTATTGTTCTCGAAAAGACTCGCATACTTTACTGTATTATATATATAAATAAATAAATAATAATAAAAAAAAACATATTTGCAATTGTGTCAACAATGTTTTATCCGGTCGTTTAATCGGCTATTTTGTACCGGAAAGGTATATTTTTAACATATTACTGAATACAATAAAGATTATCACAATAATAAACGGATAGTTAAAAACTCTTTTATTATTATTTTCATTTTTTTTTTTTTTTCTTAAAGCTGCAATAAATTTGGCAAAGGTCAAAGGCAAAAGTTCCGCTCTAATGCGGCGTGTCTATTCGAATCGGCTAGGTATACATTGCGGTTTTCATATTTCTGCTACCATAAATCAAGATTATTTTTTAACTCTGATAATATATTGTAACAATGTAACAGTATATATCGAGAAGAAAAAATCTGATTTATTTATATTTGATTTCGTAAAATTATAATCTATTAACACTTATAGCTACGATACGTAAATGGTAAAAAACAAAAAGAAAAAAACAAAGACACAATGAAACAATATTACGCCGGTTATTATATTGAAAAATTTGTATTTTTTAAAAAAAAAAAAAAAAACGATTTGTAAAAAATGTTATTTATTGAATGAAGAAGGTTAGTATCAAAACTATACCGATTACTGGTTATACGCCCATCGGTATAATTATGATTTCATTTTGAGGTTATACTTTTAGATTCCGAGCGTAGCGAGGGAGCTATTGATTTTACTAAGATGTTTAATTTTTTTTTTTTCTAGTCTGTGGACACGTTTTTTCCTAGTAAACTTGCTGCGATTTTTACGTGTAGCAACTTGAAGGTTCAAGTTGTCTAGATTGTACTTTAAGGAGAGCAATTTAATTTTCGACGCCATTTTTTTAAATAAAAGGACTTGAATGGGAAAAACAGTAGGAAAACGTACAATTTCACGATTTCATTATTTTATAAAAATACGGACGACGTTTTCTACCAGAAAAAATGATTTAATTGAAAAATCACAAGATACCGTTTTTGTTGCCTATTTTATTTACTTTCTTACGGTATCATTGCCATAACTTTTGAACCACTCTTAAGCTTTTAAGGAATCTTAATTTTTGGGAGTTTTTGCTGTAATTCGGTTATAAATACACATAGGTACTTGAAACTTGGTAATAATACTTATATTAGACTTACCTAGACGTGATAAAATTCTCAAAATCATGGGACAATTTTTTTTTTTTTTGTTATAAGGGTTTTGAAGTCAAATTAAACCGAAAATGGCAAAAAAAATTACGGCACTGCAAATAATGAATTACCAAACTGCGCTCGGAATCGTCTTTCGTCAAGCAATAGTTTATCGTTGCTTACAGATATAANTGAAATAACCTTATGTATCCTACCTTCTCAACGTCTCACCTACAACAGTGGCCGCTCCCATCCCCAGTATCACCTCTTTTTTTTTTTTTATTATTTGTGTCTGTAAGCGATTTTACTAATAGACATCTTCTTCAAATCAAAAACTGTCTAGGGACCATTTTTGTTGCGTTTAAAAGAATACATTTTCTGTATTTTCCACCCGATTATTATAATCGGGGAAAGCCGAAAAAAAAGGCACAGGAAAAATGGGACATATTTACGGCCGTAAAATCTTCGGTATTTTCGATTTGATTTTTCTACCGAAAATGTTGATTCTGAGCCCCTCTCAGAATCTTTTTTTTTTATTGCAGCGATTTATCTTTCTTTAAAAAGAAAATATATGGCAATAACAATTTCATTATTTTTTTATACAGGTTTTTTTTTATGTCTAGAGACGAAATAAACTGTTCAAAACATTCTGGCAATCGTTTTGTTATTTATAGGCATCATATTATTTTCTAGTTTTTTTAAGGTTTCTTTGGTTTTATGTTAAACATTTTTGGCCGAGCAGAAATGTTTGAATATTTTATTCGAGTTTCGTCATAAATTGTACCCGGTGATGAAAAATTGAATGAAGAAATTCGTTCAAAAGTGATTTAAGCTAAAATTCTTACGAAAATTTTACAAATTACGGAATTTTAAATCACGTACCTATAGCCAAACTCCACTCAAAATCGTTATTTGGTTAACGTTGGTTTACCGTTGCGTACAGATATAAACGAAATAACTTTATATATCCTATACCTTCCCAAATTTGTTATTGTTTACATAAAGAACAAAATAACACGTACAATATTATTAAACTATATTTAATTATTCGATTAATGAAAAACACTTAAAATAATAATAATTATTATTATTCGAATGCACAATTTGATTCGTTTCGCTTGTCCTTTGCAGTTTGTACTACATTATTAAACTTGTGTGTGTGTGTGTTTAATTAATTTAATTTCATCCAGGAAAGAAAATTTGAATACCAAATTAATAACGTACGAATCAACGACCGTCATAAAATAATTAACTCTGGTCTAGATGTGTTTTTAATTATGATATTTTTACGGTTAAATAAATAAAACAATTTTTTTTTTTTTTTTTTTTAAATACTACACTCGAACGAAAAGCGAATAATGATAGAGAATGTTAATACAAATATTTTCCCTCGTAATATATATTATCGTGATAACATCGAAATTGAATAAGAGTATATTAAATGATAACATACATACATGCGTACGCATACGGGATGCTTTTGACGTAATGAAGAAGGCCTACTCAAAGATTAACTTGTGGTAAGGGCTCCATGCACGATTGTGGTACTTTCTTTCATTCTTTTAGATTCTGAGCGCAAAAAGAGGAACGCCTGGAAGAATTGGTTCAACTGTGCTTTGTTTTTTTTATATTTACATCTGTGAATACTTTTCTACTGGGAATCTTGCTCCGACCAAAACCCGCCAAGAAAGCTTTTTCAATTTGTTTAGTTTGTATTAGGTTTTATGTGAATACATTTATTTTGGGCGAGCAAAAACATGTGAAAATTTAACGCGAGGTTCCTCATAAGATATGTTTGAATGGTAAGAAAAAAAAAGTCGAGCGTAATGTCGTTATTTTTTTTTTAAAGATGTTTAAGTTTAAATGTTTACGAAAACCGTAAAAAATAAAGGCATTTTAAAATATGCGTACAACCGAACTTCGCTCAGAATCGTTTTTCGTTAACAACAATTTGTCGTTATGTACATCCCAACTACTCTCTTACAATAATGGCACACCAATCAGCTGTATCAGCTCTTTTTTTTTTATTTATTTCATATTATGCCGAAAGTGATAAAATATTATAATGTTATCATTTACACACGAACGGAGTTATTCTAGTATAATTATTATTTTTTTTTTTTTTGTGTCCCATTACTTATTTTTTCTATCGAGACAGAGGTGCGTTGTGTCTTCGTTTGCAAATATATTAAAACACGTATACTTAAGTAAAAACTTAGCCAAGTGTACAATTGATTGGTTTTGTTTTTAGAAATAATTAACTATCAATTCTTGTTGATATAAGTAGATGCGTAGAGCGAAACCTTTTCCTACGTGTAAGGAATAAAGTATACATTTCAAAGCTATTTTACCAATTTTAGAATTGTAGGTAAGATCTATAAAACAACGGTTGAACTTAACAAAAAAAAAGATGAAAAATAATGAATATGTAAGATACGATTGTTTCAAAATATCTTTTGGTTGATTTTTTTCTAATTATATTATAATATATTTTTTTTTTTTTTTTAGATCCAAACAAAAATTGTTTTAAATTATAGTCAATTATAATTTCTTCTCTCCGTTGTGAAAAAATATGCATTATATATCTTTTGACTCTAGTCTTTTGTCGAATTATAATTGAGTTTAAGCGTGTTAGGTAAAAACAAAAACCTATACACATTTTTATTCGATAATTGCACTCCGAAGAGATAATATTATATTATTACGAAAAACAGTAAATATAATTATTTAAGACCATCAATCGATACGTTTCCAATAATTCAAACAAACTTTATGAAAATGATTTATAATAATTATGCATTTTACGTATTACGTTTGCGCGTTATTTGTAATTTATGGTTTCATTTCTCGGGAATAATGGCCCGCACATTTATGGAGTATATTTAGATTAAAACAATATTATTATACTTCGTCGATTTGTATATTGTAAAATTCAAATTTTCTCTAAAACAAGTGTACCGAGTAGGTATTATATACAATCGAAACTACATATATTTTATTTTGTATTAAAAATACTTATTACAGATTTAAATGTCTAAAATAATATTATTTCCGTTATTTTACAAATGATTAAGCAGGAGCGAAATATAATGCTTTTTGAATCTACTATGTAAAACGATATTGTTTGTAAATCAATTTGTAAGTAGGTATACAATCGCTTGAGCTTATAAGTACACTCTTAACATATACGCGAAGAAGACGATATAATATTGTATTCAGCTCGAACACGCGAGATTTGCGAAATTATAATCAGTGATGTATAATGTATACATTTTAAAATATCACTATAAATATAAGTGATACTCGTTGCAATAATTATCTAGAAGAAGATAAAATATAATTAACTAACTAGATGGAGTAACTAAAACGCTTTGAAAAAAAAAAAATTAAAAACGATGATTTTGTTCATAACCTATCATAAAATACTAAGTGTTTAAAATAGTAAATGTGTAAACCAGATTTGATACACATCTAGATTTCAAAAAAGTTCATTAGTTTGTTATAATATTGTATTATTATGAATTAAATATTTATCCTATTATTTCTAATAAATACGTAAATATTATAATTTAAAGAGATTAACTTAGATAAATGTATAACGTAATTCAATTGTTTATCTCGGATGAAATATTTATCATTTATTTAGATAAGATAATAAACAAAAATTTCAAAAAATAAACTTTTTAATGTTCATAGGAAATTCAAAATGATAGAAAAAAGCTCGCACGAAGTCTTTAATTAAAGCAAGTATTCTGGATAAAACCACAATATATACGGGCATAAAAACGGAAAAGTGCTGTCTGGAATAGGAATAACTATTATATTCTAAAGATAAATTTTAAAATATCTAAACATAGATAAGCGATCATTACTAGATAATTACCTATATAAATGAAGGTGCTTAATATATAACAAATTCAATTATTTAGATAGTGATTAACAACTTTTGATCTAGATAAAAATGGAACAATAGTTTTGTTCATTAATAGCTGTTATTATTTTATTTTTATCTAAACAATGTAAATCAATATCAATTACCTATCTCAGATAAATTATTCATCATTTATCTAGATAAAACCCAACAGTGCTTTTTAAAATATACAATGTTCAGTTCAAGTGTTACATAATATGGAATTATAAAACGAATACAATTAAACAAATGACACGACTGTAAGTTAAAAACAATATTTCATTTCAGTAAGGAAAAAATAATTTGAAAATAGTATATCTACTCAGATTCGAAAATTCAAACTTTTTATGTGATAAACTCGTAAATTGACGAACAATTAAACCATAATGAATTACGGACATAGTTACGTACTTAAAATAAATCAATATTTTCAGTTTTTTTTTTTTTTTTTTTTTTAACATAGTTTACACAAAAGGTTTTTTTTTAATGAAATCATTGACGGATTTTAAAAATAATATTATTTTTAACGATCAATAGGTCTTTTTTGTTTAACTGAAAAAAAAAAAAATAATAACAACCAGTACACGGATATACACTCGGTTTACCCACCTAATAAAATACATTAAGAGACGTCAATTTATCGGTGCAAAAACAAGTGTTTAAAGTACCGACGGTACTTTAAAACTGATCGTTTTAAAAACAAAAGGAAACGCCATGAGAAAGGTTATACAGGAATTACGCTTTAGGTGTATATTATGTTTGCATTTTATGATACCTATAATATTGATAGGACTGTCGGGAGTTGCCTGTTGGGCAAAGATGTATCAAAGTATAATCGTGTCTGCAGTATAAGTGCGGAAAGAAAATATTATATTAAATGATATGAATGGTTGATAGTTTAACCAAGTTTCACCAATGGGGGTTGTGAACATTTCCCTAAATGTGTAAGTTTGCTTGAATGAGAAAATAAAATTGATTCCAGCCGATTTTTTTTGAAAATTTTTCAAAGCAATTTATGGATTTAATAAGTCGGGACAAAAAATTAATTTAATTTTCAAAAAGTAGATTTATAAATTTGTGTATTTAATTTATTTTTTTATTTTTGCCAGCCCCCATTGCTATTAAAAGAAAATATTTTTAAATTTGTATTAACCGTAATAAACGATGAAAAAATAATTTTGACCAACTCATTTGAATACGTATTTATAAATCTATTTTGTCTTAATGTTTATTCTAGGTTTACCTAACCAACAAAAAACATTTTTTGTGTTTCTTCGTAACCAAGTCAAATAACGTTTCAAATTTGATATAATATTAACGATCACGATGTAATGTGTATGGATGATGCCAGTTTGACACCAGAAGTAAAATAAAAATAAACCAATTTGGTGTAATTATATTTTACTTTTATTAAAATTTAAGTTAAAATTTGTTGGACATTTAGAAATTTATTACCTATTACATGTCCAAATCGAACACTGATTCGAAAAATAATTGTTTTAAAAATATGAAAATACTTATAGTATAAAACGTTTTAATAACGTCAACTTACCAGGATAAAAATCGTTAGTTTTTGACATTTTAATTTTGGTATTAGTCTCCGTCTGTAGCTGTGCGATTGTTTCCCCGCCTTTACCGATGATGGCTCCGGCAGTAATACACGGGATTAAAATTTTCATATGATACATTCCATCCGAATTTCCTAAAAAAACAAAAAATTATATTTTTAACTATAAAGAAATAATCATCATAAAAAAAAACCCCTGATACTTAGGGTAATTCCTTGAGTTCCCGAAAGTTTTTTCAGTTTCTAGTTTTAATTTTACGAACAATATTGTTTAACGAGTATAATGAACTTTTAAATATAGAACTCAAAAGAACATAAACAATCAAAAAAAAAAAAAATCGGTCGGACGCCTGCCTATGGCCGAGATACCCCGAAACGAGTATCTAGACACTCGATACTTTCCAGAACTTTATCATTATACAAGATATAATTGTAAATAACAAATACTGCCCAACCCTTGTTTTAAAACTACTACAATAGCGTATATTTCCTAAAGTTTAACGTGAGTTAATGACGAAGTTTAAAATATTTACATAGGAATTATTCGCCGCCGCCGAACTAAAGGTTCAACATAAATAAACTAGCGTTAAAGTTAACATTATACAGTTATGATGAAAAAATAAAAATCAACAAACGTACAATTTATCATCAAACTGTAGTTTTCAACGATGTACGGGGTTTTCGTTATTTCATTGCGATATAAAATAATTATTAAGGGCGTAAAATTAACCCCGGTCCTGTACGTTTGATGATTAAATATTGGATTGTACAATTTGTTTGGGGTGTACGGGCACGGGCACTGCGGTAAACAATACACGAGCGCATAACGTAACGGCCCGGTCGATTAACCAAGCCACGCGAGTCGTAATATATTATAATGAAGCGACGTTGTTATTATTATCGTTATTTTTTTTTTTTTCAATAAAAACAAACAGCCCCGATATATTTGTTCGCGGTTTGACTCGAAATGGTATTGAAATATTGTTTACCCTGTGAGATTATTTAAAACCGTTTAAACCGTATTGTACGAAACACGAGCACCCCTACGCCAAAGCCTAATCCGAAATAATTTATTCGCGCGAATGATAATGTTGAAGGAAAATGAACAATGCCGAAACAATAAAATTTATTGGCGTTTAATAATATTCCTCGTTACACGCAAAAGCTAAAAGCACTTATTGTTACGAAAATACTCGTTCGCACGTTAAACAGACGGCCAGGGGTAGATATTATTTGAGGGTTTTTTTTTTTTAAAAAAAGGCTTGGCAAATGTACGATAGTGATTTTGGCAGGGCGGCCAACGACAGTCTGACCATACCGGGCGTTAAATTACAATCAGTTTAATATTGTGCCAACGGATTATACAGTATAATATTACAGGTACCCGGTTATAGCGGCCACCGGTTTCAGTTGAACGTTAGCTTTAAACCTACGAATAAAAGTATTCCGAAACCGAAACGAAATAACGGTCTATAGAAATGTTCGGGGTACACTGAACAATTATATTTTCACACGATAGAATATTTTTTATTTTTTTTCGATGTAACCTAAACGTTGAACATAATAAAACATGAATAATTATAATAACGTTATAATATGTAAAACCCATCCGTACATTGCAATATTTAATTTCCCTATTCGGTAACCCATTTTATATTATTTATAACAAGCCGTTCGGTATTTTCTCCAAAATCTTACCCACGCGTGTTTAAGAACGGATTATAATAAAATATAAACGCTGTGTTGCTATATAAAGTTATATTTTATTGTACCTATACGTTCTAAAAGATTTCGTATTTTGAACATTACCAACCTAAGTAAATAATATGACAAAATCGTATTATTTAATATATCAGCGCGCGGAGATGGATTCGAAAATATCGATTTTCGACGACGACAACGTGTACAAAAAAACTTATCACAATCGCTTTAACGTGACGCTTTTGAGCTTTTGTGGACATTGTTGTTTGTGACATATTGAAGGACAGGGGACCGAGATGACTGGGTTGAAAACAGTTTTGTACTTTTATCCTATAGGCACCTACGCTAGAAAGAACATTTTTTCAATATAAGACAAAAAATATATATAACCTTAACGCATCAAGAGAAGAAGAAAAAAAACACCTCTCGAAAAATATGTGAGAAGTTTTGTTAGAGTTTATATATAAATACTTTTTATTCTTTTCTTTACAATCTATTATTTTTTTGTATTATAACAATAGAAAACTAAAAATATACAATATATCTTTGACCGATATTTAGTTATTATTAAACGAAAATTTGTACGGCAATAAGTTATTTTCTTAAAATCGATATATTATTTTTTATTCACAAAAATACGCTATATAACTTTCTAATTTTTAACAATATTTATTGCAAACAAAAGAAAGGCCAATACTGTTGATGTTCCACTATTTTAGAAGGGTAATTGGAAGAGAGAATATATTAAGAATAATTTAATTTATAGCCATTGCTAACGAAAAACAATTCTGAGCCGAGTATTATTAGTCGTATTTTTCCGTTTTTGCCAAGATACACTGGAATCAATAACAATTATACCAAAAAACTAATAAGATAAAAAAATAATAGAAACAATTTCCTACAATGGTTTTGATTGGAGTAAGATTTTCGGTGGAAAAGTTGTTTGCTGACACAAAAAATTTAAATCGCGTAATAGTATAACGTATGATACATTCCTCGCTTCAGAGCCTAAAACCATCTGCAATTAAAAATATTTATATATTTATCTGAATTATTTATTTATTTATAGATGTTATGTAGATACATATAATACATAAATTATATTTTATACATACTATCGTACACTTCAACGGTACTGCAATGTTGTTTATACGTAGGTACTTATTATAAAAACTAGTAACAAGTATACTTGGGTGCACTTAAGAGAATGTCAGTGCACAATTTGTTTTCTCTCTCTGACCCATGTGTAGCATAACAAATTTGCGTTCGACAGTACCAAACTCGTGTTGTTGAATTTAGTTCTTAGTATTAGAGTGAATTGACCTATTAAATCAAAAATTTGACTTATTAAATCGAAGAATATTATCTGTGTTTGTACGTTGTTTGAGATTCTGAGTGTAGCAAAAAATGTATTGTTTTTTTTTTTTTTTATGTGAACACTTTTTTCTACCAGAAAACTTACTCCAAAGTATACGATACAGAAAGGAAAATGTCTTAGAGTAGTATTTTAGGGAGGTCATTTTTCGATTTTCTCAGGAAATTTCTCCTAAGAAATATTATTGTTACTCTAGTTTTAATTTGAACGAGGAAATATATCGAGCTACGGTATCGTATATCGAAAACCAGACGACTCTACATGAGTATACAAAAGTCGATTTTGACGAGAAAATATTACGTTTTATTAATATGCGTAATATTATTATCACCGACGCATAAAATTGCACTCGTATTATTATTATTTGGGCACGAAACGCAGAAACTGTTTCATATAAGGGGAGGGGGCACAAATATAGATGGTGTCCATATAGTTATACCATTATATTTCCTGTATTTTATTAGAGGAGAGCGATATGTTTGTCCATCTATGTTTTGAACGGGGCAGACGAGCGTCCCCCCCTCCCCATTTAGCCGGTGTTACTATGTATAAAGATAAGTTTTCGTTCGCGCGATCCCGGTTAGTGATCTAAATTTTATCTGTCAAACAGTGAAAGACTTGTTGTTTAGAAAAAAAAAATAATACGATTGCATAATATAACATGATACTCATTTACGATCGGCTAAGAGTTTTGAAGCGACCAAGTTCAGCAAGGATAAGGACGAGATATTGACAGAACGCGTGGCCAAACATCCCCCAAATTTATAATCCCCGAAACAAGGATTTTGAAGACGCATAACTACCAATTTTTCTTCCGGTGATATTGGTTTGTTTGCGAAAACTATTGGAATCAAAGTTCAATCGTCACTTATTAAATTCGAAATAATATTGAACATTCGAACCAATCACGGTTTATTCTGAAAAAATTCCCCGAACTCGATTTCGTTGTTTTCCAAACGGCCGTTGATAAGTATTTCGCATGATAACCTTCGGTACTTTTCCGCGTAAATATAATGGATCGTGTTTTTTTTTTTATGTTTTCTCCTTTCGACAAATACCAGAAAAAAACCTCATCGTCGTTTTCTTCATGTGTGTAGTTAAAAAATTGTCACGATCTAATTTTTTTTTTTTTATTATATTATATCAGAATATACCGTATTAGTAAAATTAAAAATAATTTTTAAAACACGCGCGGTACACGTGGCACTCGTTAACTCGTTGACACAATTCATACCGTTCGGTATGAGTCGAAAATCAATGAGACATAAATTTCCGGATCGCGACGCAGACTAACCAAGTCTACCAAGACGATACCATAGTCTAACCAAGAAGATTGACCAAAAACCTGCAAGACTAAGATTTTGGTTCGTGGTTCGCGATCGCACAAACGAAAACGTATTACAAGTGTATTACAATATTATTACACAATTCTATAGGTACCGATTAACGGGAGCCAACTGGGAGGAAAAACGGTCGAGTTTGCCGTTTCCTGGGTCACAACTTGGGCGTTCCGACCCTCCGGTATACGTGTTTGTACGGTGGTGGCTTCAAAAATAATGATTAACGGTTTTTATTGTGTACAACTATTTCGTGTTCGAAATACTAATAATAATATGTGAAAATATAATATAAACGGACGTCCCGGTAGAATATTAAGTAACACACTATAATAAATAATAATAATATTGCCTTCTCCTGCAGTATAGGTACTATACGGTTATTAATTCGGGGTTAGGGACTTACGCCTGGCTATATATACGCATTATAGCTTGCAGTGGCGTAACTAGCAGCAAACGTTCGGGGTAGTGAACACTTTTATATGCTTCGTATTCTCCCATAAGCACAAATAGGGGGTTATTGAGACTAACTCCCCGAGAATACCAATTTACCCCCCCCCCCAAAAATCATTATTCTGACCTTTTTTTTCCATACCTTTTAAATACAATAGTTTATGACGATGATTAGCAATTGATGAAGGATAAACAAATTTAATTTTGACAAAAATTTTTTTTTCTGGCTTAAGCCTCCAAAATCTAAAACACTATTTGCGCCTATGCCCTCCTGTCATATTAGATTTTAGAACCCAAATTAACGTGTTCCCTTTTTAGCTTGCGTTTAAACCGTTGAATAGACACCACTTACGCATAACTTCTTTCTAAATAATTCTAAAAATAATAATAATATCCGCAGTTTAGTTTTAAAATAAAAATCCACATTATAATACATTTATAAATTGTATTTATCATATCACATTTCATTCTTAGTGATTAGTTTGAGTTAAATATATACTATTATACTACAAAGATTATAGGAATTCATACAGTAAAAAAATTATTTAAAACTATTACCTACTATCTATTGTAAATCAATTTTTCGATTTTTATTTTTATTAAAGAGATAGATTTTTTCGTTGTTTACATTTCTTTCTCTTTCGATTTATAATATAGCCATGTTTGAAAGACGATATTGACTGATGGTAGTTTGCTTAGGTTTTTTAAAGAAGAAAATGATCTTTCACATGATACGCTGCTACTGGGAATGGTTAAAACAATTTTTAACAATTCAACTATAATTAGGAAACAATTTTGAATATCTGTGGTTTTTAAATACAAAATTGTATTTCCAATGTTATTTACTTTTCACAGCTTTTAAACATTTCGTTAAATATTTTTAATTCAGCAGTTATCTTCATTTGGTCCATAGAAATTGCAAACTTCTTGAATTGAAGATTGACTAAAGCTTTTGTTGATTAGTGTTTCCATCAGTGAATGTAAAATAGATTGATCATTTTCATTGAATCTATCTTTGATTTCTTTCATGACAATATCCAAAACTGGAAAATATAGAGATTCGGTAATAGGACTTTTCATCATGAAACTCTAAAAAAACATAACCACTTCCAAGTTTTTTATGAGAAATCTTTCTATTCTGAGGAAGTTTTGGTGATAGAAATCCATTATTTTTTACCAAATCTTGTTACGATTCCCAACACTTATTGAAATTTTCATCTAAACGTAAGTCTTGCAATGATTCATAAGTTTCGATTGACATTTCCTTAACAAATGCATAATTTAGTGATGGGGACTGTAAATATTAAGAAAGTATGTCTATTTATTAAAGCACAGTTTTTAATAAAAACAAACAAAATTAAATATGCAATTCAACAAATTGTTTGCTTCTGATCCATAATTCACATCGTTATCAGACATATTTTGTTGAGAGTTTGAACGATAATCAGAATAAAATTAATATAAGCAAAGTATGATAAAGGTACATATTAATAAATCAGAAAATAAAACTATTAGGTATGTAATTGAAAAAAATGTCTACAAAACACAAACTATTATACTGAAGCTATAATTGTATATGGACGGGATAGCAGAGTGCAGCCCCGTGGCTCCCACCTTAGATCATAAATGGTCTAAAGTTTACCACAGTCTGCGTTATACTGTTATCACTTATCAATGACACGAAAATTCAAAAATAACTTTTTTTTTCTGATAACCACTTAAAGATAATCAAATAGTAAAAACGTACTAGCGCGGAATTTATTTTTATTAAATTACATAAATATTTTTGAGGTAACAAAATGATACTCTTGCGACCCCATACAGCTTTTCGGGGTCACGACCGCTACCCCAGTTACGCCACTGATAGCTTGACATTAAATCTAACAGAGTGCCGCGGAAATTTATGTCATGTGACACCGACGGTTCGAGTATGAAGTCAAAAAAAAAATATATATATCTATATATTTCGATAGTTAAAAAAAATAACAGTATAACGATTTTTACACATTTTTTCCCCGCATATTTCTAATTTTTGTGATTATGTAAGCCACCGTCGAAAACCCGGATTTTCATCCCAGCGATTTTTTAAAAATAATCTCGCCTCTGTATTGAATTCGTGTTTATTTTTGTTTTTGTTACATACGTGTCGCCTCGGTCGTCATCATTGTAAGGCATGGGATAATACGAATATATTTTTTTTAAAAATCCGAAAGTTCTAGCTATCAACAGCTATTTCCATCGAATTTTTATATTTTTCAAAATGTTAATAACAACCCGTATTTTATACTGTACAACAGCATCGCGATAATCATGATATTGTAATCACTATAGACAAACCGGCGATCTACTTTGTCGGTCAAACAATTGATAACACCTTGAAATTCAAAAAAGAACTCGGGAGCTAATCCCGAAAACTAATATGATTGAGAACGAATTTACGTGCGACGTTCCCATGGTTCGGCTATAAAACGATTCATCGCGTTGCATACTTTTAGATAATTTTCGGCCTATTTTCGTCTACACTTCACAAGTTGATTCTATACAGTTAATTATAATAACAGTAAGACGAATGTTTTTATTTATCATGGAACGAAACATAATAATACAACTTATATATTAGGTAAATTGTTAAAATTAACAACAGTAACAGCAGCTATTATAGATTGGTTAGATAATAGTTTTCATACGTTACCATTGATTTTTATAATATTATCCACCGGTAAAATTTTCGTTGTGAATTCGTGCCAAGGCGTATGCGATACAAATCTAACTTTTTTCCGCAAATGCCTCGTAATACTATAATATTATTGAACACAATTTTCTATGCAAAACAAGACCAGTATCAGACATCGTTCAATAAAAATAGTTAAATACGGCAACGTCGCAAAAAACATACTGTCTCGGCGACTTAGGCCATTGGCTATAGGAATCTTAACTTAACTATAGGTAATACATTCGATAAATCGTTTAACAATATTATAATTTATAACTAAGGGCAGGAACGGAGATGAAGGGGGAGGGTGAAAATACATAAACATTTGATAAACTGCAATACTATATGTTTGTACATAGTTCACCGATCCTTTAGGAACTCGAGTATATTATTGATACCGGAAATACAAATTTCAGAAAAAAATTTAAAATTTGTTTGAAAATTACAAGTTGGGCATATTGTGCATATCTTCTTTTTTCATCAGGTAATCATCACGGGTTAATCTTGTACGGCCTATTTTGAGACGGTATTTATGACCGCTTCGTCTTTACTAGTAAATGTGTCATTTTATTGACGTTATATAGGACGTTGGACGTTTCCCGTTCGTTTTGCCATGTGTCGTGTATTTTTTTTTTTTTTGTTATTTTTGTTTATTAATTTGACGTCGGACATTGAGTATACTTGACAGTGAATGGGGTTTGCCGTAGTAGCGGCTTCTTTCGCGCGAGTTCATCAGCTCTTTTATGGCCGATGATGTCGGTCCGGCTAGGCGCCCGCGTTATTTTTACGGTAAAAAGTGTTGCATGTTATTCGTCAAACGACATTGCGCACGAACGATTATTTCGTTCGCTTCCAGTAATCACCAGTGCCCATACGAGTTTGTTGCGCGGAAAACAATAAACGAACAAAAATCGTGTCGATTTTGTTTTCACATTTGTCCGCGCAACAATAATTATTGTCGGTTCTCTCGGAAAAACGCGTCCGCCCGTCCGTTGTAAACCGGCGAAAACGCGCGGGTCCCGATAAGCGCGCGCGCGTGTGGGGCGACCATTATTGTTGCCATCATTACTATTGTCGGCGCGTCACGTTTCGCAGTTTACCGAGCCCGAAACCGACTCGACGCGTTCCCGGCCTGGCCGTTATTGTCGCGCGCGACACGTCGACACGAAACCGATAGTTTTCGACGGTTCGGAACGCCCGCGGCACGGCGGCGCGCGTCACGTTCTAATCTACGGGAATCCCGTTTTTCGGTTAGGAAATACGCGAACGCCCCCGGAGTGTTCAGCGATATACTCGGGCATCCCCGTTTTAATTGAATCTGTCCCGCGGTACAGTCGCACACGGCACACGGTGTAGCCGACGCTGCGGCGTGCGCGTACGCAGCCCCGCGGAGTAAACGCAAATTCATTAAAATCGAAGCGTTCCGCAGTAATCACTTATTATAATCAGCCCCCGGAGCGCCGCCGTCGACACCCTCTTTATTCGTCAACTGCGCCGCGCCGCCGTCGCTTTTCTTTTTTCTCTTTTTCTTCTTCTCTCTCCTGCGCAAAAGTAGAACTGCGACGGCCGGTGCCCTGGCGAAAATTTAATTTGTCGAAATTACCGCCGCCGCCGCCGCCGCCGCGTACGACGACGACGGCGGCGACATTGTTCCGCGGCCCGGGCCCGGGCGTGAGCGGCTCGACACCGCGCCGCCCCGAGTGCTCTCGTCGTAGTATATATTATAAATATTAACAGAAGAGAGATCATATCGGGCCGTGTAAATAAATTGATTTAAAACGGGCACCGGGTAAGTGTAACTATTGTCCCGCGGGGCTCTGTAAACAGAGACGGAGTTTTTTTTAATTATTTCGTCGCCGCACAGTGCCCATAACGCGTTTTGGTTTCGTTTCGATATCGGTTCGCGTGTTCAAGGAAAACTCCAAATGATTGTCGTCGTAACACGCGGTTTTTATTATTCTGAGGTCGAATTTCGGCGGCCGAACCGCGAATTTCGATTTGCACACAGCAGGTATTGTAATATTACTCCTAACCAGTGTAACTGGCCGGTACAGGTACTGGGCGAAAAAGTTCAACGTTTTATATTTTAATTTTCATAATACCCGTTTAAACGCTGTGATTAATATTATTTTTTCAATTCAAATTAATTTATTACGCGATATTAACAATAAACGTTCGATGTGTTTCCAACGAACTTTGTTTATTCAAGTGTATACTGCATTACGTTTAATCCCGACGCTCTTTAAATGATTTCTTTTTTTATATTTTTGTTTATGGTGCCGAAAATATTCTCGGTCTTTGCAGAGTTTTCTCAACTCGCTTGTATAATTACCCGGCGAGAAAAATCCGTAGACGGTATATCGTAGTAATTATGGGATTTTAACTGTACAAAATATATATTATATGCGATACAACACGTTTTAATTATACGATAAAAACGTTCGGATGCCGTATTATTTATTCGATTCGGTGGATTTAAAATTAAAATCATTAATCAGTTTACCAACAAACTTTGTGTACGGTATCGTTAAACGTTCGACCTAATACTTTTAAAAGTACAGCCAACGGATATTATTAGTATTCGGTGATAGACAGTTTTTTTTTCCCCCCTGAAATTTATACACTTTAGTGCAGCGGAATTCACTTTAGATTCCGAGTAAAGCGACGAAGCTATTAGTTTCCAATGATGTATGTTTTTTTTTTTTTTTCTTGCCACCCTTCGAAAAACTCTTTACGGGCTAAAGTGAATAATTGTTAACGCTAAAAAAAAAAAATGATTTACGAATTGCGGCAAAATTGACATTTCAAAATATTTTTAGAAAAAAATCGCACTTTTATTTACAACTACTACGGTCGGTAATTTTCCTAGGGCTTAGGCCAAGATGTCACATTTTAATGTGGTGAAAATTAGTTTTATGACGAATCATACGAAATTGTATGTGCTTTAAAAGGACGTATCTCAATAATCACTATTGTGATAGTTGAAAATATCAATGTCGATAGAAAAATCACTATTGCAATATCAAAAAGACCGGAAAACGTGTTTTACTCTCAATTTCCCAAAATGCATTAAAAGTGAGATTGGCCCTTATTGACCAAAGCCCCAGATTTATATTTGAACCAAAAACCGGATTTTCACGCGACAACTCAGAAAATGTATCGTGAAAATATAAAACGAGTAGCACTGAAATCGTTGCAGAAAAAACACCGCGAGCGTGTAATGTCCCCCTCTCCGGTTTCTAAACGTACTTTATACAATTAACTATATAACAGTTCCGTAGATATTCCGTACGATTTTGATAACCTAATATAACCTAATAGTGCAGCGTAATTATTACTCGCGCTTACGTGCGTAGAAACCTAAATGAGTTGAACATCTGAATTTTTAGTACCGGAATAGCTAACAGTATTAATTACACGGACGACAGGGCATTTTTGAAATTCGTAAACTACTCAAAGTACCCCGTTACGAATTTTACGTTTAATATTTTACGTATTTGAATTAATATAATAATGATAAACATATCCGAACCCGGAGTACCGGAGTAGCGTAAGCCCCCAACGAATTAAACCACCCCTGTATACGCGTATACGGTTGATTTATAAATTGAAAATTGATTGTTTTAATTAATAACATCGGGTAGCGTATACACGTATAGGAACCTTAGTAAATAGTAATATGTTTTAGCCACAATCATTTGCTCATTTAAACAACTCGTTATCAGTACGTATAACACGAATAGTAGTATATTATAATATCCTTTCAGCACGTTTTTTTTTTTTCAAAATCAACGAGCCCACGTTCTTTTTTATATCCCGAAAAAAAAAACCTTTTTTATCGAAACCGCGTTTCAAAATATTAGCCATCTTTCGAGAGATACGCGTCACGGAAATAATCACATAAAAATTACGCGTAATTATATATTTTAAAATACCTAGTTTACGGTAAGTACTTGATAACGCTACAAATAATATACATCTCCTTGTTGTACAAATCGAAAACCGTTATAAATTACAACGAGAGTAATAAAATAAGATATTATAAAATAAGAGATACTGAATAATAATTGAAATGCCTATCGTTGAAATTTATTTTTATTTTGTTTTCATTTTAATTTTTTTAATTTGATGATTAGATAATTTATTCTGATGGTGTTTTTCATCAAACATTTTCGTTTAGTTTTCGGATGAAGATGGATACAAAAATCGAAATACTGTACCCTTTTGTTGGCCTAGTGGCCCTGGTAATAGGTATGCAAGTAGTAACTACACGGATGGGCGGACACAACGGGAATATTAGGTGCGTATTAACAACTTTAAGATACCTTTAAAAACTCGTAGTTTCGTTTCCTTTTCCGTCTGAAAATTCGTATAATTCGTATGCTGTATAATTTTATACGTCAGCGTCAGTGTCGGCAATTGACATAATGCTCGCGAATAAAAGCCTACCCGACGTGATTTCGCATAACAAAAACGGGTTTTTTTTTATTAATAGTGGCCAAAGTCCCCTAAACGAAGCGATTTTATTGATACATCTTGCCTACATTACCGACATTGTCTGAATTTCCGACATTGACGCTAACGTATAATATAATAATAAATAATAATATTACATTAGCATTCGACGATTTAAAATAACACGAGTGATAATACATATCAACGTATTTACATATCAACTTTTCACAAACGAGTATTGTACAGCCGCCGTATACATATACATACGTATTATTATATTCCTTAAAGCTCACCCGACAGCGTGTTATAATATAATATAACATCCGACTCGAATTTAAGAGTAGACAAATTATTTTCAATTTGTATCCGTATATACAGTAGTTACGCGTTGCGCACGGAGTCGAATATTGTTCACAGAGTGTACCGTATACGTGGTATACGTTTTTAGTCGAAAACCCAAAAATGTACAAATATCGTTTGCATACATTTACCGCTAAAAGTTCGACTAAGCTTTGTACAAATATACGTATAATATCATAACTGCGCGATTTAATTGATGGGCGAGAATTTCGTAACAGGTATATTTTGTATTTTGTTTGTTCAACTCTCGGGCGATTGGCGAAACAAAAACCTGAGCAGTTACACGCGTTATAAAATCCAGTGGTGAGCAACTCCGCGGTGTTTTGGACGCGTTTATGCGCGTCCTACCATTTTAAAAAATCAACAACAGCTGTTTTAATTAATATGATAATGTACGAATCCAAAGATATAATAAAAAGAACTCGTACAAAGAAGTTATAAGTATAATACGATTTAGTCCGGGGTTCCCGAAATTCCATCGATATTTATCTACAGAGTAATTTTTTTATCATGAATCAGCAATTATCTCAAAGGATTTTAGGTGAATTTGATTTCTGTTTTTTTTTTTAATCATTATGGAATCGTTTAAGCTTTAACTTAAACCCATTTTTAATTTTTTACGCCTACTCCATAAACCTTAACAAAGTGCATACATTTGATTTTCAAATGGGGAACCCCCTCTTTTGAACACAGATTTGAATAGAAAAATATTCTGTATTTATGTTCCCTATTTGAAAAGCAAATGTATGCACTTTGTTAAGGTATATGGAGTAGGGGTACAAAATTAAAAATGGCGTTTAAAATAAAGCTTAAACGGTTCCATAATGATAAGAACAAACAGATTCACTTAAAATCCTCTGAGATAATTGCCGGTTCATGATAATAAAATCACCCTGTATACCGATTTATTTAGAGCGCAGCCACGATTAAATTAAGAATAACGCGATAATATCGACTGTTTTGGGAACCAATATCAAATTTGAACTATGATTTAACTAATGAGTCCTAAATTAATGACAAAAAAAACATTGAAATATTAATTGTTGATCCAAAAAATAAAAATGTATGCCGGATTACTAGGAAAAAATGTAATTCAGCAGTAAAAGCGTTAACGTTATAAAAAAACCTTTTTTTGAAAATCCAATCTGGGAACAGACATTATTTATTTATACGTTTATTATAATAAGTATGTGATTTCAAAAAAGTTGATTATATTTTTACACGATGATTACGATTTTTAACGTTGGTGTATTCGAAAACAAACTCATCGATTGATTAAGGTTTTTTTCGGTACAGCAAAATAAACAATTTTCAAGGCGCAATTACAATTTTTTTACTAAATATACAATAATAAACTCATTATTTTCGCCCGCATCATTCGTGACGGAGACGAAATATTATAATCAAATTAATAGTATAGTATAGGGGCAATACAATAACGCTAACGATTCGCAGGTGACTATAGTCGGTAAACAATGTCACCGCCGGTAGCTGAGATATTTCAAAATTAAACTAAATAAAAAAATAAATAAATAAAATCGACTTTTTCTTTCACAAAGTGTGTATTACATTTCTATCCTATTGAGTTTTTCATGTTTATTACCTATTGGGTAAAAGGAAAAACATTTTCTCCGTGTGAACAAATCGATTTGGAGACCCGTTCAAAGTCAACACGTCGTTTAAGAATCTTTTCGAACAACAAAATACCCAGTACATATTGTGCCCAAGGAAATAATCAAAGTATCGGAGTTGATTATTATAAAATTGCACATTAATAAAAAAACACATAGATAACTGAATATTAATCCAAATTTTCAACGGTTAAGTCAATTTCATATAGTAATCAATGCAATTAATCTAAATTTTGAAACTTTCTAAATTTTATAACGACATAATTGCTAAATAGCTAAAATATTAAATGTCTTAACTTAAATATGGCAATTCAATGCTTATGCTCTTTTGCTAAACAAAAATAACCTAGGTATATTAATTTTCAATATTACAAGTATTGAAATCTAGACAAAAAAAAAATTTAACGAGACAAAATTATGGAAAAGTAAAAAATTGACACAATCCCTTGGGATAAAAAATATTGTTATTAAAATCACTACGAATAACAATATATTTTTATATTCTAAGCGTAGTGAGTAATGCATTGATTTTGCTATGATGCGGTATTTTTTTGTATACTTTTTACCAACATGGTGCATTGAAACGATCATGTTTTCATTTTCCTTGTAGTTTTCTTAATAACTGGAGAAAAACGGGCAAGTTTACGGCAATAACGGTTTCATTATTTTCAATTTAATAATTTTATTGCGATTCGGTTAAAATTAATTGTTTAGGTCTGAAATTTGCCTTGTATATATTATATTGTACATCTATATTTACTAGGAATGGTCAATTCTTCAAAATATTCTGGCCATTGTCAAGCTACTCATTGACATTTTCGAAAAATATAAATTTAACCACTATATACATCCTCCGTCCCGACTTTCCACCTACGACAGTGTCACATCCATCAGTAGTATTTGCTTTTTTCCTGTTTATTTGTATATAAATAACAATGCGTAACATAAAATAAATGTTAACATGACGTATAGTGAAGTATTTTCAATTTCGAAAATAAAAAAAATAACTAATATAAAAACGACGACTCGATCAAACCTTTTCTTCATCGACACAATTTTACTTTAAAAAGTTCTATCTATATATTATAACAACGAGGTCTAGAGTAAATTACTTTTGTATTTTTTATAAAAAAAAAACCTTTTCAAACTTTGTATCTTTTTCAATAATGAAGTTATAAACTTTATTATGGGCTTTAAAAATTGACTGTTTTTTTGTGTTTTATACCTATACATAAAATCAATATAAAAGTGAATCTTAAAAAGACTTCTCGTGTTACGGAAGCGCGATAAAATAATGATGTCTTGTTCAAACGATCAAACGGCCAATATTCGATTTGGACCGCAAGCAATAACAAATACCATCGCGTTTTCTAAACAAACTAATCGGCTATTAAAACAAACATTTGTTTTAAGTTTTTTTTAAAGTAAAACCTTCGGGAATATAATACAGGGAAAATGCGTGTTCAAATAAAGTATATTTGCACAGGGCGAAAAATTTGCATCTTTTAAAATATCGGTGTATGAAAAAAATCGAAGAGTTTTTCCCAAACGGAATAAGTGTTTACCGAGAAAAAAACACGATTTATTATAGTAAAACTAATAGCTTGCCCGCGTTACACTCGAAATCTAATGCCGACCTATAGAGTTTAGGTGTGCCTATTTATGTAAAATCGGTTTATAGATTCTGAACGAAGCAAGGAATATATTGATTTAACTACGATACGTTTTGTTTTGTTTTTTTTTTCTTGGTGTGTAAACAACTTCTCAAACTTACTATAATCATTTTCGATCTAGTTGGTATATTGAGGAAATTTTTAAATATAAACGAGGAAAACTGATAAGTTTTGCATAATGTTTTATTGATTTCTGAAGGTTACGCCTCAACAACGAGTGAACCCGTACCCGCTCAGGATCGTTTTTCGTTAGCATCGGTTCACCGTTACGCACTGACGTGTATATTTTATATTATACATCCTCCCTTCCAATTTCCGTGCGCAATAGCAAAAACGTCTTCATCAGCAGTACCGGGTTTTTGTTTTTGTTTTTTTAACGTGTTCGCGAATCGTCCTTTGGCCCGAGCTAGTATAATAGTGCAACACGGTGGCAAAATAATGATATTTCGCCGGATATACTTGAAAATCGGCTGATATCGCGACGGTGCCGGCGGCAATAACTCAGGGTCGAATCGCGGGCGTAAAAACCGTCATTGACGCAACTATATTAACAATATTAAATTACGGTCTAGTTGCCGTTTGCGGGTGGACAGGTTGGTAAGAAAGAGGGAGAGAAAAACAGAGAGATAGTGTGTGATAGAGAGAGAGAGAGAGAGAGAGAGAGAGAGAGTGCGAGAGAATGAAACGGCGGCGGGCAGAAGGTTGCACTGTCACGTAAAAGTCGCGAAAGACTTATATTATCCGAAAACCGAAAACCGTCGCGAACTTGTCGCCGTAAATTTTTTTTTTTTTTTTTCGAATGCGTGACGTATATCTACTGCTTGTATATATATATATATATATGCTGGTGTATATACATTTACGAGTCGGTCCCGCGGTGAAACTTTACAAAGTTTTGTACGTGCGCCAATTTATAAAACATAATAACATATATAGTACTGTTATTATTATTATTATTATTATTTGTATACGTCTCCCACCTCCCGTCCGTATACCAGCGCTAATTTTTCCGCATATATTATCATCAATTATTGTTATTATTTTAGCTGCATTTGACGTGTAACATATTAGCTCTCACTCACTCTCGCTCACTCTCTCTCTCTCTCTCTCTCTCCCTATCTATCTTACTGAGATCTATAACACGACTAATTATATACATATAAATGTATCCTAAAAATACATAATATTATTTTAAGTATAAACCGCGCGCGCGTGTACAAGAACCAGTGGTTTCCAACCAATATTTTATTCTACGTTACCATTGTAAATTTTCAAAAATCTCGTGCCCACTCCAAAACAAAAAAATAAATAATAAATTTAATAAATTAAAATTATACTTCATGACGACTGCTCGCGTCTCCCCAAGGAGCGCCTCCCCCCAGGTTGGGAAACACCGATATAGACAGACATACGCGTTTTCATAATATTATTTTTCGTTGTCACAAAAGCCCAATCATCATGTAACATTCAAACACACACACACACACACACAACATGTTCAAGGTCGTGGCAAAGCAGATCCATCCAAACACGACCATATAATATTATAATGTGTGTGTGTGTGTGTGTATGTGTGTGTGTGTGTGTGTGTATAATACCTAACCCCGGCGACCTCTGTTGCGGATTACTGTTACTGGTTCGGCCGCCGCGCGCGAGTTTTAGTCTGTGTACAGAGGTATACGCATACTACGTATGTAATATCATTACTATTATTATGCCAACCGGTTCGACCTTCAAAAATCGTACGTATACCCGAGCTGGACACCTCTGCCGGCTGCAGGTATTTTTTTTTTTTTCTATAAGCCGCCACTGCGAGGCGATATTTGCGTCGTACACTGTACAGTTTTACCGGTTGCCCCTCGGTATGTAATAACATTATATAAACACAAATCGGAAAAAGAGAACTAGTTTTTTTTTTTTTATTTTAAATAAAAAAACTACATTATAATTACACGACTACTGTTTTTTTTTTTTTTTTTGTTTTTAATAAGGACGTAAAATACGCGAAACGGTCGAAAAACAAATATCTATGCCTCACAATATTTATACAGTTCTTCCTCGTTAATTTACACCGCACAGAAAGCAATACTATAGTAGGTTGTACCTGTATATCACACAATACCTAAATAAATAATAATACCTATATCGTTCCCGCCGCGCAGTTTGATAATAATTTGTGTTCCGACAGAAAAAAATATCGTTGCTCATATTTTCAATTTACACGCACCACGTTTTTACGCTATTAATATCCTTATCGCTGATAAACCAATAAAACGATTTTGTTACCTTTCCCTATACCTACCTGTAACTCGTATTTTTTTAATTATTATAGTTTTTTTTTTTTTTTTTTTTTTTTTTTTGATTCCTAACCGTTTTAACTATCGCATTTATTATTAATAAACGACTGTAGGTACGTTTCCGCTATGCCTACGTAAAGTGAATGTCGGGACTCACGACTCAACACTTAGGTACTACGCGTATGGTAATAATATAATATAATTTAAATCGGTTTAGTATTACATTTTATTGTATTCACATCGTATCCATATCCATTGCACTCGTTATTGCAGCATTGACGTATATACCAAGACCTCTGGCGTATTTACGCGGACGTTTTGGGGTGTCTACCCTCGCCAGAAGCACACGACTTTTATAACAATAGTGGGCCCGGTACGACGTACAGGTGGACTTGACCGTCTAAATTGAGTAAATGCCCTCCTTCCCACCATATAAAAAAAAACCGTAAATATATCACTTTGTTATTTTGTTTGCCGGTTTAAGAAACGAGTAGCTCCAAAATGTTACGTTTTACCGCTAAAACATTTCGGCGTTGACATTTTTTAATTATCGTCAACCCGTTGATGAGATTTTACACTTTTAAGTTTAGTTAGGGGAAAAGCAGTGCAGTATACTGTTCAAACTCCACGCACAGCGTCGCCTCGCAAATAATACTTCGCCCTCGAAAATAAAAGCGACAAAAAACAACGTCAATATAACATATTAGCACTGTTTGTTCCGTAAATCGTCCGAACAAAAAATTCCGAAAAAAAAAAAAGCTAATACAGTAAAACCTCCTTATAACGGACCCCCTACAAAGCAGAAATCTCCTTAAAACGAAAAACAACAGTAAATCAAATCTGCTTAACCTTTAGACGTATATTTTAGTCTTTTTAGAATGAAAACTCTTTTATAACAGAAAAATCAGTAGGTACCGAGGGATTCCATTATAAGGAGGTTTTACTGTATACCTACTTTTTGGGAATTGATCACTCTGCGTACGTTTTGTATTTAAATTTTTTTTATTATTTAAACAAATACAACTCGACCGACATTATTGAAAATTTCATTCTCAACGACTATATTATAATTAATTACATTATAATATTGCAGGTAAAAACTACATGGGTCGTTTAAAACCTTGGACGTACCTATGGACTCTATAAATACATGCGATTTTATTATTATTCATCGAACTGTTTACTATATCATTATAAATTTCCACATGTCTATACACGGATCGTCGCGGTATTCCATAATACACACATTATATACTTCTTCTAATATCTTATAATTACATCGTAATTACGTTTTCACGGGTCGTATATAATTTTCCACACGGATCGAATTCCGTAATATACGTCCAAAAAAAAAAAAAAAAGAGAATTTAAAAATTTCTCTTGCGCATAGGTATAAATAAATTAGTTTTTTTTTTTTTTTTTAACCGATTGACCGTTGAATATTCATAATATTATATATTTCATAATGATATTAATGTGTATCGATATAGAAATGTTATAAAACACAATAAATAGTAATCACGTTTAACGCAAAATAATGAGGAGATAAAACCGTACCAAAATATTCACCTTAGCTATTAAAATATTAAAATTGTTCGCTGTATCGATGTAATATGGATACCGCGGTATGCATTTCATTATTGCCAAATCAAACATAAAACCTAATAATAGTAATAATTTATAATTTTTACTTTAAAAATAAATATCTAAAATTATTTTTAAACGTTATGTATTCGTTGCGAAATAATTATACGGCTCTCGGAACATAATTTATTTATAATACACACAAAATGGTTTAGATATTAATAGGTATATAAGCAACTGTGGGCACGTCACGAGAGAAAAACACACAAATATTTTACCGAAATGAAAATATTAGCAAATAATCGATAACCATGACGGTCTCTGCGCGGTGAGTTATCGACGGGCGGTTTATAAATACGATATTTTAAATTCTTAAACCAAATACAGGTACTATATTGCTGCAATATTATTATAACGGTTTATTAACGCGTAATATATACTTACCAGTATCATTGGATTACAGACGAAATATTATACCTGAAAATGTATTCTGAATAGGCACAGGCAATTTCTACTTGAAAATTCCACAACGAATAAACGCACGTTAGTAATATTGATGCGTATATGTATAATACGAGCGGTATTGTGTAAACGGGAAATTATTATGAAAATTCGAAACGACCGTTTAATAAATATTAATAATAATAATAATTTCATTAGCGTTAAAATTCTGTCGTTAAATATTCCTTCGGACGATGAGTAGGTACTTGAAATTCGATTCAAACATCGATAGCAGTCAATATTTAGTATACGTTTTAAATTTAAAAAAAAAGCGTGCGAGGTACCTATATATAGTCGGTACCGATTTAATTAATAATAATTAAATACTGGACGATTATGCGATTGTTTAGAATTAGAATTAGACGATTGATGAAACATTAAAACGACTGTTAATATTCATAATCTATAAGAAACGAATTCGGTAAAAAAAAAAAAAAAAAAATCATTCGAACATCATTGTAAAATACTGTACGAGATTGCAGTGTGTCGATGGCCAATTGGCCCCATTGCTTTTACTTCATTCACATAACGACAAACACAAAATCGATACTGTAATGCATAATGCATACAATTTGTATGTTTACATAATGATATGTTTTCGGTGTTTTCGAGTTTAAAAAAACAGAAGGGGATCTAATCTATATATAAGTTGACCAGCGTGTATTATTCCGAAATCCGTCCGCAGTATAGGTAAATACCTAGCGGTTGTTATTAATTAATTTACGCATAAATTATTTTCGTTTTTTGTTGAATACATAATAGTGTAATATAATATACATAATTATATAATGTCAAACGACTTCTTCACCAGAAATTTTGTTCCGATCGAATCGCCGGCGCATTGAGGAGATAATTGTTTGATTTTCCTCGTAGTTTTCGCAATAAATAGCGAATACTGGCAATTTTTCGTATAACTTCCATTGATGTACGGGTTGACAACGATAAGGGTAAAATACGACTAATAATACTATCTAATCAGACTCGTTTTTCGTTTCGTAAATTAAATAATTACTCTATATATTATCCTCCCGTCCGACTTTCCTTCTAAAACAGTGATACGCCCATCAGCAATATCAGCTTATTATTATTGTTATTTTTTTTTTTTATCGTTTTTCGACATGTGAATACAAACGCACGATATGCGTATTTCGAATTTAGTATCGCATTTCGAGTTTTAAAACAAAATACTATACAGTAACAACATTAGTTTAAGCATTAGTTTTAATGTTATCTTGACATTAGACGACAATAATATATCCATGAAAAAACGATTACAACAATACCAACAGCTAGTAAACCTATTTCTTTCAGACTAGACAGTTTACATACCTATAACACGCGGATGTGTTTATTATGTGGAAATGTCTGATTATTATTCATATAGGTAGTTGTAAAGACGAATACAATACTAACTCTAAAAAAATTTACATTATTCTAAAATGCAAATGCAAAGTGAAAAAATTTAAATCGAATGAAATCGTACAACTACTGACTGCTACACTTAGGTTGTATGTTGGTAGTTTAAAATAACGACCAGAAGTTTTTTGTTCACGTGCAATACCTATGGATAAATAGATTTGTAAAATTTTGACAAATCGTAATAACAATTAAATAACATGCAATTTATTTCAATGTAGTAAATTTTTGGAAAAAAAAAAATGTATTAATTTATTACGGTCGCAAAATATTATATGGGCACTTTTTATTAAACGATAAATTAAATTAAAAAAAAAAAAAAAAAAAATGACATATTTCCGCGTCGTAAGCTCAAAATATTAATTGTACAAATCTTTTTCAAAAACTAAATGAATAGTTATGTAATATTATTTAGTATTTATGAAGTTTTTATGCGACTAATTTCATTTACAGATGATAAAATAACTTGACCGACTAAACGCGTTAAATTTCAATCTCGACCAACGGCGGTTCAAAGGAAAATGTATTATCGTCGTTATTTTCTTACTTTATTTTATTTATTAACTATAAAAAAAAAAAAAAAAAATAGTTAAAAGTATATCTAAGCGGATATTATAGTTTGTGTGTCGACGCGTATACTTAATCAAACATAATTATAGCGGACGCAGTATTTATTAAGACTTCCCATTGAAAACCATTATAATAATAAAACGTTTTAATAATATTGTTAACTAACATAATTTATCATAATAGGTATAACTAATATAAATTACAAATGATTTATTTTTACACGGTGGCGTGAAATAATATTTCGATTTGAATCGTTTTATTCGAAATACGGTCTGCGGTAAAAATATATGATTTTTTTTATTTATTTTTTTTTTTTCAATAATTAACAACTGTACGGCGACGCGTTGATGCCTTTAAAATTTATCGATTTAATATAAAGCGAAATATTTTTATTGATACCATAGAAACTCCCTTCGCGCGGCTACAGAAATAAACTCGTAACGAGGTAAATGCGATGGCGAATGATAAAAAAAAATTACGAAACTATACAATACACTACCTAGCTAAATATCGTTTGCTAATAACAATTATTTCTAGTCACTAAGTACAAAAAATTAGCCATCAGTGAAAAAAACCGTCTGTCCCTTGATTAAATGTACATTTTCCACAATGTTGGACGCGTGAGGACATTGCAATTATTGCCTTAAAGATGTGTCACGAGTAACAATTTTTTTTTTAGTAAATATATATATATATATATATATATATAATTCTGACCTTCAAAACCTGAGTGACGAGTAGAAAAAAAAACAGACGGTACATCTACGAGAGAGCGCTATTAGTAAAGAATAATTTGAACGATTAAAAAAAAATATGATCTCAAAGTACACGTATAGAATAGTGTTTCCCAACCTATGGGTCACGAAATATTTTTGATGGGTCGCGATGAAAGAAAAATATTTTGATTATTATATAATAAAATAAAAATAAAAAAAAAAAACATATTTAGTAAGAATAATAATAAAATAACCAAATGTAAAAAGCCAAAAGAATAAAAACTGAAAATGTACGAAATGTAAGTATTAGTTAAAAAAATATTACGGACTTCTTTTTTCCTTTGAACAACTTTTATATCAGAAATTTTGCTTCGATTTAACAACAAAAACTTCAATCAGTTTTAATTTTTGTATTAAAAGGCCCGCGCATGACCTATTTTGCTTTGCTTAAAATATCGTTTACAGGACTCTTGCCTCGTACAACGTAACAACGTTTTTTTTGGACTACATTAATAACCTAGACAATTCGTCAAAAAACGGGTATATATTTCAAAAAATTAAATCGGAAATTGGAAAGTATGTGTAATTTTCCACAGCTTATTGGTCTAAAATGTATGAAAAATAGATGAGTTCTGACCCCTTTTAAACAAAAATATATATTTTTTTTAAACTCTCAATAATCGCGATCGGTTTGGAAATTTAAGAGCTGTGCTGGCGAACGTAATGGTTTAATAAAATACAAATTGCCACTTTAAATAATACACCTAGTTTTTTAAACTTTTTAAGGCGAAAAACTCCCATTACACGTCTATTAGTTATCGGAAGCATTATTAATACAACCGTCAACTGTAACTGTGTTTTTCCTCAAGTAAGTTGCAATACCTGTGAAAAATTAATATTTGAAATGCAATTTTTTATTCTGTTACCGAAACTCGCCCGCGCAGTAAATATTCTCTGTAATCTTTCTATCTGAACCGAAAATGTGTCGGGGAAAAAAAAAACCACATAATACAGAGAATACAAAAACAGAACGTTACAATATATTATACAGATATACTCGTCTCTTTTCGCTCAAGTCGACGATAGTCGGTGTCGGAATAATATTATACGTAATAGTATATACATTTCCGACAAGTGATATATCGTTGCGTTGAAAAAGCAAAAAAAAAAAATTCTGAACGATAAAAACGTAGACACGTAATGGTTCGAATATAATATTAATATAACCAATTTCGTAGATATTGATTTTTATACACGCGTTTTTTTTTTTTATATATACATATAAAAAAAATAAATAAAAATTGTACATTCGGTGACACGATGGATTGAAAGTTACATAATAAAACGTCTACAAAAATAATGATAAAAAAAAAAAAAAAAACAAACGCGTGTGAAAATGACGCGTGTTTAAGGTTATTGTTACCAATACTGAAATAATTAAAAACGATATGGGTAAAAATAACGAACGAGCCGTAGGTTTTGCGTGCATCTCGTTAAATTTCGATTTTTCGCAATTCACCGCGGACAATTCCCTCTGCATACGTTTCAAGATCGTATTACGAATCGTGTGAATGCGTATCCATATACGGATCACAGCTGCAGAATATAGCGGTCATGGTCAGTTACAAAAATAACCTCTCTAATACTGTTATTATATCTGTATGTACCGTCCGTGTCTCCATGAATGAGGATCGGACGAAACAAGAGTGATATTAGTAAAATAAAAACCGAATCATTCCCCGCGAAAAATCTTTAAAATAAATCATACGTCTCGAGGGAAAAAAATCGTTTTCGGTCAAGGTGCGCCTATCTACAAATCGTGAACGCAAATTATGGAAGAACGTTAGCGGTTTTTTTTATTATTATTATTATTATTATTATTATTATAAATACTATTTTTTACCCGACAAGGGACGAAAATAATTTTTATTCCACGAGTTCGCCGCCGTCATCGTTCGTTGTGTTCGGTATAATATAATTCAAAAAATTCAAATAGAATATGATGATTTATCCTTTGTCGAACACTTTTATCGGCGTTGCAAATTGCGTTCGATTTCATTTAAAAAGTTTTCGAAAAACTCGCTGTGGAAAGGAACGACGTCAAAGTTTCGAAAATCGTGTTTTTGTTAGTATATATTAGTTTCCGGCTAAATTTCGTTACCACCTAACAACTTTGACCGAAAAACATTAAATTTATGTTAAGTTTTTCGTAAATTTTAAAAGCGTTTTTATTATTATTATTATTATTATTATTATACACGAAGAAAATACGGTTGAAAACGGTTTTAGTTTCGTGTTATTATAATATCAGCGTTTACAATTACAACACACCAATCACATTATGGTTTATATTAAATATCATTGCGCGCGTCTTGATAATGTTATGCAGGCGTTTTGAGGTAAGTATAGACGCCGGACGTGACGAGTGGCGACGCGGCGTACCCGCGGGGTGAGGCTACGTGGAGCCTCGGGGTCCTCGAGCCTCGTCGATTGGCCGCGTTAGAATACCGAACTAATTTCAACCGTTCGGCATTGAAAATTTACGTTACCGATATAACGGCAATAGTCTTTGTACATTTGCACCGCGCTACACAGATAAATCGAGTACGGACGTTGCATGTGCAAATGACCGCACTGAGCAATCACCGCAATCATGTGTACCGTAGCAGGGAAAAAAAATACAAAAAAAACGCCAAGAAAAATACTTGCGTGTTACGCAAATGGTACGCAAACGTTTCGCTCGCACGTTTTATAATCATATAACAGTTGTCGTTTGCCGTGATCACAACTCGCCCCAGCACTCTGAACAGAAATATTCAGAGTGCGCCACTGCGCGGGTGCGTTTTTTTTTTTTTTTTTTTTTTTTCAATTCCGGCGATCGCGCGCGTTTTATACTGAACTGCGTGCAATCGACGCGCGGGACGGGGAAGGATCGGGTGCGTTTTAAACGTTAATAACAATTACACAAACACCGCGTTTCCGGGAAAATAAACGTACGAACGCAGCGTACTATTTTAAAGTTCGACACGGTTAAACGTAAACCAATATGTCATTGTTTTTTTTTTCTTCTTCTTCCGTTTATCTGATACGATAAGGTACCCATTGTGTCGCGCACATAATAATATCGTACAGAGTGTGTATTTATTTTTTTTTTTTGTTTTTTATAAACAACTCCAAATACATAAGGCACAATATATTATTATATCATAATGGTAATAATCGTAAACGCGTATAATGATATTGCGAAACATAAGATAAACGCTGAATGTTCCTCTCCGCGCACGTTGAATTACAACATAATCGTTTTCCACAGAGAAATTAATAATAACGTTGTTATTATCGCGTTGATTATTTATGCGAAACTCCCAATACATCTATAACATTATGATATTACACCAACGTGCGTATTGTCATCAACGTTGCGTACGAATAACAATCAAACATTATTGAGGATTATCAATTTAATTCCCGTAGGATATTATAATTTACGGTTTTTAATACAATACCTACCGATACTTATGGCCGTCGCTACGAGTGTGTATTCCATTATACACGAATGTTTAAAACGCGAATAAATACATTACGACGGCCGTATAACGATATCAGTACAATGCTAAATATTCCCGTTTGGAATTCGTATAAATATATTACACGGGGTGGCTTTTTATCATGATCCGGCGATTTTCTCGAAGGATTGCGAGTAAATTTGAATTCTGCTTCTTTCGATCGTTAACAAGGACTACGTGACATCCGCATACGCTTTCTGCGTCTTACAACTTTACGCTCTTAGTTTTAATATTTAAGTGAATTGACCTGTAATAAAACTTAAAGGTAAGAATGTTATATCGTTACCTGAATAACGTCAGAACAACGTTACCTGTGCTTGCACAATGCGCTTTTTTTTTGATATTTTAATTGCTAAACGAGATATATGCGTTTACGAACTGCGCCAATTCACATATTCACAGTTCCCGCTGTAGAAAACGGAAAAAATCGAAAAACACCTACATGGTCGTACAGATAACGGGTTTTACCTTAAGTTTTATAACAGTTCAACTCATTCTAATATTGAAACCATAACAGCACTGCAAAGTTGTCCCTGCTGATGGCAAATTAGCTTTCATACGTTATTTGTAAACCGGAAACAGCACATGCGGGTATCACGTCCGCTTAAACTTTATTTCAACGTTATTTACAACTGTTCACCCCTATACTCCTTGTACTTTAAATAAGTATTAATATATTAATTTATTTTTAATTGACAACGCCACACCCCTTCTTTTCTCTTTCAACGCAGATACGAAAAGATGAATAATTCTCTAAACATTTTAACACGAATACACTAACAATATAGGATATACCGTTCGTGAGTTATACCGGATGTCTAACGAATAATGTATGTCGGATGTTTAACTATTATAGGGCTGAAGAGTAATAATAATTTCATACCCATATTTAGATAATAACCCGTCCCTATATTCCTCCGGGCGTTCCTATTCGAATCCGTTTGAATCCCATTTAAAAGGTAAAACTTTGGAAATGTGGTAAACGAGATCACTGCACGTGGTTATATAAGCTGAAGAAAACCGAAAGCAATTTCACTCGGAATCTTATTATGTATGCACAGGATCGTGAATAAAAAGTCACCCTATATACGAGAATATTATCATAAATATTGATAACGTAATGAAAAATGTTATTATACCATCATGTATATACCTGCATTGAAACACAATCGCAAGTATAATTAAACATGGAGGTACCTATTTGTAGGTATAGCTATATTTTTCGATATTTGTATTGTTCGTGTATACAGAAAAACAATATAACATAATAGTCGAAGCAATGATATTGTAAAACACCGATGGCTGAGTTAATGTTGGAATAATTTATACATGCACAATTTTTTTTTTTTTTTTTTACTATCGAATAATTGTTGATAGGTACTACAACAACCTTGAATCGATTAATAATAATACACGTCGTTGATAAAAATTTTAAAAAAAGATTGTATTTATTTTTTAACAATATTTATCAGAAAATTTTACCGCCCACAATATTAATTTGTTTTCCAGCCGGGCGCAGTCCCGTATAGTTTTGTATTGTTATTCCAACTATATTACTACGTGCTGCAGGTGCCGATCGATTTTAATTTAATTATCGCTCCTGTGAATTTCCCCCACAATTATTCGGTTTTTGACAGGCAAATTTATGTGTAGTAATTTTTTAATAAAATTGATTTACGATACCTCGTCCTATATGTATTTATTTTTTTTTATTATTATTATTATTATTATTATTATTATTTACAAATGATAACCTTTCTAACTGTTTACGAGTAAATCTATACAGACGGTTTATATACACATGCGTCGATCTACGATGGTTTGATTTCACGCTACTTGGACCGCGAGCTATCTTATCTACACATCAATACACTTATTTATTTGTATAAAAACCAACCAGTTTTTCGAAAAAAAAAAAAAAAACATAAAGATTTTTAATTGATGAAATAAAAATAAAACAATCTATTATAGCTATAATGGATGTGTCACTATTGATGGTGGAAAATTGGGATGGTAGAATGTTACAATATTATTCAATTTATTTCTGTACCTAGCAACGATAAAACATTGTTGATGAAATATAATTCTAAGTGAAATTTTCGTCAAAATTTGAACACAAAACGCTAATAAAAAATAGAAACAATCGAATGCCTCAGAAATCGCCAGAACATTTGGCCACGTCAAGATAAAGCTACCAAATATAAATATTCTGTGAAAATGTCAAGTCTCTACGATTGTTTTTAACCAAATTATTGAAATATAACCAAATCGAAAATAATAAATCCGTTAATACCGTTTTTTCCGATTATTAAGAAAACTATACACGGAATATCAAAAAAAAAAACCCCGTGACCTCATCTACTTACCGAACGTATCTAAACCGTTACGAAGCATTTTTTTCGATTGGATTTCTGGTAGAAAAGTTGTTGACGCACAGATAAATAAAAAAAAAAAACCGCGAGAATCGTAAAGAAACACATCGCGATACGTTTCTCGTTTCGTTCAGAATGTTATAAGAAAAAAAGACAAAAAAAAAAAACGAGTGATAATTATTACAACGGCCCGTAATATCGATCGAATTGCGCGGGGAAATTGCGTTGTGTACGTAATATTTCTGTAAAATTATTACTCCGAATATCAAACGAGTGATTATAATAAATTATATATAAATATATATAGGTGGTAGTCATATTGTACAGCTTAAATACCTATATAAATAATATATCAAGCCGCGCGCGCGGGTATTATAATATTGTTTATTATGTTTAATTGCACCCGTGCACATTATTTGAACGAAACAATGGAATTGTAATGCATTGTACGGATGCTCGACGCGCATTACAGCAGTGACTCGCGCGCGTAAAGGTGTTCGAATTAACGGAATTATATTTATTTCGAAGCACTCCGAGAGTGTTTTTCACCGCCGACAATGACTCCCGTGCAGCTGCAGACTCGTGTTACCGGAGACGGAGAGAAAACATTTTTTTATTTATGGCGACACGTTACACCCAGATGTAACACGCGTACCAGGCGTGTAGAAGAAATTATTGTGTACAATCGATTCGGAATTGACGATAAACGCGGTAAATCGCGTACGATAACCGAAAAAATTTGTTTGTAAAAAACTACAATTATCATCAACGGAACAGGTATCTATTCCGTTGATGTCCGTATGGATACCTGTCATGACATTATAATATTATATGTTTTAATCCAGTTATTATTACACTCGCTTATGTTCGTTATTAATTATTTATAGCAATTAACGAAGAATTAAACTCGTAACTATTTCTGTACTACACGTTTACTTTAAAAAGTAAAAAAAAATAATAATTATGCGGCAAATGTTGTTTTCCGCGAGGTGGTCTTCCGCGGTGAGTGCCTATGCAACTATATAAATAATAATGATATAATCTACTAGTTTTTATACATGAAACAAAAATAAAAACAATCTTCTTCAGAGAGTATATATAAAGAAAAAACAAAAACTAGTTTATGTCACAACCAATTTTAAAATATTGATTTTTTGCAACCTGGCGGTCGTATATGTATGTATGTATGGCCGACGACGAACGTGTTATTTTTTCTACTTGAATATTCTTGGCAAATTTACATGCAAATGACGAATAATAAAAAATAAAAAAAAAAAAATTCTAAAAAAAAAAACAGATGATCAGTTATTATTCACGTTATAGATTCGATTCTGACCAAATAATTCCATATTCCGAATTTATTTTCGTTAATAACGTCCATACATTTTTTTTTTTTATGCCATTTTTTTTTTCAGCAATTATTTACACTGCAGTGTGTATATTACACACATCGCCCCACATTTCGGTAAGATTTTTAAATGGCAAGTTGTACGAACTATAAACTCGCACGTATAAGTAAAGATAGCGAGCAAAAATGGAGATTATATTTTTCTTTAGACAGCTCCTTAAATTAATCTCTATAGTTTTGCAGGCGCGTGTGTTATGTGTACATATTTACACTTGGAAATTGTTTTTTCAAACTGTTCCGCGAAAACAAATAAACCGAGTAACTTTATTCGAATTTATTTAGGTGATTATTATTAGCCCTATACGCGTTTGATAATAATAAAACACACGCGATACACGCAGTGGCGGATCTATGGGGGTGATGCGGGCGATCTCCCCTCACCCGTTATCTTGTCCTAGATCCGCCTCTATATAGATATGTTTATTATAAAATAATACATTTGTAATGAAAATCAATAGTTTTACAAAATCTGTTGTACCACAAAATATATCGTATTATACACGCCGTGTTTTAATCGCACAGCAATACAATATTATTGACAAGAACAATAATTACTATTGACAATCTCCTATTTTCATTTTTTTTTCCTTCGATTACACTACACGTGCCTATCGAATCGGCCTATATGTTTTAAAACCAAATATTCAAATAAAAGTAAAACATATCATAATACATTCTCGTCCCTTGCAAACGCAGCCAAAAGGTGTAATCCCGTGATCGAATGTTATTTTCTCCGGAGAAAAGTGGTTGGAATATAACGATGAATGCAGAGTTTTGTATCTTACGCAATTTACCGCGACGGTTAATACGGTTCGTGATTTGAAATTCTAAAAAAATAATGTAATTTATATACAAGTAAGCACGATAACCTTATGCTATTGAAAAGGTCCTTATTGACAGTGACGTGTGCAGGAAAGGAGGTTAGGAGTTATATTCCTCCATTAGCATAAAAATACAACAACTATGAGTATTTATTAACTGTAATTTGATCTCGAAATTATATATTACAGCCAAGTTATGTATGGTAAAAACTAAAAAAATTCAATTTATTGAATAGAATTGTTTGTATTGTATCCGGCTTTTGAACTCTCATTGTTCATAGATGAAGATTCTGCGAGTTATTATATCATAACTATTATTTGTGGTATTTACTACATCACCTCCCATTGACAATTCCTGGCCACTTCACTGCTTATGTTCGTAAGTACATTTTTTTTTTTTTGATATTTTCTATTTTATTTTAATTTTTTTTCGAAATATGTCTACAAAAACATAAAACACAATAATAAAACTTCGAATTGTGTGATAATACGCAAAAAAATTTTTACACGTTTAACTCGTTATATTTAACTCACTTTGGTATCCGTATCTATTAACGGACGTATCAAAACATAAATATGCAAATGAATGCTGAATGTCCCGAGCACACACACACGCACGCACATATAATGTAATAGTATAATAATGGTAATAATGTTATTATAAAAACAAAAGCCGACGGATATGGGGCACCGGTACAGTGATAGCGTGTCGTTTTTCAAGCGATAAAAATATAATGGCGATAATAATAAAATTATTATTATTATCATCATATTGTGTGATTAGACGTCTTGGCGAAAAGTGGAAACGCCTACACGTGATCGTATACTATATTGAGTGTATGTTATATTATTATTCTGTATATTACATTATGCTATTATTTATATATGTTATATTAAATTATATTAAGTGCGTATTATTGCGCGAGACCGAGAGGTCCGGGGCACGGTAAAAACATTCCGAGAGTGCACTACGCGATTACGGTAACCGTGGCAACCACACCCGCGGTATGTGTGCGGTATACGCGCGGGGCCCGCGCCGTCCGGGTCGCGGCGGACCGCCGCGCACAATTTCCGTTTTTCTCACGACCCCCGAAACGAATACGCACACGATGCAAATCAGATATCGGCCACCGCGTTCGGGGATCGCACGTACGTGAAACACAGTAATGTCGTTATCATCACGTGCGGCGGAGGTATACGATGGGCAACCGTCTTTCGACCGGCACCGCGGTAATCGTTTTCCGGACGTCGACGACCGCGGCTTACGGAAAATAACCAATAACCCCGCGGGGTTACGGGGCAACTGCACGCGTAGACGCCGCCGCCGCGCAATAAGTTTCGGAGATCCGCGGTCAATTAACTTTCGCCCCGTTCGGATACATGTGCTCGGTGCTCGCGCGAAAATAAATCAATAGCATATGCAAACGAATCCGATCGAAAACGGAGATGGGGTTTTATTTTTCCTATTTCCCGGACGCAACACGGGACGCGGGCTGCGCGTTTTTAATTAATTATTATTCTCCTCCCCCCACCCCCTAGACAGCTTTTTTTTTTTTTTTTATTGTAAAACGTTCAAATTATATATTATATAACGAATACCACATTTTCGAAACTTTTATTTTTTACTCGATTAATTGTTCGCGTTTTTTGACGTTTTAGAGTTTTTAGTTCTTTCCCACTCCTTACTCGCCTTTTTTTTTCTTTTTTTTACGCGTTCTACGATATTTTCAACGTTTTATTAAACCAACATATTTATTTTGTTTTTATATTATCTACCGCAGGTACGAGATTATGATGAATGATGGACACTGAAAATATAATACATACATGATTTATCTATATTCACTATAAGCCATAAGACGGCGGTAGTTGTTTGTTATATTTTTGCATTTATTATGATCGGTTTTTTTCTTTTACTGGAATTTCGAGCCACATTTTTGGTATTTTAAGTGTTTATTTTTATTTTTTTTGAAAGTTTCTTTTTTTTATATAATCCATTGAATTTACAGTACAAAACGTACGACTATTTTATTACGTTCTCACTCCTCAATCTGCCGACTGTACAGTGTATTGGTATACCTTATATCATTATCGTTGCAACACACACATAATTTATTATTATTGTATCTATTTTGCCGCGATTTCCATAAAATAAAAAAAAAAAAAACAATTAGGCATTAATTTATAACGATTGCGTCAGTTTTTTTTATGACGAGACTCAAAGTACTCTGTTGGGCCGATTGCCATACGCGCGCGCGTGTGTTTGTATATTATCTAAAACGCATTTATAACATCTGAAGTTTAAAACGATTAGACGAACAGAGACCGATACGTATAAATATTTAGACGGTCCAGATCCCCAAGGTTATCCCATGGTTGTGTAGGTAGCTTTTACACCGAAAAACTAAATCTAGAACACGACCGTAGGTGTGCACATTAAATAAATTGCAGCGTCCGTACTTGGAGCAACATTTACGTTCATAATATTACAGTTGATATAATACGACACATTATATTGTAGTTATTTTTTTATTATTATGTTGTACCTATTAAATTATGCAAATATCCTTTTGCGATCAAACGTCCGAATTTCGAGAATTGTTCGTGACGTTCACGTGTACACCTGTAATATAACAAATTGTAACTTGTAAGTCACGTAAGAAAACGAATTAAAAGAAAACAAAATTATAACGACCAAATATTATTATATACTTAAATTATGGAAATAATAAAAAATTAAATTGTATTGAACACGCACGTTTCAGTTTTAGATTTTGTGAAAATATTGGAAATGTATTGGTTATTCGACATAACAAATAATAACAATATGTTTAGCATATTGTATTTAAACGCATTTTAATATGGTAAGATATTTTTATATTATTATAGCTGAAAGCAGCTTTTTCGGACAAACGAGTCAAATATACAAATAATCATATACGTAATTCATTAAAATGTCTATGTAAATGAAGTAAATGTATAAATACTGTTTTTTTTTTTTTTTTTTTGTCAAGCTCAGGTGGTTTACCGATATAGATACCTATATACAACACAATCAATGATTTCACGATGACAGTATACAAAGCAAGTGACTAAAATTATGTTCAAAAATGCATTCTATCTTTCTTTGAACGTTTGAAATTTGAAATACACCGGAATTACTAATTAGGTACCCACTTAATATTTTATAACGTGTACAATAAAATTTATAATTTTAAGCAAAAAATCATGGTTATCTATGACTCGAAATCAAACTATAATGTATACAAGACTAAATCAATATTTACTATTGTATATAATATGAAATACACCCTTTAAAAACGATTTCTCGTCATTTTTTTTAACAACCATAAATGGGTACAGCTACTTATGGAGTTTTAATTTTGAAAGAAAAAACCGATTTGTGAACACTATATTATGAGAAACTGCAACTCCGCGGAGAATCTTTTTTCAAGAGCGATAATTTATTATTGGTTTGACTAATATAAAATAATAATAAAAAGTATTGACGAAAAAAGACAGGTGAGAGTTCAATGCCGTTTTTCTGTGACCTGGTCGGGTATTTATCTTTTTAAACGTTCGAATTATATTTGAGGCGTACATGAGAATCCAGTAAAAAGTGTGTTCAAAAAAAAAAAATGTTCAATTAGATACTGATAATAATATTGTTTGATTACTAAAAAAAAAAAAATAATAAACGAATAAAATATTGTCAATTAAAGACAGTAACGTGATAATCAAAAAAAATAAATCATAAAAGAAAAATAATGAAAAAAAAATTTATGATACTATCGGATAATAAATTAATATGTATAGTACATACCATAATATTTATTATAATGATCAATAACTTAAATATTAAAAAAATCGTGTTTGATAAATTATCAAAAATAACTACATAATAATAATATGGTGTATAAAATCGTACTGTATAGTTTATAGTACGGATTCTAAAATCTGAACACGCATCATAAACATTCTTAACCTTATAATTAATTTATTGCGAAATTTTATGAAAAACATCATTAAAAATTCTCGTACGTAAATAGGCACCATTAAAATTATATAGTAATAATATGATACGTTTAGTGGCGTAACCAAAACAAATTATGGGGGGGAGAGGAATTTTGTCAATTCTGCAATCCTCTCATTCACTTGGAAAAAATTTGATTTTCCATAAATAACGTTAAACAATTATTGATGAACCGCATACACCTACAATGTCTTAATAAAGTACAGCTGAATCTTAACGTAAACTGCATTCAGGATGCGTAGATACTGTCCCACCGGGATACCGAGATCTTCCCATAGGGCACTTCGAATATAGGAGATATAAGAGTCTATATTCATTTTAACACGCTTTCGATTTTTCCTAGTTCTGTTCTTCCAAAGTACTTGTTTTAGTTTTGTGACTTTTTTTAGATGCATAACAACGCCGATCGTTTATGTTTAAAAATGAGCGCTATTTAATCGTTTCCCAGCATAAAAGTAGAAGCCAGTATTGCGCCTGACTGCATATAATTATAATTACCCACTTTAATATTCCAATCTAACATTAGTATGTAGTTTTTAAAACATTTAAAAAGCGGCTGACGGAAACATTTTAGGGCCAAGGGAGTTACAATCCTATAAACATCATTCCACCCTGTGGCTACGTGACCCCTAACGACTGGGTTTACAGTACATATAATGAATTTCAAGTACCCAACTATTAGAATATTAATATTATTTTTCAAAGGATGTCGAAAACATCAGTGTCGTAATTAGGAGGCAGTGGAAGCACGTACTCACCCCTTCAATGAAATGTGTTTTTATAGGTTATTATTAGGTTGTTTTGGTATATATTTGATGATTTAAAAAAAAATAGTAAATGATTAATAATACAAATTATGATTACCTCTTCCCCCCCCCTGAAATTGTTTTCCTCGTTACGATACTTGACGATATAATATTAAGTTTACATTATTTCCCAAGCGACCTGCGATATACATTTTAATAATTTAATACATCATTCAATATAAATTTAAAAACGATAATTGGCCGATAATGGACTTTGTGCAAGACTAAAAACAGTATAATATTAGAATTGATCGCGTGTTTTTGCTTTTTATGTTTTCGTAAAAAATATATTAGATGCTAATAATCGATCATATTCAAAGTTAAAAACATTTATTCTTATACTAATTTATCATAAATATTACAATATTACACTGGTACAATAATATTTAAATCCTGTTTATCTGATCAGAAAATAGTAACTATTCTGTAACAAACGTAAAAATACCCTAGGATTAAAAAAACAAAAAAAATCTTACGAAATCAAGAACGGTATGTAAAACAAGACACTGTTAAAATACCAATAGTGTGTTACATACCAATAATAATAATAATACATATTATAAAGAAAACACCGGTACACAAGATTTATTTTCCATAAACAAAAATATTACATTTTTTAAAGAAGAATCGTATTTTAATTTTGTATAGGTTTGACGAACAATAAAATGCTGCTTAAAATTCCGGGGGTTTACTGTTTAGTTTAATGAAAGAATAGCTTTTGATATTCAAATTGTTATTATATTTTTACCATAACGCCGCTGCAGTACTGCTACTACGGTCTATATAGGTGTGCAGCAGAGCCGCAGACGTACACAAGTGTATTACTTTATAAAATGCAAATTCAAAAATATTATCGTAATGTCTTAAAGCCATTTTTGAATACATTACCCACGAAGAGTGCAGTCATGATAAATATTAAACTACTTAACCAGTTGTAAGTAGTAGCAGCTTTAATTGCCGCCTCCCGTGTGTACACCGTCTTTAAGTGCGTTGGAATATTTAAAAATCGACTTGGACAGACGATACCGAGGAAAATAAATAACCAACAAAAGCCGGATGTACCTCACACTGCGGGTATTAGGCCACCGCGTTGTAATCTGTAGGTGAGACGTCGGAAAGGTATTTAGGAAAATAGGGCGATTTAATTTATAGGTATCTCGAGAGCGAAAATTAATCATTGCAATCGAAAAACGGTCCTGAGCGGAGCTCTGCAGTAAACTGCAGGTAAGGTTGTGTTATAGTATTGGTGGTTGTGTTATATCCTTTTGCGGCCAGTGCAGTAACCCACATAAATCAACAAAAATAAAACCGATGTGTCGCCGTTTGTTGTAAATTTTTATTCTTTATTTTTAAGGAACGTTTGTCGGAAATCTTGAAAAATCGTTCAAATCAATTAATTACCGCTATAGGCAAGAAATCCGCGTCCTCTATCGTACTGCAGCATGAACTAACCTAAGCATTTTTACTAACAGATTTCCAATGGGGAAAAAAAATAAAAACATTAATATAAAACAAATCGAGTTTCTGCTCTACACTCACTGCGATTTAAAACGTCTCGTATTAAACCGATGACTCCGTAAATGAGCATAATATTTTACATTAAACTGGTTTTTTTTCTGCTATTACGTTATGTACACACTATATACACATATATATTACTCATAAACATATCGCTATGAGCCGATTAAAACAGCATTATGCATACAACAATAAAAATATCATAACTATTGCTTTCGGTGTACACGGTACCTATTACATTTTTATTGTATTATTAACTTACAATGCATACATATCAAAAAAAAAAAAAAAAAAAAAAATACGACTTTGGACGGTTACGATTCTTTCGAATAATATAATTGACGCATCTATAGTTTTATCGAATTTACTTATTATATTGTTTCTTAGAAAATTAAAAACATATTCGTGTACGAGTCATAATACAATAATTATTATTATTAAATATTGGTCAACAAACTTTTTTTTTAAATTAGATGTATAATTTTCTTAGTTTTAAATAAAAAAAAAAACAAAACCATACTTTTTGCAAACAATAATACTTTTAACAAAATTTTAGGTATGTTATATATTCGTTACCTATATAAATGAATAAATGTATTTAAAGTAATATACTCTATGCATGTATGTACTTATGTAGTTCTTCTATACCGAGATAACAGAAAACAAAAATCCAAAAAAGAAATAAAAACTTGTTTCCACTCTGACCTGCCCGACATGGTTTTGTTTAACGCAAATCGAGTGTTATTTTCATGGAACTCGGTAGACTTTTTCTGGGGCAGGAGGGCGAATGTAATTTAAAAAAAAACAAATTACGAATTTTAACTTTTTAGTCACCCTCGCATTTTCATACATTAAAACACGGGGGGAGGGGGCAAATCCCCTCTTTCCTATCTCATTCGAGATTCCCGTGGTTATTGTTGATTAAGTTCCGGCGAGAGCTGTAGGAGACCGAAAGCCCCAGACGAATCAATAATTTATTGAAACATTTGAGATTAGGTATATATTATGTTCTATGATTTTTCCTCAATGTACGGGAAATGAACCGACACTATCCTAATTGGCAATCATCGTGTACATTAATTATATTTCAAAATTTGATTATTTTTAAAACCATTACATATAACTTACACATGTAACAGTAACAATTATAATTATAGTAAGTATAACCTACACAAAATATTAGTTGTTTTATTTTAAATATAAGTATCTCGATACCATAGTCTAATATACTAGTAATACTATAAACTAAGTTGTATAGCATGTATTTTAATATTGGCTAGATTTTCTTGAATAATAATCGCAGTGAAAGATATTTTCCTCTGCTAATAGATTGGTGACTAGATCATAGAACTTTTTTTGCAAAATGCTAAAAAATTGACATTGCATTCGTGTACCTATAGAGTATACTGTGTACTGTGATTTTTTTTTTTTTTTTTTAATGCACTCATATAATATTCAATAAAACAAAGCAATAACTCAATATTGTTGTAAAAACATGTTTTGAATTAAACAAATTGTAATCAAAACAATACTAAAAACCGTCATGTTTACATTCCGTTGATTATAATAATGACACACTATATTGACTACACAAACGCCGAACGAGTGAATATACATTGTACGTTTTTTTTTTTAAATTAGTACACGCATACTAAAACACATATAGATATTCATAATTTATTAGTAAATACGTATTTTTATTATTATTATTGAAGATTTTGATATTACGCATTTACGTATACCCGATGATACCCGATATGCAACAAATACCTGGTTTCCTAAGGAAAACCTAATTTAACTTAACTGAAAACTACTTTTGGTTATTGGAAACTACTGTTTTCTTGCTCTATTTTACGTTAGTAATAAAAATATAATATAATAACGTATGAATACCGCGGTTTTAATATACGGTCAGTTTTTCACAAAAGAAAAAAAAAACACTGGCGCGGTAAAAAAAAAAAAAAAAATGAATGAATGCCCGTCAAGTTTATGGATTTTATATCACTAGACATTTTAAATATTTACGTCACATATATAGACGCGTTTCGTCGTGAATATACAAGAAACAAATTTTCCGCAATTGTATTACGACGGCGGCGGCGTTTGTTCATTCTGTTATTATTTGTTTTTTTTTCCTTCGCTTGTTTTTTCGTTTATATACGCCTACGACGTATACATTTTGTTCTTCGAACTCCGCAGTCCGTACTGACAATTTATCTATCCCTATATAGTGATTTATGGCATTGAAAAAACTTTCTACCAGTTACACAAAAATGTTTCAAGTCGTTGAAAAAAGAAAAAAAGGTGTTTAATCAAACCTATTTTAGCTTTTATTTTTTCCTTGTACTTTTTTGGCCCAATTTATTATTATTATTGTGATTGGATGTCAAGTATTTTTTTTTTTTTGGAAAAACTGTTGGGCATTTAGAAAAATATTGGATAAAAAAGTACCACCGCCGCGGTAGAAAAGTTTTACAGCATTTTAATACTAACGAAAAGACACACACACATATCAACTATTGCCGATAAAACTAATAGTTTCTTTACACGGAATCTGAATAAACACTGTTTATTAATGGTATCTACTAGTCTAAGCGGAAATCATACAAAACCCGCTATTATACAAATAGTAATGATAAGAACATATTTTTTTAAGTACACATATTATAACCATAAGATTGAAATGATCGTATAACTGAAATATAATATCGAAGTATTATTATTATTATTATTATTAATAGAGATCAATTCGATATAATATCTATTTTCTGTATATTAATCTAATTTAATTCAATAAACTCAGCACCTATACTATGTTGTACATTTTTTTATCGTTTGAACCGTGTTGTCTATACATATCACGTGCTGTGCAAATGAAACAGAAAAAAGTTGATATGGGTGTGCCGCTGTTTTATTTAGGTGGCAAGTTGGGAAACTAAGATAAATAAAGCTATTTAATCAATATAATCTGTATGTTACGATAAATCATTGCTTACCAAATACAATTCTGAGCAAGGTTCTGTTATATATGTTTTGAAATTCTATAATTTGCATTCAAAATTTGAACTCGAAACGCGTATAAAAAAAAAAACTGATGAATTATGCTCAACTTTATTTTTACCACTAATTGCATATCATATGATGAACCTATAACGACATTTTCAAAAATTTATGTTCAGTCAAAACAATTTTATCCACATAAAATCAAATAGAAACTAAAAACTGAAAATTTCAAATTGTTTATAAATTATAAATAACTCAAAAAACGTCAGAACGTTTTGACGATTTTAACACATTTAGAAAAGGTCAATAAAAAAATTCTGTGAAAATACTGTTAGTAAAATATAATAAAAATATAAATAATATAACAATACTACAATATCTTTAACTTAAATAAAAAAAAAAGAACCAAAATCTAAAAATCCTAAATCTAAAGCGAGTCGTCTTCATATCCGCTACATACCCATATGTATGATGTAATTTTCGAATAAATTTAAAAGAAAATATTAGAGATGTGCGAATACTCGACTTAGGAAAAATTCTGGAGTCGAGTACTCGGAGGACTCGACTCGACAATTTGTTTTTGTATTTATTCACGGTCTTCGAAACACATTGCCTTTTATAACAAACAATTATTATTTCGTGTGTCGTTGTAATAATAACCCTTATTAAATAAGGTAGGGAATTCTTTATAATTGCTTATAATATTATTTTATGCACTTTTTAAAACATTTAGCCACCAAAAGTGGCTGTACGAGACATTTAAACATTTCACGGAGGAGAGGGGTTTGTAATCACCCCGTCTCCTGACTAAGGAGAAGGCACCGTTCCTATACATATTGTGTCGGACGGGTTCGTTGTCCGCGTTGCAGTGCATCTCCAGATACCCATAGGTCTTGTATATCAAACGAGCATATTATTATTATTATTATTATTATTATTATTTTTTTTTTATTTATTTAACAGCTACGTCGTCGTTATAATAAACACATATTTAATGGTGGAGGGCAGAGCGATCTTTTTGATGGGGGGGGGAAAAAACGGTTTCGTACACTATAAACACTGTAATAATATAGTAACGACGGTATTACGGAGAAATATCGCGCTAACCTACATTTCGATTTATTATTATATCACTGTGCGGCGTGTTGTCGCGCGCTTATATATTACTACAAGTCCGAAAATAATATAAAGGCATGTGCGATTTATTAACGCTCTCGCGGGATTAATAATAATATACTATGGCGTGTATACTGCAGGGGTATTCTGTATTATATTATTACGTGTGAATTTTGCCGCGGTTTTGTCTTGCGAATCGTTTGCCGCGCGTCGATGACAAAAAAAAAAAAAAACGCCGAGGCCTTGTATTATTTATTGCATATTATTATTACACATTATTACCTACTGTGTACACGGTGTACACGTACGTGCGAAATAATTATCACACGATAATATTATTATTATCGTACCACGAACTCCGGCGCGACGTGGGCATAGATCATAAAGATGTAGATAGGCTACCAATGCCTCATCGTGCGTTTCAAAACGGCCGGGTACAGTTACACATACCAGTCCCATAGAGTGAGGCGTTTTATCTGTGTAACGGTGGATAGTAAATCGCCTGAGTTTACCGCCCCTCCGGGAACATCGCCTCGCTCAAAATTTGTTATAAGAGCGGCTCGTCCGTTTCTTTATTACCTATGGATCTGTGGATCGACGGACGTACCTACAATAGGTACGTACGTATTTGATATTTACGCTCGTGAACCCCGACCCTGTCGTGCGGAACTCCGCGGAAACGGGGCCTGATTAACCGACGGGCCGAATAGACGGCAGCCTAGGGTCCCGAACGGCCAGTGTAGTATCATTCGGAAAAGGATCATCGAAGAGCAGTAGGATTGGTATCACTTGCTTCTATGACTTTTTCTGAGTAAATTTGTTTTTATTGCTTCTCTATAAAATTCTTCGGTTTGATTTCACTGATATTTTTGTAAAATATATTTTTCGAGTTTGGCGATTTTGTAATAAACCCAAAAGAAGAGTAACTTGACAGATTTGGAGATTTTAGACAATTCGTCTGCATTTTTTTCCAGTTCCAGAGGGATGCAACATTTCGTGGTTTTTGCCATTAAATGTCAATTGAAAAACTGAAAATGTGCCCTCGAGCGGCAGCGAGTTCCGCTTCTTTTGGATTCATTACGAAATCGCCAAACGTGAAAAACAAATTTTAGAAAAATATCGTCAAATCAAAACGAAGAAGTTTGTAGAGATTTTATACGAATAGATGTGCTCAGTATAAGTCACAGAAGCTAGGTTTACAAATCGTTTTGCTCTTCAACGCTCGGTTTCCGAGTAATACTATCAGTCTCGATACTTTTTGATTAGCCCTCGTATATATATATATAAATATATCGGCGAAAGGTCGTCCTTTCGACAAATCAACCGCGGCCTAATCCGTTAGCCGGGGGCCCCCGCGTGTGAGATACTCTACTATTATAATCGCGGACACAAATCGTGTAAACCGGATTCGGTAACTGGCCACATTTGGACACGAATCAATCTACCTACCGTTCAACCCGGGGCTCGCGTCCAGAGCTGTGTAAGCCGTTCGGCGGCTGGCGGCATCGATTTTTAAACGCCTTCTCCCAATACGGCGAGGGTTAACCTCTATCCCGAATTCCTTTTTTTTTTTTTCTCTTTTTTTTTTTTTTCGTATCGAAATCTCCGCCGGCCGAACAACAACCGTAGATTCTCCGTTAAGCGCGTTCGCAATGCACTCCCGAATTCGTTTCTACGGGCACGTGCATATTACGTCGCCACAGCTAATCGTGTATGCCGCGGCGTTACGCTTCTACGCTTCTACGAACACGCCGTTCCGCGTTCCAAACGCGTAAAGAAGACGGACGCGACGGTCATCGCGATATTATAAAAGTGCGCGGCTGATATTAAGGGCCTCGCGTACCGAACGGACGCCGCGCGACTTCGACCGGGAGCAGTGGCGGCGGTCACACCACCGCCGGGGAGGTTACCGGGATATTCGGGTCTGCGATTGTAACGACAGTAATGATAACGGCGTTACGTGGACGCGGGTACGTTCGCGCGGCACCGCGGCGTTTGGCGAACGTCGCTGCAGCCGCGCACCGAAACACCGCGGCCGGGACGATATCCCGCGACGCGAAGTCATCGATCGAGAGAAGCACCTGACGCGGTCGCCTTTGGGCAGGAGAGAAAAAAAGAAACCGTCGTGCGTGCGCGCGCGCGCGCGCGCGTGTGTGTGCATTTCTCGAGAACCGCACTGCTACCGTTGCGTGGCCGCGGACGATTGCCGTAGTCACGATGCACGCGACCGCGACGACGGCTCCGCGGAGTACCTCGCGATACATTACGCGTGAGCCGAATCACGCGGATACCTGTGTACCGGGTGTACCAACAACAACAACAACAACAACAATAATATATATTGACTCGGTCATAGTCGCGGTTATGGCCGAATCATGTAACTGCCACGGTTTTAAACACACATACACACACACACACACACACACACACACACACACACACACACCGCGTAATAATTATATATTATAATGTCGCCGCGCGCCCGCGATCTATTTGCGTATACCCGCGTACGGTCGTTTTGACAAATTTTTTTTTTCCCGCACGCTAACAAACGCGAACCGCCCAGCTAACAATCGATATTCCTCGACCGAATTCCCGCGACGCACAAAATAATACAATAATGACAATATTCGTTTGTCTCGCAAATTAAGAGGACACTGTATACCATGCGTTCGCACCCGCGTTTGTTGTCCCGGTCCGACTAACGGCTTACGATGCGTGTGTAGTGAAATTACGTTATACACCGGGAACGCAGAATATACCGTGACGTTTGAGTTGAAAATTAGAGTTTAAACGCAAACGGTATTTAAATAGGAGATAATTACCGAGGGCTGTAAAAAGGCCTTTTGAAAGAATACAAAATTAGTTAGCCGTGTTGGTTTTTTCTTTTTTTTTTTAATTGCCAAACTCCGTTTGTATGACAATTTTTTAATAAATACTCGCGTACAATTCTCGGAAATATTATCTTCCTTCAACGTGGTTATTCGTGTTTAACGTTTAATTTCAACCGCGATAAGCCACAAAATATACGGTCTAAGCAACGTAATTGTACTATATGACCCAGTTGTTAAACCGAAAAGGTAAAGGCGAGTCTTCCACTATACGTGTAGCTGAGCAAGCACCTACATACACAGCCGGTATAACTGCCGACGATAATAGTTAAAGGTGGACTAGTTAATAAAAATAATTAAATCGATTATGTTAAATTAAATAAACAAAAAGGACTTTCATTAAAAGTTAAAATGCAAAAAAAAATACTTTAACTTAACTAGAATAGTTTTTTTTTTTTTTTTATCGCTTACAAAGAAAATCAACATTAAAAGTATCCGAAATAACGTTACATGTATGATATTATACATATTTATATACTTTTTAATTTATATGAAAATAAACTAAATCGATTCAATGACTATCACAGCAAAATGCTATTTATAAATCGTAAATACTGAAAACAGTCAATTAAAATTGAATTATGAATTTCGAAAAAAAAAAATCATTCGGTTTCAACTCGTTAATTTAACTAGACGTCGATAAAAAAATACAACTGTAACAATTTAAGTTTGTACAATAAAAACGTATACTAGTGAAGTTAACTAGCCAATAATAAAAATAATTAATTAATTAAGTTTGAAAGGTTAAACAAAATAACTTTGTAACTTAAGCTAAGACCAACTAACTTTTTTTTTCAAATGTATTTTTAAAACATTTGAAAACATTTAACATACTCAAAGTCCATCTAATAATAATATAATAGTGTACTTATATAGAAATATTGAAATATTAGTGTGAAATAATTTAGACATAACGATTTTATGCTAACTAAAACTACATTATATTTCATAAAATGGGATTTTTATAATAAACTTAGACGCTTAGTTTATTTTCCTTTCTTCCTTTAATAATTTAAAAAGAAAGAAAATCTAATTAAAAAATTATTAAGGCATGTTAAAATAACACAGTAATTATAATGATTAAAGTATTATAAAGATTATAGACAGGAAAAAGGGATAATATAAAAAATAATCATTATTTTTTTTTTTACTTTTTTTTATATATATATATATTTCATTATTTAATACCAAACTAGTTCCGATATAAAATAACTAATCTACATTTAATATTTACGAAAAACCCTATACCGAAAGCATTTATTTTATTTATTTTTAATAAACCGAATCAAACACTCAGAGTTAATCTAACCATATTGTACGTGATATAATAAAAATGTCGGGGAAAAAATTTAATCAACGCGAAATAAAAAAAAAACTTTCTTCACTTAGAATTTTCAAAACTAAAGAAACATCCAAACGCAATGAATGTACTTTTCATTATCTTTGAATTCTAATCACGTACACGTCCGTGTTTTTTGTTAACAAGATCTTTTCTATTAATATGTACTGACATTTTATTCTAGTAGTTCCGAACGACCATTGGATTAAAGAGAACAGAAAATGTAGAAAAATACACCGTCGATATTGACACTGGGTATTGAACACGGAAAAAAAAAACCAAAGCAAAGAATATTGAAGTAAAAATAAAAATAAAAATAAAATAGCCGAAGAACATTTTCAATAACAATCGATATGTTTAAATTACCGCAAAACCCTTTTAACATTTTTTTTTTTTATTCAAGTAAACTCTGCAGATACATCGGAATAAACTTACTCTGAGAGTTGTTAAAAACCGTGTTTTTGCTCTTAGAAGTAAAACTTAGTTAAGTTTTATCGCTGTATACGTACTTTAAACTTCTGAAGAGTTCAGAACAAAATTCACATCCGTAATTTGAAAATGAATATAATATGGAGAAAAAAAACCAATTTATTTTTATACGAAATATACCTATATTAAATATTGACATTGGTGTAAAACTATTCGTGTAGGTGGGGTTTAATTAATAACAACAGTAACGTTAAACAAAATACTGATATTTTCATAAACTTTAGCTTAGGTCACGTCAGTTTACCGTTTATTGAATTAAGGACTTAATGCCACTAGAATGCGAGTTAAACTTTTATATCATAATAAATTATTAATTAGAATATGTTAATCTCATATTTCTTGTATTTATTATTTTTGAAATACATAGAGGTAAACGTAAATAAAATGTTGTCAGGCTAAAATGTTAATTGCTCCGCCCATAAAAACAAACAAAAAATAAAATATGTAACATTTCCGTCATAAAGGGTAAATTTCGTTTTAAGTACACAAGAGGCGAACAAATACAATTATATTTACTTCAACACATAAAGAGTTCAGAGAAAATAATACCATTAATAATAATCTATTTCTGTAATTTACGACTCGCTGCACATATGCTCGAATTTGTTTTAGTTAACAAAAATATAATATTATTACGAATATTTCACACAAAATTAAAATATGCTTTTGACAGTTCGGTAATTTAAAAATGCCCAATATTCGAATACACTAACACAAATATTAATTTTAAATTTTAAACCAAAAACGTTTAAGGTAAATAAATTACGTTCGAAACATTTACCATTGTAATATATGGAACACGCTTATATTAGTTATATTTGTATTAGTCCCCGAATGTAAGTATTCCGACAGAATTACATTTTTGGTGGACAGTTTAAGATAATCATTTTCCTAGTTATTTTATTTTTTAATAAATATAAATAATAAACAACGATAAAATCGGACGTTAGAAAAAATATCCGAATAAAATTTCAGGGTGGACGTGAACTTACATTTAACTGCAGTTCACCCTCGTCAATTCTTACAGTCATAGACTGAAAAAAATGGAGTTTCCGAGAAATTAACCAATCATATAATATTTCAGAAAATTATTATAATAGCTCATTACGTTGTTTCAAGCGATTAAGAATTTTCAATTTGTATGCCTCTACTCTACTATTACTGCATATTTGGGAAATCATCACCGAATACGCAAAGGTATTTAGATTTCAAAACTGTTTATAAAATAATAAAAGAACTTCAATAAAAATACTTACGCCATTTCATAAGTAAATATTATTCTCCCTTCGCTGCAACGCATTGCAATAAAATAAATACAAATATTCCATCGGAATAAATATGGAAAAAATGTTAAGGTTTAGATATGCACGAAATTCACGTCACAGTTAGATTTGGAATCGAGCGAGAAAACAATCGGTTTCATATAAGTAGAATATTAAAATGACGTATTTGTTATATTTTATTATTAACAAAGTGTTTGGAAACTAACAATTTTGTAGCCGTTTATTTTTTGTAGTTTAGTAATGAAAAACTGTGTATTAACAGACCTTCAAGAAACTAACTTAACACACGTATTTAACAATATCTTCGGTGTTTTTTAATGCATCACATACTCAACTATACTCAGAATAGCGTTTCGAACGCGTTCTCTTAAAGTCAAAATATCTATACGAAATACTACACGGGTTGAATTGAGGTGACTGAAAGACCTATATAAATACCTATATCCAATCTATAATGTATATCTGAACATATTTGTACAAAAAAAATTCAAGTTTTCACCATTGACTGATTGATTTTTCAGATTTTCGAAAGCATGCACATATGACTCACGAAGAATAATAATAAAAATTGTATCGTCAAAAGTAAAATACAATAGTGATTTGATATTATTTGTTGGAGAAAATAATTATTATTATTGCGGAATAGAGACTCAAAGTAAAATAGCCAAGTGTTTGTGTTTACCGCTTGTTTTAAATTATTATGACACCTGTAGGCAGTAAGTATATGAAGATGAAATTATTGGTCTTTACAACCTATAACGTAATCGTGTAACTTTTGTTATCGACCTTCACTCACGAATGAATTAGTGCATTACGATTTGTTGTCACACGACAGTTACCTACCGCAGTCATTCAAAATATTATCATATTTTTCGGTTTGTCTTAACGCACGGTCATCGAAACGTGCGGACGCGAGTTCAAAGCATAACCGAATAAAAAACTTTCGTATAGATATGAAATTCCGATAAGCGCACTGAAAATAAACTTGCACTCTAATAAGCACTCAAGTTTAATAATAATTGGATCGCCCGACTAAACCCATTCAATTCCACAAGAAAATCGTGCGCTGGTATCAATAATATTATTTTTTGTTGCAATGATTCGGAATGATTCGTTTACAGTGCATGTTAACTCTTGGGATTAGTATGCACGCTCTTGGACAAACAATATGTAAATGACACTCGATGAAAACATTTTTGAATATTTTTAGTTGTAATTTAACTGCCATCGTACACCACATATATTTCTCTTTCTCCCTCTCTCTCTCTCCCTTTCTATCTCTTACAATTGTTCGTCTGTTGAAATATGCTTGTCAAGTATTATGTTAATAATTATAAGCTTAAAAATAAACGAAAAGAACGACAAAACCGTAACGCATCAAACGAGCAACATTTTGTACACGTCCTACTATCTTTTTCAATGATTTATTTTTGAAAAAAAAAAAAAAATAAAAATTATCTAATACACGTGAAAATATCTGAGAGACATTTTTTTCAAATTTAAATTGTAAGTAGGTATAATGTTCCTTTATACTTATTACAAAAGTGACAATTGTGCAGACGTTTTGAAAAGTATTAATCAAACCCACATATTATAACACTGTGATACGTATACTGCGGGCAGGTATATGCAATAACACGGACAAAAATAAACGGAGCGAAAAATTCATATTTAATTACCCATTCATATAATATAGTGTTAACCTGTCACAAAATGCGATTGTGTTAAAATATTTTTATATACAATATGCAATACGTGGGCAAATTACGAATAATGTAGAGAATCTAAAAGTAACAAAGTATTGCGGGCAAAACGTAGGTATATAAAACAGTGTGCGGCTATTCTAAAAAAGCTATTTAAATATCTAAGTCGTATTACGTAATTATTTTAACTCTTATATATATATATATATTAATACACTAGCGAGTATTTCACTGGGCGTGTTATAATTAAAAATATTATTAATAACAATAATAAACATAATTAATTTAATTTAATTTCGTTTCACAAATATAGGCACATAAATAAATATAACAATATCAATTTGAAGTGGTGATGTCTCCGAATTAAGGTTTAAAATGTATATACACCTATATGTTTATTAAAATTTTATCTACCAATATTATACTTTAGAAGAAAAAAAAAAAATTCTGTCATAATCATTGCATAAGTAATTTACAGCATTTATATTATATTAATTTTAAATCACGTAACTAAACGAACATTTCGAAATACTATTTTTTTTTCTCTCTGTGACCCATCTCCCGAGTTTATTTGACAGTTTTAAAAACCAGGTACAAAGTGTTATACACGGTATTCGCCATTCGTAGGTGTTTTAAATTTTACTGCAATTATCTATATATACGTAGATATTATATAGATTTGCATAGATACTTTCTCTGGTCAAATGTACAATATCACTTCATGGGACACTAGTTTATTATTGAATTAGGCCTATTACAACATATTATCTTATCCTAAGATGAAAATAACAATAATAAAAAAAAAAAAAAAATGCTTAACCATTAACAGTACATCGCCAATATTACAATAATTATCACTCAAACACGAATATTATAAACGGTTATAAGATTAAAAACGAAATTAATATTAAAACGTATTTTAATAATACTTGAATGGTTTTAATTCTATACTTGTATAATATATCGACCGATCGGCTTCATGAACTTGATATTGTATTCAAAAACAATTTTTACAATAGTATGGTTTGGTTTTCTGTACCTTTGTATGTTAAAGTATACACTATTTGTCGAATAACGATATTTTATTTCATTACGACATTTAACATGTTACCAACTACACTAAACACTAATGGCGAACTACTAAACAAACCGATACTAGATTACCTTGCGGTATAAGTGAATTCAACAAATTAACAAACTTCTTTACATAGAAAAATAATGCATTTATATATTTATTAGTACCTATAGGTACATAACATTCGTAATGATATAGTCACAACAGTACTACAGTAGTACAAACATCATCACACCTTTCTAATACATAAATAATAATGACAATAAAAAAAAAAAAATAATAAAAAAAAAATGATATATGGGTAATATATACAATAAAATAAAGCAAACAATCCGTAGGAAACTCTCATGGGTATTCACGATTGTTATTGTTATAGTGAGTACTGCAATATAAAAATATTATATTCTAAAAATAACATCAGAAACAATACGTATGCGACTTCATAATTATAATTAATTATTCATACAAGAAAAAATTAATTATAGTTTTTTGTTTCATAATAATTACTATTGTGCTGAAAAATACATGGACAAATTATTTTTCAAAATTATATCGTTAATTAGAAATTAAGTCTGTAAGTGTAATATTAAACTTGTTTTAATATGTATAAAAAATTCGTATATATCTCAGAATATTTGTACGGCATTGCAAGGCTAGACATAAACGAATTAACAAGTTAAATTTGAATTTTAACCTTCGATTTTTGTATTAGGTAACTTAACTCTTAGTTTATCATAATTTAATAAATTACAAGCTGACTTATTATTTAAATTAAGTTAATTTTAATTTATTTTGTTTTAACACAAAACTATACATAGAATTTATGTAATATGCACTAATATTTGAGTATAGGTTTAGATAATATTGCGCATAAGATATGCATAGTATATATGTACATTTTTATTCAATAATGTATGTTGAATTTTTAGTTTAAATAATAGGTATAATTTGATATTCCCAGTTTGATAAGCCTCCTGTGTATAACATTAATCATGACTACGCATGAATACGCAGGACTTCTAGTATTTGCATATTTTTTTTTTTTTTTGGATTGTGTAAAGAGTAGCAGAGTCAAATAGAAATCATGTTCATGTTAAATCGAATCTAAATACAAAATTTAATTGTGCTTATGTTTGCATATTTTCATGTTTTTTTTTTCTCATTAGAGCATATATTAGCAGAATGAAGCTTTTAAGTGCTATAACATCAGGCCATTAATTAGATTTTCAAAGCATATTTGTATGATTTTTAGAGCTAGAAGTCTCTAATTTATGCCAAACCGTAAGTTTAATCCATTCTATTATAACAACAACGATTTTACAAAACACAAAACAATTATTAAACTTAGTATAAATTAATAAATAAAACAATATAGCTAATTGATATATATATATATATATATATATATATATACACGAGTTTATACTTGTCAATTAGTTTTTTTAAATCAACTCAATCGATTTTATATTATTCATTAAACTCGCTCCGCCTTGTGGAATTTAATCAAATGAAAATAATAATAATTAGCCAAAAACATTTTGGATTCCGACAAAAGGAACGTATCATATTTGTATTATTACATCTATAATTTGTATTTAGATTCTCAGCAGACCGAATAGAATTTAGTTTTGAATGGTGTATTCATTTTTCTCTTCGACAAACACTTTTTATTAAGGTTTTAAAAAAGCTCAAAAAGTTTATCCCGTAACTTTAAAGATAAACAATTGAACACGTGATAATTTAAAAAAGGTCGTTTTTAAATATTACAATAATATTCCTGAAAAGTTTCGCTAAACGAACGGGAAATAAACTACCTATCCAAACAAAACTACCACCATGAAATTCACCCTACAGTTTATAGCAAAATCAATGTTATGTATTAACTTATACAATATAATATACACTAAGCTCTTTTTCAAATGTAACAATTTATTACTGCATTCAATGCGCGTATAGTAAATTACCGTCTGTACAGCACTTTTTAAGTTTTTTATTATTTAAGAAAATTTTAGTCCATTACATGTTAGGATAGAAAAAGCAAACTCCAAAAGCTCCATGTAAGTACCTATTTCGTAGATAACAAAATAAAAATAAATAGTACCTATGTATAATTAAAACAAATTACTATTCCTTTACGGTTATTATACTAAAATTGTTTTTAATTTAATGATGAATTCCGAATTGTACAAATGCAATTAATATTGCATACTAATAACGTGGATATTATTATTCCACCTAGAATTACACCTAGAAACATCACACAAAACTTGTTAAATAACATAATATGTAAACCTTTACAATTTGACTAACGATAAACTGTTTAATTTTAAGAGAAGTTTATATCACATTAGAATCTATACACTTCAAATCCCAGTTTTGGGTATATTAAAACTTAAAACCGTAATTTAAATGTAACTTAGTTTCATTTATTTGTGGAATTTTTAATATGAATCGCTTTTTGAAAATTAAAATGACTCGTAAGTTAAGATCTCTCCCTCAAAAAAAAAAAAAAATTATAATAAAAACTAAGAGCGACAAAAAATAACGGAAATGAAATATTTTAGAACTACTTATTTCTTAAATTATGCGAAAAAAAATTCCTATAAAAGTTAATCATTTCCGAGATAACGAGTGTATTATCAAGGATTGATCATTTTATACCTATGTCATGTTTTCATTATTTCGAAATAATACACAATATTATGCAGCAGACTTGCGCCGCGAGACGAATGAAGTGCTATACCAGTATAACGATAAAATGTCGGATACTCAATATCACCGTATCTCATCCATATAGTTTTTATTTTTAATTTTTAAATAATTCAAGGAACGCCGATTTTTAAAATAAAATGACGTACGTTTCACGGTTAGGTATTAATAATATTATTATATTATGTGGTAATCTTATTAAAATTGTCTAGAAATGTATTATATTATATAATACGACTATAGTAGAGTAAGTACGTTTTTACCTTGTAAGTCGAAATAATTTATGCATAACAACAAACTGGAACAATATAATATAAAAAATGTCTACCTGCAATAATCTACATTACACACACACACACACACATGCACATACATAATATACTTATTATAAGCGCGTTATCATTTTATTATTATTTTTTTTTTTTAATTCTAAAATATAATATAATAAACCTTATAAAACCCGTAGGTAGGTACATATAACATTTTTCAAAAATACCGTACCTATATAATATTTTATCAAGGTGACAATGTCCGTATACGTATACGAACGTTAATTCCTTGTATAAGATGACTTTGTTCAATGGGTGTGTCTAAAACATATTATTAAATATACGTTTTGCAAGGTTCTAGGTAAAAATGTCCGAGGAAATAAAAGTCCGATGAAAAAATGTCCGGAGGTAAAAATTCGGGTTTGTACACTGTACGTGTAGCTAGATAACAAAAACTAACACAAGTCTATAGGAACGGATTTACTTAAACGTTTACAATGATATTTATAATTTATATTGGTTTTATTTTATATGTTTTTGATTAGATCCAATGTTATGAAGATTTGTAGTAGTTGTACAGTTTGTACAATTTTATGTTTACGTTGTGTACAAAATATGTCTATTGTGATTCTGTATCAGCACTCAACATTGATGAATAATATTACGGTTTATTACTTTGCATTGAAAATGTTCTCTATACAGTCAGTCTGTTTTGCCGAATTGTAAAATACTAGCTGTATAGTTGTACTTCGCAAAAATTAATTTTAAAATTCAACTTTTCTTTTTAAATTTTACGATTTTGCGTCATTTGTATTTTGGAACTTATGAATCATATAATGGGTATTCTTATACCATTAAACACAAATTAACCACGGAAATTCCGCTTCAACTACATATATGTCCAACAAAACCCAAAATTATTCAGAGATTATTCGCATCCAGCTGATTTTTTGATCCGGACATTTTTACATTTTTGTAACACTTCTGCATGGCGAAGAACGTCAGCGTAGAATTTTTAATTATATCGCTGTGTATTTATACGAATACTAAAATTTAAAAAAAAAAATCACTAGTTTTTAACTTTAAATATTGTAATCTACATAGCCGTAGAATATATTGCGCGTAGGCACTTTGATCAATCATCTTTAGAAACAAACTTCTCACAATTATTGCAGTGTATAATTTGTTCGAGTACATTTTATCGATTTTCCGGAGTGGAACTTACACTTTAAGAGTGACATAAAGCCGTACAGCCAGTACCGTTTACTAAAGTGTGCTAAGTCGTAATAGTTTTATACGCACTCTGTATATAATTATGTTTTCCGTATATTATACATAACGAAATGCGCGACTGTTTGTACAATTTTCCAAATAGATATTTTTATGTCTTAAACGAAAATTAAAAATAAAACAGCAATGTTTTCGTTATAAAATAAATGCCATGGCCCCTGTCGTGTAATTTAATGTGCCGACAGTAATTTATATGAAAAAATGTAAACAACATTATTCTCAAGACTCTTTTACGTATAATATATTACTATTAATCAAACGAATACAATACGTACAGTAAGTACCTATATACCCGCTATTCCGAAGTCGGTTAATTTTCAAACTCGTTTCAAAATGACAATGGTATTTATGTTGAGTACACAAATTTCAAATAAAGTTTTTGATACTAAATCTTATCGTTGTATACGTCCATTTTTTCAATGAATACTTTAATAATATACTGTTTGTGGTTTGAAGCAAGAGTCAATGTCGAAAAAAAAAAAACCAAATATTTTAAAACGGTCAATTGAAAATCGAAAAGATACGCAAATAGAACATTAAAAGTTCCATAACTATTGTGATATATTTATTTTTTTCTGTATGGGACATTTTAATACCTGCCACGTATATTTTATTAATATGACGTTACCTAACAACACAAATCATTTACCTGTCTGATTACATATTATTATTATTTTCGAATTACTAAAAAATATTTTATTTAAATTTTAAATATTTCACTATATTATATAGGAAAATTAATCTTTCCCGACATGTTTGATCCCGATAATTTATAATATAATATAATAAATATAGAATATTATACTTTTTCAGTAACGGCGTGGATACGATTTTTTTCTAGGAGCGAAGAGGGTTCACTATATTTTACTTTTATACGATTGAAAGAAAATAATATAGGTATGACAAATTAATTTTGTAGTTACCGAATTTTACCGAATTTAGTGTTTAACATTACCGAATAACACATCGTATTCGCGGCTATAGAATATTTTTTAATTTTAAACGATTTATATTTCTGCGGTATACCTATCGGGGCGAAATTTCCAGACGAAAAAATCGAATTGCCGATAACGGAGACGAAAATATTGTAGTCGGCTGTTCACAGAGAGAAAGAAAACAAAAACTTCTAAAAAAAAAATCCCCGGGACGAAAAATAAAACGCATCGAATTACTTGTGGACACTAGTCGAAATTGAATAATTGAAATTGCAATAAATTTGTAACGGCGCGTTAATAACGCCGTGCATATCACTTGCCCACATATCGTGAATCCATTACAACGGACGATTGAACGTTCGCCCCGAAAGTAAAATAATATTATAGGAACATATAAAAGAACCGCGCCGTTTACTGTAGAAAAAAAAAAAAAACGCGCGCGTATACTGGACCGGTGACCGCGCCGAGTTATCCGCGCGGTACCTGTCCCCGGCGGAGGAGTTCGGCCGCCTCGCGCGTTCCGGCAAAAACGACAATAACCTCAAAACCGAAAATTTGGCGCACGGGGAGGCGAATACCGTGGCGCTGACGGCCCCCGCTATAAACACGTGAAAACCGTAGTGAAATCGGAGCTCCGTCGGCCGGTTACAGTACGCACCGGGCGTACCCGGCGACGGCTGCGGTCGCGGTGTATCGGCGCGGTTATGATCGAACGTTTTGTGCTTTTACGTTTTTATGATAACAGTCGCCGCCGTCGCCGCCGCCGCAATGTCGCGTCCGAGTGTACGAACATTGTTTTAATATTTCGGCGGTTTTAACGTTGTCTTCTTCTTTCGTCCGCGTTGGGTTTTCAATCGACACCCTCGATTATTTTTTTTTTTTTTTTTGTTTTTCTGTTCTGCGCAAGCGGAAGGGGGGAGGAGGGGAATGGAGAGTTAAACCCTCCGCCCCATGCTATTCGATAACATTGATATCGAATAATAGACCGTAGTCACATACGCAGGTAGTTACGCTAAAAATATTAACGTTATCGATCCTTGTCCTTTTTTTTTTATTATTATTATTATTATATTCCTACTGCCTACGTGTAATTCATCAGGATTTGTAATAAATCGTCACGTTAATATTCTACTTTTATTTGGATGTCTTTTTATTTTTTTTTCGCAACGTTTTCTGGTTCAATACAATATTATTATTATAACTAGGTTATATTTAGCATGTCATTTAAACTTACATATTTTTGAAACTAAAATGCGGTTTAATCATAGGACAATTCCAATATGTAGTTCGTATTTTGAACTATTGAATGTTAATTGCGGCGAATGCCGTACAGTAGTTTTGAATAACGTAACATTATTGTAATATTGTTTTGTTTTGTCTGTGTTTTTGAAAACATAAACGACATATTATTACAATATACAGCAATATTATTGGTATTGGTGGGCAGAATAAAACGTGACCTTTAATCTTTACAAGACCGCTCTATTAATAAATATTAAATATAGTAAACAAAATGATAATATTATATTGAGTGGTTGGTTATATTAAAATAGTGTATTAGGTACAATAATCTATACGTTCATTATGTTCACGCGACCGATAAAAAAAACAAATAAATACTAATACATACCAAATCTAAAACAGATCCAAGGAAAATATTTGCGGTTTTACGAACTATACGATTTTCGAATTAAAAAAAATACGATAAAACAGTTCGATTGAATATTTTAAAAGTTCGGTTCGGCCTTAAAAATCAGTGTTCGAAACAACAACGCTAGAAAATATAGAACAAAAACTACGAACTGCGTCCCCCGACAAAACTACGAAATATTAAATATTTATCGAATATAATAAAATATATATGATTGAAAATATCTATGAAAATATTGTAAACCAGATACTTTAAACACTTAAATATTTATTATACAATTTCGGTAGTTAAACGTAATGTTTCGGCGCTGTATTAAAAAAAACGATACGTTCTAATAGAAAAAAAAACATAGTATGCTGACAATAAAATTTTTGTTTTCAAAATTCCAATTTAAAAAAAACGCCGACATAACGATCGGACAAAACCGATAGATTTGCCCAAAACTTATAATCACATTATCGCGATTTTAAGTAGACGTTAATGTTGTTGTTTTAGTCAAATGGTATTGTGGTATTGATCACGGAACACGGTTTTATTACTTTAAATCTTATGATGGCCATAATATACACATACACACACACACACACACACACACACACACACACACATTCACATATACAGACATACATACATAACGTTCTCAAGAACTTACGATTGACCGAACTGTGCACGCAGTATATAGTCAAATACACTATGTTTTTTAAAACTAAAATAAATAAGATCAAAGAAAAAGCTGCAAACCCGAGTTTCTAACTGTACACGAGTACAAAACGGATCAAGAGAATAAAACAACTAAGTTAGCGATCTACCTGTTTACTGTTATGCAATAGAACAAAACACTTTATAATAATTCAATTCATTTAGAGTTGGACGTTAACATTGAGAACAGTCGTTCGGTTTTTTTTTTTATTTTATATTATTTTATTAAATTATGTATATACTATTTTTCATAGTATAAAAATACTTGCTGACCTGACAATGCTTTGCTATTGCTAGATAACATAGTGCAAATAATAATAATAATAATAATAGTAGTTTTATTGTCCGTGACAACCAAATTATCATCTGTATCACCAAGGTAACCCACGAATAAGCAAAAATCTATATAAATAGAACAAAGCCGGGTTGGTTACACCATTTATAAATCAAGAACAGCTAGACCGATTTTGATGATCACTGATTTATTGGATTCGTCTCCGCCCCGAATAGCAGAATAACCATTAAAATATCGGTAAGATTCACGAAAAAAATCATAGGGGTTTTATCATAGGTGTATTTGGTACGCACATCTAATTTTCTATTTATTTATTTTTTGTTTATTCAAGGGTTGCCACGGAAAACAAAACTATTGTAATTATTATTATTTGTATTATTAAAATGTCACAATAGAACACATTTAGTCCGCCAAAGGTGGACTACCAACTTTTCACCTATTTGTTTTCATTCGATTCTGACATCGCGGTCAAAACCAAAAATTAATACGGGTAAAATAATAATAATACATATAGGCACGGGCAACGCCGGGCGCTGGAAAACTAGTAAATAAATAAATTTACACGAACAATTAGATATTCGTATCAAAAAAACTTAAAAAAAAAACCCCTATATAATTCACGAGATTGGGAATGGAACGTTAAACTATCATATATTTTAAGTTGGACCAAATCACACATGTTGAGCATTTTTATCGAAATCGATTTAGCAGTTACAGAGTGTATCGCACCTAAACTCGTCGTGCACGTGATTTACATATATATATAAAAAATAAATATATATTCATTGAACGGGATAACGAGAATGAAGCTAGAATGGGCAGGTCAGGTATCTCATGACCTGTCCATTCTAACACGAATCAATGGTCAAATAAGTGATACTCGAAAACCCATAGAGGAGAAAGACCACTTGGAAGACCGCGACTTCTTTTGGAAGTCTTGGCAGACTTCGGTCATTCAGGCTGTCCGGAATGTAGCTGATAATCGAGAAAGATTGAGGAAGAAATAATTTATTATATTTGACAGAATAAAAAAACTAATTGTCATTATATGTATAAAAAAATTAGGATAGAAATGTTACACAAATTAGATAGCGGCTGGGGGAGAATCGATTGCCAGGCTGTGACTATTTTTCAAATACTTGTTTATTAAATTTAATAGATTATTGTAACGAAAACCATATTATTTAGGTACCTACTCAAAATAACAAAATAACATAGATAGCAATTATTTGACTCAATATTAGTGCACTTATATTATTATATTACAACACAAATTATGTTAAATTAATTGTCTTATATTACACTATAATTCAAAGGTTATCTGAACTTTGAGATGATAATTGATAGTTTTGGAATTAAAAGCAGGTAGAAAACCTTTAACCATAATATTATTTCGTTGGCCTAAAGTATACACAACGGGATCTATCTAATTATCAATAAAATACAAACTTTAAACTACTCCGATATTTCTGGAATTTAATATAATTTTTAAGAGGTTATTTAGAAATTAGAAAACATAATTTTAAGTAGGTAGAAACTTAATTTATTAATTTTGAATTTAAACTTGCATAATGGATTTTAATCTAAAAAAGATTTTACACTGGTGTAAGGTGTAATAATATATAAAATATGCATTGGAACAAATATAAATCATTATAATATTGTACCTTGTCAAATATTATCTGAGTGATATAAATTATAAGACCCTCATTAAAAAAAATCAATAGTTACCTTTATTTTACACATTTTATCTTAATAATTCGTTTTCTTTCGTTTTCTGTTTGTAAATAACTTTTCTTCCAAAGATCTTACTCCAATCATCAACACGAATGATATAGCTTTTGATAGAAAACTTTGCCTAGTCGGAGAATTGAGCGAGTTACTTTTTGATTTTCCTTATAGTTTTCTGAATGATTGGGAAAACCGAGAAAAACCGGGAAAATTTACGAAATATCTGTTTCTGTTATTTACGCTTTCTTCCTGTAATTTAATTGAAAATAACCGTTGAATTTCGTCTAAAATTTTCTTAAAATACTTATATTAGCCTTTTATGGACATGGTAAAATTATCGAAACATTTTGTAGAGTTTGGAGTCACTAATTTAAGTGGCTGAAAAGACAATAACCGATGATAATATTATATTATGTAGCGATAAAAATTAAATGTAAAAACACTAAAAAAATAATGCTTAGAATGAGATTGAATTTTTATCTCGATTCGGAGAATATAATTTTGTGTATACTCATAATTTTATGAGTGCAATATTCATTAATTGTTCAATAATATTATAATATGCCGATTTTCAAAATCAATAATGACGGTACCTACTTATATCGACTCAATTAAAGAAATGACAATATTTATCGTTTTTAGAAAATTGTTTATTGTACATTCGTACACACACCCAGTTATACGATAGTACAGTCTCAAATTTAATGATATCATAATGTTCTAGCTAAGTGCAACGTGAGACCCGGACCACGGTTCAATAGACAGTTTCATTGCTATTGTTGGTTTTTCTTTTATTGTTATATTCCATTGATTTGTATTATTATTTATTACACACACACTCTGCGGGTATATTATTATTCTACCGATACTGTTTACTGATATAATTCGAAAGATACAAACACGACAGTTGGATTTTCAATCGAGCCAGGATTGCCCCGGGGCAGGGGGAACGGCTAGGGTTTATTTCTCGGTCGATCCTCGGAGGTCCCCCAGAGGGGCCGAAGGGACTGATTCACCCCGCGGTCTTTTCAAACGGTACAGGCCCGTTCGTGGCCGCTGGACATTAGCAGTGCCGTGGATTTGTCCCAACGTGTACGAACTCTCGTTAGGCGGGCGAGTGTCGGGACTTCGCCGCCGGGGTCGTATCCGTCGAGAGATCGGGACTACGGGCTCGCCTATCCGCGTGGTCGTTCGGGGGTCTTCGGCGACTAAACCCGTAAGCAGGCGGCATGCGAAATGGGCAGTGATCGGTGGGACCGCGCTCCGATGCGGCTACACAGCTACCGCGTGCGCTTATTAAAAATTACTTTTTTTTTTTTTTTTTACGAAAAACTAACCCAGTAGGGGACTGTGTTTGTAGACAGTGCGATCGATGGTGCAGTAATAAACTAACAACTAATAAATTATTGATATCATGTATATATATATATATAATTGCCTATCCCGATACCTGGCTATACTCTATATATCGTGTAGTCTATAAGTAAATTTGTTTTCTATTGATTTGTATATGTGTGCCCGTAGACGTACCTACTGTACAAAACAACGACTATAGACACACGACTGCGTTATGGAGTCGCGTGGACAATAAGAGCTATGAAGTCGGCAGCCATATGCTAAGAGGGCAAATATTCAACCGACCCATGAATATTTCATGACGAATTATTAATCAATCAAATTCGCTTTCTCGGTGTACGTACGACTGGTGCCGGTGCTTCGGATTAACCATATTATAGAGCCGTCGGCTGTCCGATTGTGTGCATTTTTTTTTTTTACAAAATTACAATACAAAATATAGAACCCTACTTTATTTATTGTTTATTTCTTATTACATTTTGTAACGATTTCCGGGAAATTCTAGTTGAAAATATACCTAGTTACTATGTTTTTTTTTTTTTTACGTTAAACATTAAAAAAAAGTATTTTTTAATTAATTACGTACCTGACTTCTTACGAGCTTTGCGTCTAAAATATCTCTTTATTAAAAACAAATAGGTACGTGTTAAGCTATCTATTGCTGTTTTTAAGTTTTTTTTTTTCTCGGTTTTTTCGACCCTTTTTATAATCGATTTTCTTTATTAAGTATTTAAGTATATAACTACAAAAAATCCGTAAACTTACAGTAGCAAATAATTTTTCTGAACATTCGAATACAATTTTTTCCCTCATTTTAATATTATAACCCCAATAATACCATCAAACTAATGATAATATTATATTTTATTGACGATAACAAAATCACACAACGTTTATAGCATAATAATCCGAGTAGAAAATATTTGTTTAAAAATAGATATTATAATAAGTCTCGTGTGCCGCGTAATATTTTCCTCGTGCCGCCGAAAAGGAAACTATTATTAACTATTTGTCGGAAACAAGATTAATATGCAAGTGCGATAGTATATTAATCGGAATAAGCGGATTGGGGTGGCGGGGGGAGAAGGGAAATATCATTTGTCTGAATCTGTGTACAGTATGCACGGGTCGCTTATTTCAATATTGTCAAAACTTTATAGGTATTATTATAATATATTATTCTCCGGGGAACACGTAAAAGAGTTACTATTTCGTAAACGCAAAAAGGAGAAAAAAACTTGAGATATACAGCAAAATTCTCTTGGACAAACGACGGCGATTCGTGTCGAAAAAAAATAAATAAAAGTAAATGAACGATAGCCGGTCACACCCGCGTGTGAATAATCCTGTAAAATCTAACACGCGAAAATTAAAAACGTACGGGGAGAACGTCGTCTTTTTTTTTTTGCCCTTTTGTTCGACGGTTTTCTTTTCTTTTCTTTGTTTTTCCCCTTTTTTTTCCCCCCCGTGCCCGGCGAGTCCTGTAGCGCGTCGATTCGGCGACTTTCACGATAACCGACGACTGCTCGCGGAAATAATTGCATTATATAATAATATCGTCGCGGACAAACCGGACGGTTTTACATAATATTATCATTTACGGGCAGTTTTAATGACGTTAAATGCATTGTCGTCGAGCGTAGACGGTATCCCGTAGTAATATTATAATTCGATATCGTTCAATATGTATTATAACGCCCGGCGTTACCAGCGTCTACGCCGTGTCGTTTTAAAACTGTAAAAATTATTCCGTTTCGGTGAACAACCTTCAACGACGAACCGGGTAAACTCGGAAATCGATGGGCTCGAAACCCGGGCGCTCTAGTTGTCCTAATGTTTACACGCCGTAGGCATGGTCGGGGTTCTTGATGGTAGAAAAAAAAAATCGGTTATTTTTGTTTTAAAAATCATTTTTTTTTTTGGTTCGAAACGCGTATTTGGAAAAAAAAAATATGAAAACTAAAGAGTGTCCGGTTAACTAGACTTATTCTTTTTTTTTTTTTTTTTTTTTATTTAATTTTTTTTTTTTTTTCATGCATATCGTATTATATTATAATAATAGTTAATTATAAATACAATTTCAACATGATATCTATTAACTTATCAATAACTATATAACGTAATTATCTTATCGCATACAAGTTCATGTTTGCCGGCCGTTAAGAGGTCGTCACAGTGGCCATTTGTCGTCGCCGTTGTCTTCCTAATGAGCAAAAACGTGTCCGTGTAAAATACAAAGAAAATTCCTTGAAAATCGGTTTTAAAAATAAAAAAAAAAAAAAATTAATAAAGAAAGAACGTCTTTTATACACGATTGTTTTCAAAATGACAACATTTTAAAAGCAACCTCGTCAGCGTTTTAAAATTCGCTATACATATTCAACACATTCGGAGATGATAATAGGTGGGGAGGTGCATGGGGAGTGTGACACCCCTTCAAACTCGGAAATTTTAATTATTCGGTCATGTCATTCAACGATAATTTAACCTTAAATTCGACAAAACTAATAATTTCTCAGTTTTCTTCGTCGTGTTATTATCGTCAAATTTACCGCTTATCGATGAACCAAAAATAACGGACAAAAACTTTTATCGACGTCGATAAATTTTGAATCACACCATTCCGAACTCACTATCGGATGTACTAAAATAGAAAAAAAAAATCATTTTTTACCGTAAAATATACAAATCATATTAATAAATGGTTACAAATAACCACGATTTTCGGTTGCCGTACAATTTTAACGTCTATGAATCACCTATTGTACAATATTATCAGTATTTTACGTAAAAAACGATTTTTAAAGGCCTTTTCGCTTGTTTTAAAAAAAACATATTTTTGTCATACGCTACTGAAACGGCCCCTTATACAAATAAGCATATATTTGTTTTATTGTAATTTCCATTAAAATCTCAACTAAATTCAGTTCAATACGCACGGGTCCTATAAACTGCATAATGCCCTATTAAGCTCAACACTAAAACCACCGACTTTCGGGGTGTTAAAATTATGGACATACCAAAGACCCACCACGGGGGTTATGCCCCCAAAATTCACTTAACAATAGGCAACTACACGATTTATTTATAATTTTGTATGATATTGTTTTTCATACGTCTGTAAGAAATCTGCATTTTGTTTTGCTCATTAGTGATAAAATATACATGGATAAAATATTTAGTCGTTACTATGAAAAACCTTATTGTGTTTTTTTTTTTTTAGGGGAGGGTACTAATTTCAAACGCGGGGGTACTAAAAAAACCCTAGCACACCCCTTGTTGCGCCGATGGAATGTCCCATGAAGATTTTATCTCGGAGTGTACCCATTGCGATGTATCGGAAATTATTGACTTTTTCGCAGTTCTAAAATGTTACATTACCCTTATTTTTTTTCGCCCTTATTTTTGAGAGTAAAACGACTACACTTACTTTTGATTTTTAAATGGGAACCTAGCTATTACTAATGGATGAAGACCCTATTAGTTTGAATACATTTCGATGTTGACATTTTTTTTTTTTTATTATTTCCGTCAAGCCGTTGACGAGATGTTCCACTTTGGAGATAATGGAGCATCATTTGTGTCGGCACGGCGGCACGTGGCGTTCGAATATTCTGGTTCACTACTCTCCCCCTCCTTCGAACTTGGAATGTGGAATGTCTCGTCAACGGATTGACGGAAACCAAACTTTTTTAATGCCAAAATGTATTTAATATAATGTTCCCCGTCTATTTATCGAATTTTCAATACGTGCAGTTGCCTTTTGAAAATCAAAAGTAGGAAGTCGTCTCGCTCGAGATTTCACCACTCCTCCCTCCACCCCAAAGAAGTAAGAGACAAATAATAACGATAATGTAACGTAAAAAGAACCGTTTTTTTTCCCAAACACTTGGACAAAAAAAAAAAAAATGAATGCTTTTCGAGATATCGCAACGGGTAGAAATTCCCGCGACACACGCTGTATACGGTAATAATAATAATAATATAGTGACAGGGAATTATTAAAAATAATGTAAACACAAAACAAATAATAATAATATAAATTAATTATTCTCCAAATGAACATTGATCGTTATAGGCACACGATGTTATGCTATGTAGGCGGTTACGTATCGTGGAATAATTTAATTTAAATTCAAAAAAATGAAGAAAAAAAAAAACCATGGATAAAATACGCGGATTCGCGTGCTTCAATTAAAAAAAAAAACAGATTTACCTGCCGGGAGTTTTTTTTTTTTTTTTTATATTATTTTCTCAAAACGATTTAAACTATTTCATACTGCCCCGCGGGGTAGTTGTTAATTTCTTTAAATCAATCCTGCTGCTGGGCGCAACGCGACTTTGCGCCTTACGCACGTGCCTATACAACATGATAATTAACGTCGATGTTCGGCACTATTTTTTTTTTTATATTATCGTTATTGCCATTATTGAACGCGCGCGATAAATTCGTAAAAACTGCGCGTGTTCCGAGGTACGGGTATGACGATATTTGTGTACGCCCCCCGCGCACTGTAACCGCAGTTTTTTCTCGTTTGCCGACCGCCGTTGCGGCGACCGAGATATAACGCTGTCCAAAGTCTTCTACGGATAATAATACGCACAGTATCGTTGATAATACGAAAACGCCGTATTATTGGGCCGGTTCGGATGCGTCAACGCGATTCGGATAACATCCGTCCAATCAGAATTAATTACCCGCGTACAACTCGATGCGTAACCGACACTGTGCCGACGGCGAAATCGCGCGGTTATTGTAATATATTCCGTTTTTTTTTTTCTGAACGCGTTCTCATCGAATAAATAACGCGCCGTGTTTATTACGATGCGATGCGGTTGCCGGACGAGATTTCGTCGGTTACACCGATATTATTGTACATATTTACGGTCCGCCGTCGATATCGTTCGAATATCGCACTATTGTGTAGCGTAGTAACTATACACACGCCAGGCGGTACTAGTCGCCTTTGACTTCAAACGAAATATCGCCCCCCACTCCCCCCCACTCACCCCGACGTCGTTAAACACTATATAGGTGTCTGGCTAAATATATTAATATTATTATTATTGTTGTTGTTGTTGTTTGCGGTTTGAATTTATTACCGTCGATAAACTACCGAGAAGTTATTGATTATGTTAGTGTGAAGTAATTAATGTTGATTCGTTAAATCAATTGGTCAACGTTTAAACGCGGTGTTTACCTGCGTGCAGGAGATACCCGGCCCACGGATTATCAGAAAAAAAAAACAAACAAATGCTTGTAGACCGTTTGGATTTCCCTGCTTATGAAATTTAAAAAAAAAACCCATTCCCCCCCCCCCCACTAAAATGTTAACGATAATTTCGATTTTCCGTATCGATTCGGGGACCGCGTGATGTATTTGTTTAGTATCTTACCTGCGGCGGTCGAGCTGTGCGTTCTCTTGACGTTCGCGCCGTCCTGCAGCGTGTCTTGTAACGGACGTTTCCGGTTCTCGGCCGTGTGCTGTTGCTGTTGCTGTTGCTGCTGTTGCTGCTGCTGGTGATGATGGTGATGATGGTGAAGAAGGAGATCGTTCGCCGGTGACGCCGGGCACGCGTCCATCATTTTCACGTCACCGGCGGCTAACGCGGCGGCGGTTGTCGTGAAAAAACGGCCGCCGATCGACGCCGGCAACGCCAGCGACAACGGTGACGACAACGACGACGACGATAACGGCGACGACGACGTCGACGACGGCGACGAAGACGACGACGACGGCGGCGGCGACGACGGCGACAACGACGACGACGACGCTAACAACGACGAACACATACCGGCGCCGGCCGCGGCCACCGAATCGAACTGCATCGCGTACAACATTCGCTGGCAAAAGTAATGGTCAGGCGCCGACGCCGTGGCCGCGTACAGCTCCGCGCCATCGGCGCCGCCGAACATACCGCCGCCGCCGGCACTAGTCTGCGACGTACCCGTCAAAAATTGCATCGCGTCGAATTTTACGCACACGCGCCGAAGTTACGAGAAAAATAAAAAAAAAAAGAAGAAAAACGAAATCGAAAAAGAAATGGGTAGTGCAATATAAAAAAAAAAAAAAAAAAAACAAAAACAAACCGAAAAACTATTACACCGGCGGAAACGCGGTATTTTCAAATCGAAAATCTTAGACGAGTAAAAAACTAATATCTCGGGATTATCGCATCGGTGTCTGGTGGCGCGCGCGGATAACACGCGTCGTGGCCAACTGCTGGTGCTACTGATACTGCGCCGTCGTTGCTGCTGCTGCTGCTGCTGCTGCCGTCGCCGGTTGCCAGTCCACTACTATTACATTGCCGTGCCGAGCCGCGGCGGCGGTCGTGCCGCTGTTGAGCGCGGTCAGGGTTAACACGTGTGCGTTACGCGATCGTCCGCGTGCCCCCGGGCGGCTTATTCTTCGACGACAAACGGCGCGATTCAAATTATTATTGGGTACGGAATAATAATATTATTATTGCGCGTATTATTGTTATTATTATTATTATTATTATTATTATTGTGTACGGCCGCACTACGGCCGCAGGTATGTCGACGACGCGTGCGTATTTGTTTACACCACTCTATACCGGCCGGTTTGTGACGAGTGACGACGAACGATAAAAACGCGGGTGCGAGCGAATCGGCGACGTTGTTTAACGATTAGCACGCGCGACCGGTATGCCGCGGGTCCGCGCCCGGTGGCTGCCGGTCGACCGGCCGGCCAGCCGGCCGACCGATCGGACGGACGGACGGACGGTCCGCCGCCCGTGCCCTTGCCGCCAAAAGACCTTGTCGCGGCCCCTCGCCGCCGGCCCGTCCATCGGGCCCGCGCGCCGCCGCCGCCGACACTACCGGCTGCCGCTGCCTGCCCGCGGCCGGACCGACGGGCCGGTGGTCCGGTCGTCGCGACCGGCGTTCGCGCGCTTCCACGGCCGTACGGTAGGTACCCGTTTACCGGTAACCCGTTTATCCGATGTCGCGTGGCCGACGGTCGTATAAATAATAAGATTATTATTATTATTATTATTATTATTATTTCCCCCCCCCCCCGTAGTTCAATATGCGCTCGAACATTACACACACTGGGAAATACGTCTAATTCGTTTTCTTCTTCTTCTTCTGGTTTTTTCCAATCGCGCGTCACCACCGCATTACCGCGCGCGCGAGTAAACGTAAATAAAACGCCTCCTGCAGCACTACGACGACCTGCCCGCCATATAATATTGCGTGTAATAAACACAATGGGAATACCGATTCAGAACCATTGCAGTAGAGTGGGCTGATCGTGTTCCGCGATCATCGTTTACGGCGGTAGCGTTTATTCGAAATGTACTAGTTAATAATAACCCAACCTAAAAGGCGTCCAACGGTTGTCGGATAGGGACGATGTTCGAGTGGATACAGACGATAGAGTCAGTGGCGGTCAAAAAACGTTGTCACGGTGGCGAAAAAGGATGATTTTTAAGTATATACTTATACCACCCTGTATATACAGGGTGGTTTTTTTAAGTATGTTCACTCCGTTTATACGGGTTAACCTTGTGCGTAAATTCAAATTCTGTTTTTTGGAATTTTCACGCGCAGTGATATTTTTTGCATACTTAGATATTTCACAGCATTTAAAGAGTATCCTATGGTGATAACTATTTAAATTTTTCATATGAGAACCTACGGTGTTTTGATGCAAATTATTAATCGGAAGATTTTTTTTTTTTTTTCAAACTGCCGACGTCTCGTAATCGGAATTCGGACGAAATGTTTCTGAATCATTCTGCTTTAAATACTTAAGATAATAGTATTTAATAGGGATTGGATATCAATTGTTTCATGTACATGGATAATTTCTTGTTTTCGTTCGTGAAGTCATTATCTTTTCGTAGGTATGAGGTACCTGTTTAAATAATAGAGTAACTCGGATATTTTTCGTTAAAATTTCAATTAAAGTACTCCAACATTTCCAGACAAATAACCTGATTGACAATTTCCATTAAAACGTGTATAGGTTCTCATTAAACAAACCAAAGTTGGTATTGTCACAGGATACTCTTTAAATGTTGTATTTCAAATTCTAAGTATTCAAAATTATCACTACGCTTATAAATTCCAAGTATCGGAATTTAAATGTATTCATAATTCAACCATAAAAATAGAATGAGCACTAAGCATGCTTAAAAAATCACTCTATTTATATATATTATTATAAATATTTAAAATGAATGATTTAAGGGTATGATGTCCCCTCCCGTTTGACCGCCCCAAGATGGAGTACACATAATGGAAGTGGCATAAGACATAGTCACAGATCGCTTAGTAGAAGCGAGCAAGAGCCAAAAGGCTGATTAAGCAAAAACAAAAACAAATTTAATAAATGCAGAAATCGATGACAATGAATAGTATGCAGGGTCGAATTAAGTATTAGGCACTATTATGCTGCAATTGCTTAGATCGCCAAATATTTTTTTCCACTATCTCGATCTTTTGCATATATTTAATATGTCTTTAATGGTTATTACTAGGATTCGATTTTAATGAATTTTTAATATTTTGAAAATTAATCTTCAAATTAATGTTGCCGGGTTGATGCGATCCGGCAAAAGACAATAAATATATACGACTTCAACTATTATCTAATTTGTGTACAGATCAGAAAACACAACGGAAACAAGCTCTGTCACTAAAAATTAGGGTACCTACGGGTGTACTGATAAAATCACTGCCTTTACGCTCGATTTTCCTGAATAAATCGTCGAATCGGTTATACCTAACCTGACAATGAGAAATTAAAAGCCGGATTCGAAAAAGTCGATTTTAATTGCTCGTAATTTGACCGAAATATAAAATTTCAAGAAAAAATTACTAAATAAATACAGTACTCTTAATCCAATTGGGGTGGGGCAGGGAACGTAACTCCTATCCTCCCTTTCCCTGCATCCGCCACTGTATTTCGACTGTCTTTTTATATTATAATACTAATTAGTTGGCAGTTTTGATTTTTAATTTCTTTTTTTTTTCGAATTAACACTAGGAATTGCTTTCTTGTCGTCTCAAACTTATCCAACAAAAATTTGAGCTTATAAAAAATGTTTAGAACTTGCGCTTTGCATAATATTTAGATTTTCGATTCGAGCAAGTTTTAAACATTTTTTTTTTTTACTAAAATTTTTTTCGGGTAATTCTGAGACAATAAAAAAATAATTTTCAGTCTTAATAAAAAAAAAAAAAAATGTACAAATCAAAACAGCCTACCGATTAAGTGACGTCCGTCTTAGAAACAAAATATGATGAACTCGACTGCGGTACGACCCGAAACACGAGGTGCCTTTTATACAGCCTGTATCGTGATATCGGTGGGTATTTTTTTTCTAACGCACGACTAAGCCCTTTAGTCAGACGGCGAGAAAAAAAATTACGTTTATACTGTTATATTATATTGCCTCTCGCGCCGAACAATTTACTCCGATTATACATTATTTGAATATGTAATTTTGTTTACTTCTGAGAATTAATAAACGTTATAAAACAAGTAAAATAATGTACATACCTATAGCCGTTTGTATATTATATATACGACCACGTCTCGTTTAAATCACCGCGTCTGTATAATAGTCGGCGCGTATGTGCGTTGTAAAACGACTATTCGATTTTCGACGGTTTTGCCGCAGATTTCTTGTTCGTGTTGTTTTTGTACGTCCCGTTGGCGCCTGAAAACTTTTCTTTTTTTTTTTCTCCCGAAAACAAACAACGAAGTTAATAACGTATTATGTAAAATATAACCATCGAGTGTATTTTAATGTTGGTATGGTATTTTAATTACAGTCAAACGGAGAAAAAACATTATAATATACCGGCGCTGAGACGATAATGTTACTTTTTACCTTGAACCTTTTCAATCGTCGTTAAAACTATATAATGTATATAAGACCTTCGTAACGATACGCTCGTTTTCCCCTTAAAAAGTTGTACGAAATCTTTTCACGCGTGGAAAAATAAATAAAAATAAAACACTAGCTATACCGGCTATACCGAACGTAACACAGCCGCTAACTGTTTTTTCCGGAAATTTTTTTTCTGTAAAAATAAAAACATGCTCATTTATATAGGTATATCACATATTATTTTCAAAAGAGTTAAATTATCGATTCGAAAAAAAGACTTTCCCGGGCGGTACGGTGTTCGGTATCCCGCGTATATTTTTTCAAGTATATATACGCGTGGTATACCACAGTAGAGTGATTACCCAAGAGCATTTTCAAACGCCTGCTATATGGCTTTTAGCCTTGTTTTCGGCCTCAACAGTCTCGTTCCACATGGAGGACTTTTATTGCCTTGTGCCATTAATCTTTGCAGCCGCGTCTCCGCGCTGTCTATATGAAATATGGGTGGTAAATACATACTAAATTGTGTCCAAATAATATGCGTCACGTCAATAAATCGACGAATATTATTGCGAGCCATGTAAATAATGCCCATGTGAACTTTCAAGTTCGCGTTCAAGTCAATTTTTTTTTTCGCTTCACACTGCCCACTTAATAATTGTCTATTATGATGGTCGAACTAAACAAAAAATGTCGTTATGTATTTTCTGTCACGAATATAGTCAGTGCATACACATTCATAGGTATAGTGTAGTTTTCGTATATTATATCAGTAAACCTGCAGCACATTAATATAGGATGGATTTTGGGTCTTGGTATACGACTTACCGCTATAAAGATATTTGGAACAAAACTCTCCAAAATTATTGTTATTATGTTACAATATTATAATGTACGTTATTTTTTTGTATTAGGTCGAAAGACCGGTGCTTCAACCTCTACTCTTGTTTAAAACCATAGTTTTTTAATCTCGGATACACACACTGTACAAGTTTTATGTAAATTATACTATCGATTAGAAATTATAAAACGCACATTTCGCTATATTTGCAAAAGATTACGGCAATGCATCAACAGATTAATAATTGATCATAATTGATAAATTTACGTGTGAATAATCAAACACTCGCTGCTGTTTGCACTTCAAACTTGATAATACAATTATTATAATAAGAACCGAGAAGAATCAAAAAAATGAATTAATTAAATCAAAATTAATGCGTTTTAATATACTTCATTCTAAAGAATTTTTATAATATACACAAAAAAACTGTTATTAAATTTAATAGTAAAAACGTATTTTTAATCACAATACATTTTCTTCATTTATATATTTATACCTATATTTACATATAGTGTTCAATTGATTTTCTTTTTTTTGTAAATCCTATAACGTTTTGATTTAGCTCTTCAACAACAAACAATTAAATTTTTGTCCTTTTTAAGGAACAACAAATA